GACTTCTTCAGAGCTGACTTTTAAATATCTTTGGTTTCGCTTCAACTTATTAAGTAAGTATGTCCACTCACTGCCATTGTTATTGACACGCGGAACGTTTTTGCACTTTTTTCTTTTTTTGGCCCTATTTGCATTCCAACGAGTTTATATATATATATACAGGTATAGGTAAATAAGGAGAAAAGAAAAAAAAGAGTAGGTATCGATGCTAACGAGAATTAATTAGCCATAAAATTTATAGACTGACGCATGAATTGTAAGAAAGTTTCCGCTCGGAGAGGTGTAGGTATACCTATATCTGTAGGTGTTGCGGCCGTAGATTACGTACACAATGTGCGTGCGGGTTATGTTAATTCGGGAACAAATGTTATACCCAATGAGGAATGAACCGACGCTCGAATAATCGGTGATTTAATCACCGGAAGTGTTTTCTACGTAATCGAGGGAATATCTCATTTTATATACGACTCACGGCAATTATTATAATTTAACTGATTCAGTGTTCTTACATAGCATGTATAAATATCTGACGATGGGAAAACTGTGTAAAGACACATGTGATCAGAGAAAGAGAGCTCAAATTCGCAAGCTCATGAATGTAAATTTGTCAACTCGACTAGATTACGTGACCGACATGCGCATTCAATAAAAAAAACGCAAGTAGCGGGGCTTGCCTCTCGTGGCATGAAAAATCAAGCAGATGCTAACCAGCACAGCTCACCCGCCGGCCAATAATTAACGATTTTTCCAGAAGTTGGGAATCAATCGCGCGCAGCGTTAATTTGACTATAATGCGTTCCCTCGCGACCCGATTCCGACCGATTGTATCGGCGTCCACTTTACCTCATTCCTCGATTTATTCACCCGCAATGGTATAATAAAGCGCGTCCTCATATATGTATTCATGAGGTAAACATATACATATCTGCGTATAACGCGCTCGAATTGTTTTCAGCCGCATCATCCGATTGCCGAGTGAAACAAAACGCGAGAGTTGGCGAGGAAAAAAAAAAAAAAAAAAAAAGTCGCCGCAGTCGTCGGCCACTTGGGTCGTAAAAGAGAAGCCCACGCGCGTGTAAGTACCACACGAGGTAGGCACTTACTTTGGGCTTTTCTTCTTGTCTTTTGCGCGCTACAAATAAGTACGCAGATTTAACTGCGCCGCGAGCAGACGTGCCCCTCTCCGTGGCTTTGTTCAGTGCCAAGCTGCTCTCGGCTGCGGCTGTTTAAAAATAAAATTTGTATGCACCCACCTACGTCTGCGCAAAAACATTTGAAAAATCACGAGCTATCGGGTAAAAGTTTTTTGCGAGGGGTGATGGGAAAAAAAAAAAGGAGAGCGTGTCACGGATATATTATTTTTCCGGCATACGCAAGACGCGCGTTTAAAAGGCTATTAGCCGAGTGTGGGGAGGGCGGGCATCGAGCGGCCCCATGTGAAATGCGAGGCGGCGAGCCTAATGGTAAGACCGCTCGCAAATTCGCCAATTTCTCATAGTCAATTGCCTTGTCGCCCTAAAAAAAAAAGAAAAAAAAAAAAAAAAAANAAAAAAAAAAAAAAAAAAAAAAAAAAAAAAAAAAAAAAAAAAAAAAAAAAAAATGAAGAAGAAAAAAAAAAAAGATCCCCTCGAGTATTCTCGCGTCTATGCTGCTGTTACTCGAGTTCGCGTTGTTTGGGGTACTTTGAACGAAACTGCGGCTATAGAGCGAGTGGACGAAATCTCTCGCAGAAAAAAAGAAAAAGGAGTGGATGAGCTTCGAAGGGATTGTACATCAGGGGTGGCGCGCAGCCTAATTGTTAAACGATGTTTGCTGGGCCATGCGCCGGGGGATAATAAATGGAGCGTAGCGCGCACAAATGAGCCACAGCGGCAGTCGCGATTATTCAACAAAGCACGAGTATAGACTCACTAGCTCCTCGGAGATGTTTGGACGGGCTTTCTGTCAGCGGCTGCCGTTTAGCGGTACCTCTTCTGCCGCTGGTGTCTAGCGGCGGCAAAAATAGCCCCGACAGCTTTTAAGCGCTCTCCTCCTCCTTTGGTTCTCAGAAATAAAATTAAAACGGGGGGGGGGGCCCGGGTTGTTCGCGACAGCGGGGCTTTTTTTCTGCAAGTTTACTTCTTCGACCATCAACCCTGCAGCCGGCCAAGATTGTAATATCCTCCCTCCTTCTCCACTCCTGTCGAGCAGTCCTTAATTTCAAGAGCTGCCGATGTGACGAGAAAAAGAGATACAACATATAGGTAAGTACAATGGGGACGTGCCGGGCACCAGCGCCACTGCCGGGCCAATTTACTTAAAGTGTAAGTATGGGCACAAGTATATAATATATATATATAGAGTCAAGTTGGGTTACGTTTTTTTTAGTTTTTTCAACTGTGCGTGGTGCGCGCGCGTGCAGTGAGCAAGTAAGTAAACAAGTAAAAGCACACCATATAGCGGGCCGTTATAACGATCCCCTGCATGTTGGACTTTGTCCTTGTAAAATCCGGCCCGACAACTCGGACGGAGCCGCGCGTGTGTATATTTGAACAATAGGAAATTCTCGCGTTGCGTTTAATATCGCGATACACGCGCGCCAATAGCGGCTCGTAAGTGGCCGACGAGCACGGGGGATGTAGGTAATAATACCTTTAGTGGCGGAGGATTTTGTCGCGCCCATATAACGCGAGCTTCATGCCATGTGTGTATATGTATACCGTGCCACTGTGTGCTGGAGGGAAAGGACGGAGAGAAAGAGGGAAAAACGAGAGGAGGAGGAAGGAAGACTGTCTTTTGAAAGAAAGGAACTGCTGGTGCACTCGACACATCCGAGCCTTGGACACGTGATTTATCGGCCAATTAGTCGGGCCTACGCCGCCGACGCCATCCACCGCCGGGCCTGTGCACTTTTTCTCCTATTTCATGCATGCGCTGACAAACAAAAAGGCCCATCGCCCCGGAGACAAAAAATCATATACCTTACGTATATATTATGCACAGTCCAACGGAGCACAGCTTTCTCTCTCCCCTGCCGATATCCGTACACCCGCGGAGATGTTTTTTTTTCCTTCGCCGAAAAATACATGAAATTTCAATTCAATTACGCGCGTGGAAAAATAAAACGAGAGCAGCGAGAGCGCGCGGGAGATAAACCGAGGAGGATGAAGAATGTCGACGCGGTTGAGGGTAAGGGAGAAAACAGCGATAAACAATAAATAAAAAAAGGAGCCATCGAGAAAGAGAGATAAGTTCATTCAGAGCTGAATCAAGTCGGGTGTTGGGAGGGGAGAGCAGTAATCGGCAGGAGCTCGCAAGATTAAGCGATTAAGGTGCAGGCGGGGCGAAATCAACGAATATCGGCGCTCGGGGAGGACAAGAGAGAGAGAGAGAGAAAATCGAGCGCGAGAGGAGGGAATTGTACAACGAGAGAGTATAAATATATATTATATAGTTACACAAGGAGGAGGAACAGGTTTCCTCGTTTTCCCGCGGGCGATCCCCCCGCGACACTCGCTCGGCCGCGTACACCCCCCGCTGCATACACACAACTTGTTGGAATTAATTGCTCGAGCCAATTAACGCTCTCGGGGAGGAGGAGACAGCAATGCCTATACACGCGCACGGCTAAGAGAGGAGTGTGTGTGGGGGGGGGGGGGGTAAAAAAGAAGAGCGAGTATCGAAGTAAAACGTCAGCGCGAGCTGAAGCGGCGAAAAAAACGAAGAAAGTATACAACTCGAGTATACCCGCAAGCTTTTCCAACAGTTTGGTAGATCGGTTTATCGGCTACCTAACTCTCTTCTCTTTCTCCGTCGGCCCGACAGCAGCCTCTCCCTCTCTCTCTCTCTCTCTTCATTGAGTTTTTTGCCCTTTTTCTCACTTCTCGAGCTTCATTCCCTCCTTGGACCGCGTGCCCACGCACAGAGAGAGAGGAATGACTCGCAATCTGCACGTAACGGAGATACAACTCGGGTAAATAAACACTACTTGGCGAGCATTGTTTGGCCTATTAGCGCTCCGCCGCTGATGCTTCTTTATATATACAGATCTCGCGTGTCTTCTTACTCAGCTGCCCCCCCCCCCTCCCCCTTTCTCTGCCATTCAGTAAAATCAAAGTGCATTCACTCGCGAGAGATTTACAGTGTACGCTGCTTCTTGTTTGCTGGGCATCAACTCGGGACACAGCTTCTGTCGTGCGGATGTACCTACATCCCACGGCCACTCTATCTTTAATAACGAGTACTTACGACGTTTTGGGCTATGAGTTTCGTCTTGTGAAACGTTGTTATAATTCTACTCGATACAATATATTCGTCCGTCATCGCTCTGTATCACGGCGTGTATTTTACAATCGCTCCCAGGCAGTAAATTAAGTGAGACGCGTGACAGGGAGTGCCTGTAATGCCAGGGATGCGATGTTTCGGTAAGTAACAGACGATTTTATTTTAAAGCGACGTCCGATGATTAATCAATGTTGATGGTAATGTTAATACATCGCTAGAGTAATCAATTACTTTGAAAGATTTATACTTTCTTGCACATTGTTTCGGTACATTTAATCAGTAATGATAATTGTAAAGGTATATTGTATAGAATGTACTTTCACCTTCGATCGAAAATTGTTTTTGCAAAATCTTAACTCGGGCAATCCGAAGCTATACTAGCGTCCCCTAATCATCGCGATTGCCACAGCTCATGCAATTTACTGCTAGCATAAATATATTGCCGAATAAGTAAACCCTGTACAACAGCATAGTATTTGTGACTACAAGCATGATCTTTCTTTTCATCAAAGAATCATCTCATGTGGATCGAACCGACGGAAGATAAATTGCCACGATCGCAAGTGGTCGAGAAAGAAGAAATCCAATTTCTTTAATACCTACCACAGAGTGAAGAAATGTTCCCCGACACTCTGCTTACAGAAATATATCGTTTCACGGCAAAAAGGGTACCAAGTACATGAAAAAATTTTAGATCAACGACAGATTTTTCTTGTATAATTGTGAGAAATTTATTTCATATGTACAAAATTGGTGTACCACTACATCACTCATTTTTTTTTTTTTTTTTCTTCCTTTCTTACTTGTATGACACATCGATACATAAACAAAGTCCATTTAAATTTTACTATACATCAGACTGTAAAATTGAAAGAGTTTTTGTGTAAAGTTAAATACATTTTAAAGCCTTGTGCACACAAAAATATTCTTGTTACAAAAAACTGTGCACGAAAATTTCCGTTACCACGCATCATCTTTCATCAATTCATCATTTGCCCATTGCGATTGCCTAAAATCGGTATTTAACGTCATACGAAAAGTTGGCGCTTTCTGTATTACCACGGAAAATTTTAAAAACATTCCATAATTTTTTGTACACTTTTAAAATTAAGTCTTTACACTTTTGTAGCATATATGACTTTGATTCGATTTTATTCAGTTCTTTAAAAAATTAAATTGAAATTGTAAATTTGATTTTTCGAATAACATGCAATCGCAATATTACTTTCATGTAGATGCTGCTTTTTTCAAACTCGATGGGGAAAATCGCAGCCAGTTTATACAAAATAATTGTAAATACAAAAATTAGCTAAAAAAAAGCTCGACAATAGTCTTCAACTCGTTGGGTAAAAACCTATTTCCTCTATCTTATAGTCAAGAGCAAGTCATTGCTTTAATAAATAAGACTGACTTTTTTTCCTTCTCAAAATGAAAATAACACAATGATCGACAATTGGTCTTCAAAATAGATCATTCGTGTTCATTCATTATACTGATTTTGTTGATGATAATAATGTACTTATTGTTAATTACCTAATGTATAAGTGGTCTTGTGCGATGCGACTGACTAAGCCTCATTTATTTTTTTTTCTGGTTTGCATTTTGGTTCTGATTCTTGGAAACTTGATTCTTATTTTTGGGTGGTGGTAACGCCACTTTGTTTTTCTTTTTCTTGGGCTCGTCATCCTCATCTTCGTCATCGTCACCATCCTGTTACGCAAAATATTACATTTATCAAAAAAACTTTGAACACGTTCATTATTTGAATTATAGGTCATTCAATTTACCTTTTCGTCTTCCCAGTCGTCAAACGTATCTCCTTCCACATCCTCGTCTTCCATATCTACAAATTCTTCTATATGAGAAGCTGTTGAAGATTCATAATATCAATGATGAAGAGGTAAGTGTGTTAGCATAATGAAAATTATACTATAGACTTACCAAGGAGATTGTGTCCAACTATATGAACAGGGCCACTTCCTTTGATGAGAGTAAATGTGACAGGTGCATCAGGAAAACTCAGGTCCATCGACACTTGTGATTGTTTTCCCATTTCCAAGATTGCAATTGGAATTTTCGTCACTCCGTCGAGTGACCTGGCCTCAACCTGGATCACATTTATTTCACCCTCTTTTGCATCATGCCCCAATAGAGCCTGGAATAAAATAAAATGGTAAATTTTTTTTTTTTTTACCCCAGTTAGAGACAGGCTACTAATATAAAAAAAATCAACAGCCAAAAGATTAAGGAGCAACCACATATAATTTAAATGATACTTGTATAAATATATGAGGAATAAAAAGAAGTGTAAGGGATCAAGACGCTCCTGAACATGTGTTCTTGAACTCTTTGACAACAAAAGGAAGATAGTGCTTGAAGCATTATGTAGATTTATTTTTTTCATAAAAATGCTATTCTTTAATATTACTTTTAATATAACAAATACAATTTCAGATAATATTAACATAAAAATTTGCATTTAAAACGTTTCATAGAAGAAACTACTGAATACCACAATTTTAATTTAATAATAGCACAAGATGTCAAATTTAAAATGTAATAATTTTTAGCTATAAATACTTAAATTTTTAAAGTATACAACACTGTATTGTTAAATTACACCTTTTGTAGATTATTTCAAGCACACCACTTGCTGCCAATTTTATGTATGTTATTGTCAATGAAAATTTACTATATTTTTGTAGATAATACCCGACTGAAAAGTTATAAGGTAATTGTCAACAGTTGAACTATGTAAAATTAACAAGTGCTTAGGATTGACAAAAAGTCGAATAGAGTATACTGATAAAATTATGGAGGGTTATGGGCATGCACGAGGTCAAAGAGTGAGAAAGGGAGAGAGGGGGATTGAAGTAAAAAGTGTGGTAGTTATTATGTTGCGAGTATAAAAGTTGGTGCGGTAATGAAGTGATCGTAGATCTATAATGGACTAACCATTTTGATAATAAGCTTCTGGTCGATGCCGCACTGCTGATTACTGTCATCATTGTCATCATTTTTCGGCTCGGGATCCCAGGTCTCAAATTTTTTTTCGCCACTGAGTGTGATTCCTGCAACCAGTGTTGTGTTAGAGGAAAAGTCTTTTTGGAGCAAAAGTCGCGGCTAGCTGAATCGTATGTCTGTGCTGTCTTCCAAGTATTTGTAAACAAAATTTTTTGGCTACATTGACCCGGAGTCGAGGCGGTATCAATGGCCGTCAAGGGTGGAAAAGCCGGCATCTCGAGCCAGCTCGTGCTCGGTATAAGGATGGATAAAAATCAGATGTCCAAAGCACTAGATTGAATCTCCTTTGTCGTACTCACCGTATAAATATTCCTCGGCCATAGCGATTGCGTTGATTTTCTTGGATTAAGATGCCAAAGTGTACACTTTGCAATGTGAGAGCGTCGGCTGGACGTTTAAACGTCGAAGAAGTCGTGAGTTTTACACCGGCAACGCTCTAAAGCTGAACTGCTGCCGTTTCTCGAGGCACTACTTGCTTCAACACTATTATGACAATTTTAGTACTGCTTGCTACCACTACGGACTGCAGCGCCAAAATTTCTCCTTTTCCTCCCTTAAACTAGTTTTTGATTTTGCCACGCATCGTCGCAACTCTGCACGTATAGAACACACATCCACGCGTCGGTGTACCTATACATGGATCATTTTACGAAAAATGCAAAGCTTGGATGCATAAAGTAGAACTTTCAAAGTCAAGGGTTTAAAATATAAAAGTAAGGCCTAAAAACAAGCTGGAAACTCTTGAAAACCCATATCCTATTTCTTGAAATTAGTTTTTTTTAAACCTTCGAACGCGCAAACCTGTAATTATGCAGTGGCTCAGATTCAATTAATATTCGAATTAAGAGTGGCCAAAAATTTTACAATTACGAAATGACCCTATCTCTCAATACTCGATTATAGGTATATGCGAGTGGGAGTCCAAGAGTTGAGCAGTTAACTGCGTGATCTTACCTAATCATTTATCATCACGTGCAGTTTGAAAGTGTCAAAAATTGTGGACACGACAAAACGTCTTTGTTATTTAGAAACATAGGTATTTTTTTTTCTTTATTGATCATTACATTTTTGTCGCTTACAGCAAACTCACGTGCTTTTTGTACAATTGACTTTAGATACATCTAGAACAATATTTCTTACTCGTTTGCTCGTACGATAGGAAGGGAGAGGGAGACAACATCGATTGGTCGATCGAAACGCCGATGAGCGACTCATTTACATTGTTTTATGTATAGTAATATGAATGTCAGCGAAGAAAATGATTTTTATTTATAATTATAATCTTTTTATACGTATGCCTTTTACTTTACTCGCTTGTAAGGGCGATGGTGTCAGGTAGTGAGGGGGGGGGTAGAAGAAGGACTCAAGGTGTATGGTGTGTGTGTGTGCGTGTGGGTGGGTGTGGTGGGGGAAGTGGGGGTTGGGCAGTGCTTTTTATTTACAACGTCGTATAAACAGGGCCTGGTTCGTGTACGTATTTTATTCAGAATTATCTAACAAACTTTTAACTAGTTAACGAGACTTTTCATCTACATGATCGTACACGACTAACACTGAAAACTATTTGATATGAGATTTTCACTTCCACCGCATACACGAGCTGATTTGTTTTGTTTTCTTTTTCTTCTTTTTTTTTTTTCTTTCTTTTTTTTACACTTTGTCTCGCAGCAGCTCATCACACTCGTGTCAAAGCGCTCATCATTCATTTTGACATGTACACGTAATATATTTATATNTTTCAGGTACCTATTACTCGAAATGAGTATTAAGAGAAAAAAATTTAGTTTAAAAAATTTTTAATGTGAAATATGAAAATGCGATGTTTCAAATGGCCGAGGCATGGAATAACATTGCAATTTTTAGTAAAATGATCCATATAGTGTATACACTGTCCAGGCTTCAGTGCACGTTTCGGAGTTATCGGGTGTTTTACATAGTAAATGTAAGCGTAAACCCATCTCTCCAATTTTTTTTTTAAATTTGTGTGGCCACTTGCACGCATTTCCATCTCTTTTATTGTGTACTACATTGGAAAAAAGAATTAATTTCAGTACACCTCAGGACTTGGGTGTTTTCGATCGGCTGATCGGCTCAACTGCAGTATATATATATATATGTATATATATAAATGACATTACCTACTTCGTGTGAGAAAGATGCTATATTATGGGTGAATGCAGCACAGCATACAAGCTTTTAACTTAACTCTTAAGTCTTTAAACTAGTAGTCTGGCACGTACACCTTAATTTCTATTGTTCTGGTGAAAATATGCATGTGGCTGCAAAATTTCACAGTGAAAGTTACTCTACCCATTTCTGAGTGTACAACTACACTGCTCACAATCGACGAATTTCAGCTTCTTCAATGCTCTATGTGGTACAAAAATTTTTTAGGTGATAGTGAAGGACAACTGCATAATATATTCACGTGCCAATAACGTCTGATTACTTAAGTAAGCGTACCTTTGGTCATTAAACAATGGAAGAGGAGGAGGACTGGGATACTCCTTCAACCCCTGCTGCAAAACCCCCAGCAGTAACACCAACAGTTACAACATCAACTACAACAGCACCACAGCAAAGTAGTAGTAGTAATACCTCAACAGATAATACTCTACAAACTTTGAAAATTACGGATGGTTACAAGTACAGTTATGAAGCTCTAGCAAGTCCAGCTAATGTTGAAGACTGGGTAGATCCTCCTACATATGAAAGCTCAAAGCGGATTCTTAATGGATTTACTCAAAGTAATTCATTTAGGGATAATAATAAGCCATACAGGAGTGACAGAAGTGATAATTATAAAAGGTATGTACATAGTTTTACTCACTCTGAGTGATATTTTGTAATCACATTTGTACAATGCACTTGAACTTGTACAGCCACTTGTAATTCTACTTTAAATTACATATGGTATTGCAAATGGGGTTTCAGAATGGTAATGCCATCAGTAATTACATATGTGTAATTCCAAGTGGAATCACAAGTAACGATGAATATGAATTTTCTTTATGGGAAAAATTCGTATTTCATGTAGTATCACCAAAATAGGAGGATTTAAGTATTTTTTCTAGAATTTTGAGAAAATAGGATTTTCTATTTTCTTTGAACCCCCTGTTTTGGTGATACTATAAGGATAGTAACGTCGGTCATTGCTATCACACTATGAAAAATACTAATTTTTAACTATTTCTCTTACAAAAAAAAAATTCACACAAATATCGTTACTTGTAATTCTACTTGGAAATTAGTACATGTGTAATAATAAAATATCTCTCAGGGCACCCAATTTTCTTAATATGTTTTTTTTTTTTTAACATCTGATTGTTTAACCTACAGGTTTGATAAGCGCAACACTAGTTATTCAAACCCCTCTGGAGACTTCGTAGCACCTAAGCCTAGGTACTCCAGGCCTGTGCCCAATGTCAATCCAAATGATTGGGATGCACCTGTAAATAATACACCTCCTCCTCCAATTAATGGATCATGGAATGATAATGTTCATGTTCCAATCACCAATCCAGTGGAAGATGACTGGGATGCTCCAGGAGGGGGAACTCCAAAATCAATTACAAATCGCAAATCTACTCCAGTACCAATATTTAATCCACCAGTTACTGCAAAACCAATTGCTTCCAAAGATGTAGAAGAGGATTGGGATGCTCCTTCGGGATCGTCTTCTAAAGCTGATGTCTTACCACCAGTTGAGTTACCTACTTTCAGGCCAAGCAGTGCAGCCAGTGTATCCGTACACTCTGTACATAATGATGCCCCGACTACTACACCAAGTCAACTAGTTGATGAAGAAAATTGGGATGAGCCGGGGACACCTCATAGTGTCTCTCAAGTTGTAATGCCTACCTTCAAACCTCCAACTACTTCTTTTTCAGAAAAAAATGACGAAGAAGATTGGGATGCAGAACCATCCCAAGCAAAGACTGGCAATGGATATCCAAAGAATATTCCATCTTTTTCATCACGAAATTCAGATGGTGCATATTCCAACAGTCAAAGATACGATGATAACTGGAAATCCAACAAATATCAAAGGTCTAGAAATTTCGATTCTAATAACGATCACTTCAGTCGATCAGATCCATTCTCCCGTCATTCAGGTCGTGGGAACTACAGGTAACATGTGATTTTTTTTTATTCTAGTGACGTTACATTTATTTAGAGATGTTTTGCACAATAACATTTTGCAATAAAACAAAATATACGCTTTTGTTTTAGAAATAATTCATATGATCGTGGAAGCAGAGGTAGTAGAGGTAACAGGGGAGGTAGAGGCAGAGGTGGTAGAGATTTTAATTCATCTTTTGGTTCACGTGATAATTCAAGAAGTAGGGGAGATAGAGATGATAAACCCTACAGAAGTAACGACAGGCCATATCAACCGCCAGCTTCTTTCCAACAGACTGTAGTGCATGATGAAGAAGATTGGGATTCACCAACTGGTTTTGCCAGTAAATCTGCTGAAAAAAGTGGTCCACCTCCACTACCAGTATGTTTAATCATATTTACTTTACGTATTATCTATTATCAAAAAAGTATCATTAAATACTCTTCAAATATTTTAGACTATTGCTCCTATCATACAATCGCAACCAGTAATGGAAGAAGAATCTTGGGATTAACTTAAAAATTTATGCAAAGTGCCTACGAGCATTTTTACAAATACTTAATGGTTATGTTGCATAAAACATAAGTTTCCATTATTGTGCAGGGATTTCATCAAGTTATCTTAATGAGCAGCAGAAAAAATTAATGATATTTACAAGATCACTTTATTTTACTAAACAAGTAGCCGTGACGTTATCAATTTTAATTTTATACATTTTATCAGCTTTATGTGTGTAGCTTTGTTTTATTTACTGCGATTTTCGTGTAATTAATTTAAAAAAATTTAATTTCTACAACTGATAAAATAGCTAATATTTTTTTTTAGCTTTTTAATAAAGACAAATGAATGACGATTTTCAGACAATTTTATACACATCAATTATATTCACATGATGTATGAAAACAAACGTAAAATAAAATTTCATACGACTCGAGAAAACTACAGATTTTTAAAGAGACACTATCTACATAAAATTAAGTGAAAACACTGCAAAACAACAATGTCAAGTCTTGAACTTTTTACATCCATCAATCAATACGTATCAAAATATCAGAACGTGCTTTTTTACATTTGTTTGTAAAAATATTAATTATAAAATGTGTTATCTACAACCTTTTTAGTATTAACAATCATGCTACAAGAAATTTATGTACATTTACTCACACCCCTTATACACAGTATATATGTTACTGATGAAAATACCATTAAACAAATTTTTTTTTAAACTGTATTTTATAGGATTTAATAGAATCGACTTTAAATTTCAATTCTTGGTCGGTACTGTAGTCGCAAAGGAGGATTTTGAAACCTCCACCTTGTTACATAAACAAACTTAAGAGTATGATCCTTTCCTAATAATTCATTGTTACAAAGAATGTCGATCTGAAAATTAAAAATAATACAATTTTTACACGATTGCTAATGATTTTTTAAATAATTTCAATTCTACTTACATCGCGATATTTTTCCATTCCATTTAAAACTTTTTTGGCTATAAATTTTTTCAAATGAGTTATAGTTGCTTGGGCCGAACATCTTATGAAACCACGTTTTAATGTCTTTAAACTGGAATTAATACATTCCAAACAAACATTAACCTGAAAAATTTTTGAAGATAAAGTGAGTAATTTAATAAAAAAAAAATTTTTATATTCCAGTTGTGTATGGTATTATTGAACATTCTATTAATACCTGTTCATCATTTCTATGGTAATCTGACTCAGCATGCGTATCTGCATTTGCTTTTTCATCCTCACCATCACCAGAATTTGGTAAAACATCTTTTGGACAGGGCAAACCTCTAGATCTATAAAATTCTCTTTCTCGTTTTATTTCATCTAAAAGTACATCAATTATCATAAGTTAGTAAATGGATAATCAGACCTGTTGTAAACATTTTAGAGCATTATTTTAATAAAAAATACTGTTGTAAACGCATACTAAAATTATTTGAGAAGCATTTCAGTACATTACTTACTTTCTTGAAGATCAGGAACTAATTTATACACTATGTCTTGCATAGTTCTGTCAAAGCTTATATATTGAAGAGGGTGTGACTGATGAATGACTATTTGACACTGAGGACAAGTGTTTTTTTCATCAAGATGTTTGACCAGACAACTTTTGCAAAAAGTATGAAGACACTCCGTAACCGTTGTTGCGTCTATCAGGTATCCTCTACATATTTTGCAAGTTATGTGACTATTCAGAGTTTTAAGTTTTATTTTCCTCTCCATTTCGGTGCTCAACTACTCTGATATGTAATTTAGTTTCACATGTACACACACGCACGTAAATAACTTATTTCAATGAAATTTGTTGAGAATTAATATTTTTTCCAATCTCTCGCTATTCTGTTGTGTGTTTTGCAGCTTCTTCTTGGATAAGAAACTCTACAACTGTTATAAACAATAATTTGTAAGAGTAACATTTGACAGCTGCACTCTAACTTTTTATTCCTTTCGTTAATTTAACAAAAATTGCCAGCACTTCATGGTGAAATTTTTTGGCACCAATGAAAGTTATGAATTTATTGTTGGGTTTGTTAAAATGTTTTTAAAAACTTAAAAAAATACTACTTGGTAGCGTTTGCTTTATTTGTCGTCTTTGAATGATTTTCTCTCTGCACTTTGACAACGAACCTAACCTCGGCTACTCACAATTACAATTACGATTGTCGGTTGATGGAGTGAGTTATTAATGAAAACTTTTCAGGATTGTTGTTGTACGAATGTAATTATGAAGATTTGAGAAAAAAATACTTTAGAAACATAAAATCACAACGTATGGTTTGGCGTCGGCTAAGAATACAGCAAAATACGCTTCTTTGACGTAAGCAGAGGTAAAGCACGAGTATAGAGTGTCAACGAGTGTGTGAAATGATGAGATGTATATTACACGGTACAAGATAATATACTTAGGTAATATATTAAAAGTATGTTACAGTGAAATGTGTGGCATTTAAATTAGTCTCCGTTTTAGTGCAAAATAGTTATAAAAGTACTTATGGTAATAACTGATAATTATCACAGTTAAATTAAATCTCATCAAAATTATCTCGTAAGTTTGTTTTTTTTTTTTTTTAATTAAAGTAGGTATTTACATGATCCTGTTAAACAAGTAAATAAAAAAAAGCAGTTCAAAGAAGAGAACTAATCACTTGTTTGAAAAAAAAGATTTTTCGGCATTTTTGGAGGTAAATTATAAATGCACGTTTTGGTTCTAAAGCTCTGTGAAAACCTGAGAACTTGTCGATCCAATCAATGGGTATACTTACTCTTATGGGGCAAGAAAAATTTGACTGATTGCAGATAGGTATGCTCTCTCGGACTCTGTTTTTTTTTTTTTTTTTTTTTTGTTTTCAAGCGAGTGCGTACGCGCATACTTACTTATGCTTATATATTATATAGGGGTATGTAACGAAGCACGGGCGCCGCCATGTCGAAATCGGCTCGCGTAGATTGTTGCGGAGAGAGAAAGATTTGTAGAGTTGCAGCTTGCAGCGTGAAATAGTCAAGTCAACACATGCAATTACAAGGACTTGTATAGTTCGGTCCAGACTCCAGAAATCAGAGTCTCAACACTCAACCTCAACCTCGAGCTTCGAGACGTGACAAAACCAAACCCCGTAGCGGGCGTGCGCGCGCGCGCCGAGTATATATAATATTATAGGCTCTCAAAGGAGTATCCGGACTCGGCAGCTGCGACAGCCGCGAGTCATCCCCGAGAGTCGAAGGAATCCTACCGACGAAGAGGGCACGCGAGAGAGCATCGGGCTGGCAGGTTCTCTGCAGCAGCTCTTTACTCCCGGCTAACGCTCGTCAACGTAGAATGAGCGGCGAGCAGGAGGCTACGGACAGCAGGCTAACCACCCAGGAGGAACCAGGAGCTATGGGCGACGTCCTCACCAAGGAAGACCAGCAGCAGCACCACTGTGACTCCGAGGCTGTTTTAGAGCAGCATCAATCCCTCGAGCCTGTCGTGTCCTTCACCGAGCCCCAGCTTCTTAACCACCAGCCGCTTCTTACAGAGGTAAGCCACCTCTATATTGGTGCAGGAACCCTTGCCATCCTTTCGGTTCTATTGGCTTAGTTGTTATCACGTCCTTCGTGGAAATACTTTTAAGACGATGCTTATTGAGATTTCTTGCATCTTATAGCCATAGACCAGATACCCAAGATGTATTGCGATCATTGTGCTGCTTATCTGTTATCATATGTTCTTTTGTAATACATTTTAACAATAGTAAATAGTATTTGTTTCTTATTTTTAGATTATGGATGTAGATAAAGTAGAGTTGACAGCACAGGCAGTGCTGAGTAGCCAAGTCAGTGTTGACAGTGATTTGATGAGCTTGTTTAAGCCCTATGAAAATGCCATTAATAATGGCACTGGTACAATGGAAATTGTCCAAAATGATGAGTACTTATTGTGTAAAGAGCAATGCCTAGCCAATGACAGCTCTACTGTTGATGATTTATGTGACTGTAAAGAGTGCAAGTGGAAAAAAAGGTGCTAGTACCAATATTTCTTTTAAACCTTTGTTTGTAACTCCCATCTTTATTAAAATTGTTGTTACTTTTCAAAATGCAGAGATTTATCTAAAGAAGACTTTGAAGAAATGATCAAGTGTAAGCATCTCGGTGTAAACTTGAGGCATTACATAGGTTCCACATTTCATTGGTTTATGGAAACGTCAGGATTTTCTGGAAACCCATCTACAACACTGCCTCAGCCTCAAGATCTAGATTCCATTGAAAATCTTGATGAACTCAGAAAGTCTGTGGTTTTGTATGTACTTGTCATCATGGTCATTATAGTGAAAATAAGTTGAAAACTTGTTAAATTATTGTACTAAAGTCTATGTTAATGTTGTAGATTGTGCGAAAAAGTACCTTATCAATTGTTCATGTGGTTGGTCGGACAAGCCCAAGAATTTGTGATAGGTGTTAAGGTTCAATTGTTGACACTTTTGTATGACCGCAGCGTTGGTAACTTAGCAGAAGTTTTTATAACAAGTAATTTTTAAATTTTATTCATACATCATAAGAAATTGATTTTTAATGTTAGCTTTACTAATTTGTCTTATTCACCAGAACTTTTAGACGGATATGAAGCCTTGTTAGCTACAGCTGTACATATTTCCGATTTACTACAGCCTTTGCAAAATGAACTTTTTAGTAAAGTCAACTTAACGTGGAGTTACATTAACAAAAGTTTATACCAAAATTATGTTTTTAGCGACCCTTTGATACAAAATAATTTACCTTCGTATCTTGGACAGGTAACTTCAGTCACTTATATATTTATTCAAAATTACTCGATAGCTGAGGTAGCAAATTAAAATTTTTCAGTTGAAAGAATGTATGAAAGAAGATAATTCGAACAAACATCTTCTAGATCGTTACTTTGCGTTCAACGATGAAATAACTAAAATTGGATCTTTGTGTCCAGAAATTGAACGTCTCATCGACAAGTACAAGTAAGTTTTTCATTTCTCATGAAATCAATGTTATTTCAAACATTTTTACTCATCTGTATTTTATTTCAGTGCTGAACAAGTAACTGGTTCTGTGATGAAAAAAGTTCGCGAAGATTTCGAGCGATTCAAAACGAGATTAAAACTCGATTTGCCCATTTACACTGATGAAAATTTAGAATTCATTAAGGAAGTGGATGACAGGTTCGTCAGAAAAAATAAAATGCAATATAACCATTTGTAAATAATAATTACAATTTTTATTGAAACTTGATCAAAACGTAAATTAAAATCTTCAGTGTACGGATTTTATGTTTTCTCATTTTTTTTTTTTTTTTTTTTTTTTTTTTCATACAAAAGTACTTCAGTAAACAAGTCAACCCTACGTTCTGTTTAATTTCCTTTAAATTGTAGTATAATTTTGTTCTACTATTTTATGTAAATTTATTTTTTTTTAGTAGCAGTAATGCTGTACCAGATGATGAAGAGTTTTTGTATACGAATTCCTATATTCAAGCCTGTTCACTGCCCCATGCAGTAGAAATACAAAGTATGTTTAATGATTGGAAAAAATCTCCTCAACAAAGGTTAACTGACTTAGTAGAAGCATTGACGTTATCATCTAGTTTAGAAGAAGAAGTGGAACCTAGAACTGCAGAAGAAAAAAATTGTTCTTCTTATTTAGAAAAAACGATAAAAGAAGGTATTAATAAGTCTGTGTTGTGCGAAAAACAAGATTGCAAATGTGACCTTAACAATTCTCCTGTTGATCCAGGAGTGAATGTAAGCTATCATCATTTAACTTCAGTTTAATTTTGGTGTTACTTATCCGTATCAAGAATAAATTTTAATCTATATAATTTACATAATTTTCTAGCTTATACAAGAAAAATCTCAAAATTTCCATAACCGCGTATTGAAGCACAGTGCTGCCGTTAATATACAAAACCGAAAAGGTAATGAAAACCATTTGTTTGTATCCCTGAAAATGCGTATTAAACAATAATAACTCGAATTTTGTGTTGACTGTTTAGTTGATCCCGCAATGATAGTGAGAAACGAGTCTAGTGATGGTTCTGATCTTCCTCGTACTCTCGCTATTCCAAAGCCGAATAAAGATAATTGTGGGGAGCCTTTAAAAAAAGTGTCTAAAACGTCCACAGCTCAGACAGCTCAAACGCAAATAAGGCACTCAACTACGCAGACACCTAGTACAAATCACAATCAAAATCACGTACATCGTCATTATCATCAAGGAAGATGTGAGTATATTTGTCAAAATGTATTTAATTCATGGTAACATATACGCACACGACATCAATTATCATCGAGTTGGTTCAAATGTTTTAAATTAAACTGCGTTGAAAAATATTTAAGGGAGTAGCTCGACTGTATCGGGGGGCGCAGTCTAAAAAAAAAAAAACAACCAGTTAGTTTTTTTGAATAAGCTTAAACACCGTGGATGGAATTTTATACAGGTTCGTCTCATTCTCATTCGCACGGAAGTTTATCCAATTCCGTTATTAAATCCTCTGGTCTTCATCGAACGCATGTAGGTCATAACATTCATCCACCAGGATCGACAGTATCTTGTCATAAACAGCAGCACATAGTCGAACACATTAAACGATTATCAGCCATTGATCGTAAATACTTTAAATTATTTTATTTTTATTTTTTTCAAATAGTACAAAATTTCGAAGATCGATTCATTGTCAATGTATCATTCACGCTGTTATAAAAGTCTTCAAGATTTTTGTATTATAAATGTATAATCTTTGTTATTATCTTTGCGTTTGTCTTATCATCACCTTTATCTATACTCAAGATTAATTTGTCAATGATTAAAGTAAAAATAAAAATAAAAATTAATTGAATTTTCAGTGAGCCCTGGAGAGAACGGAGACTGTTCTGATTCTGGAAGTAGTCACGAAGATACTTGTTCAACAACTAATAGTCCAACTCCTAGGGATTCAAATCGTCACTGTGATTGCTGTTATTGTGAGGTGTTTGGTCATGGCGTGGTAATTTAGTATAATCTCGCGAATTCAAAGAATCAATTTTTATTTTTACTTTTTTTTTTATTTACTAAGATCAATCTTTTCAAAATGTTGCGATTTATTCAACAAAACCAAGCTATGAAAATTTGTAGGTCCTCCATTGCTGTAGATTTTTTTTACATTTATATCACTTTCTATAGTTTATTAAAAAAAAATTAAACTTTGATTTTGAAATTTTTCTTCGACGTATACTATTGAAATTTGATTTAAGTCGACTATCTTTGTAACCAGCTCAAAGTTTGTATTTACAATTTTCAGCCATCGGTAGCGCCAGTCAGTCGAAATTACAATGAAATGCGTGAAAGGCTGAGGCAACTGTTATCAAAAAAGAAAGCAAAGGTGTGCAAAACGACGGCAAATCCTCATGTAAAAAGTTCCATCGAAGTATCATCGTCTTCTTCATCCTTATCGTCGACTTCTTCAACATCATCAACAATAACTAATGTAGATTCATCTAATCTACCAAATGCAGCTTCGAGGTCAAATACGCCTAATGCAACGACTTTGAATCCTGCGCCGAAAGTGACTACTAAACTTGTCAACTCCGTTAACGTAGCTGTCCCTGCTATCACAGTAAAACTTAATTCTAAAGAAGATTTATGGAATTTAGATGCTGCTGTTGAATTCATAGAAGGCTGCAATGGTGGAAAGAAAAATGAAAAAAAAGCAGCAAAGAAAGCTCGTCAAAAACAAAGAAAGGTAAGACTGCATGATAATGAATAAGAGATTTTGTGAAGAGTAAATTTCATTGCTAAGTAAGAATAAACTATAATTTTGGATAAATTTCTTTTGTGTTCCAAGATTGATGAAAAAAATCTAAAGCAAAAAGAAGAAGATGACAGGTTAAAATTGATAGAACTTCAAAAGAAAACACCAGAAGTTACAATAACTGTTGTGAATCCGCAAAAACAACAGTCGCAAAAATCTGTACAAAAATCGAAATTGCCAGAAGTGTCAATTATCCCCGCTGTATTATCAAAACCGAAAGCAACATTCACCGTTAACAAGCCAACAACAAGTGCGAGTACGACAAAAAAGACTGCTGATGTTGTCGGTATCATCAGCAAAAATGTTGGCAAAAGTAAAGTTGCAGCAGTACCAGCACCACTAGTGCCAAAAACTCAGGAAAACGTGAAAAAAAAGACTGCTAATGTAGAAAAACTTAATCAAGCGGCCGTCAGTACGAATCAGACAAAATCTAAGACGCCAGTCAAAGCTAATGAAATTGTTTCTCAACCAGATCCTACAGATGAATTCAGTGATCTCAGCAATTTAACAAAAAAAGAAAGAAAAAAGTTAAGACGTGCAATTAAAAAGCAAGAAGAGCTAAAAGAGTTGGAAAATAAACAGTTGGAAAATCAACTGCAGATTGTAACTATCAAGCGAATAATGGAGTCTAACAATGCTGAGCCAACTGTAACTATAACCTTGAAAGGTCAAACACCTGCAGAAGATAAGGTCTTGTTTACTCTTGTTAATGGACAAACAAAAGATTCATCAAATCAGTCCCAGAATTCTGGCAAGAAAAAGAAGAATAAAAATAAAAATAATAATTCTTCCGGTCAGTCACAACAAGTTGCCGACAAGCCTCAACAACCTCAAATTAATAATAATGTTAAAACTGATGTGAATCAAAAGAACAATTCAAAAAATGTAAAACAACAGCAACAATCTCAACAACAATCTGGTAAAGATAAATCTAAATCGAGTAAACAGCAGCAGGAGAATCAAAAAGTACAACAACAACAAAACATCGTCACCAATGAAACAAAAAGTACAAAATCTAAGAAAGATAAAAAAAATAATAATGAAAATAAAGAAAATATTTCGAAACAAACTACAAACGAAAATGTACAAAAACAAGAACACAGTACAACTAACAAAAAATTAAATAAGGTACAAATAATATTTTTTGCTATTGTTTATTCTGTGTTAAGTTAATTTTATAACAGTTTGTTTCCAAATACTTATTTAAATACAAAAATTAATAATTTATGTCCTGTTATAAATTTTGACTATATTATTAGGCTTCCATCAACATTGTTCCAACTCCCATGATCAGTAAAAAACAGCAGCAACAGCAGCAACAACAACAGCAACAGCAGCAGCAACAACAACAGCAGCAACAACAACAGCAGCAGCAACAGCAGCAGCAGCAGCAGCAGCAGCAGCAGCAGCAGCAGCAGCAGCAGAAGAAGCAACAGCAACAGCAACAGCAGCCAAATGTTAATTCAAACAATAATAAGGGTACTAAGAATGTTAAGAATCAAAATCAGGTTCAGCATCAGAAAAAAGTCAATAACAACAGCAGCAGCCAAAACAATCCGAGTAAACCAGGAAAATGTAATAGTGCTACTAGTGGAAATCAAATTCAAACTCAGTCCACAGTTTCTGACACTCAAAAAACTTCGAAAGGTGTTGCAAATTTGACGAATAAACAAAAGCAGGCCGACGAGCCAATCCAGACTCGGAGAAGAGAACAGCCAGATGCTTTCTCAAATAATCATCAAAAGGAAAGGTGCAACACGCCGTCGAGTATTAGCATTGAAAATCTGAAGCTCCCTCCAGGTATCACTATAACTAAAGTCGATGCTCCAGTCAGGCCTCTTCCCTTGAAAACAAACGTCGCTCCAAAGCCTGTTAAAAATACACCGAAACAAACAACTATTATTGCGGCACCAATGAGCGGTGTTCAGTCGTCGAATTACGGAAATCCACAGGGTACCGGAAATGTGATTGTTGTTGATACTGGAAGACTGAAGCAAGATTTAGTACCTAAAAATGGTAAATAATACTTCCTACTCGGCATGTATGAAACTATATAATGTTTTTGTATTTTAATCAAATTCGACATACTTAGAAAACCCAAAAGATCCAAACGGTCAGTCGTCATCTTCGTCGTCAAAGAAAAAGAAGAAAAAGAAGAACAAAAATTCTGCAGTGAATGGAAATGAGAAAAATGGTAGTGCTCAACCAGTGCAAAGCAACGGTAGATTACAGCAGCCACAGCAGCAGCAGCAAAATTCGAACGATTACGCAGAGCCGGCTCGGATCCTTCACAACCCCACGACAAACATGGTGACCATAAGAAATCCTGCGTTTGGCCCAGCACCACCCAAAATGGAACCTTGCACCCAACAAGCAGCCATTATCAAAGTTGGAGTGGATGGAATGGTGACGATACGTAGTCCTGCTCTTCAGCAAGCAATTAACGCAGGTCTTCAACCGCCTTCAAAACCCGATTTTATTGTTAAGGGAGGTACCGCTGCAAACGGAGCTAAGGTTAATAAATTAAGTTCAATTTAAACTCTGAACCATTAAATTTAAAATGTACTGATGCTCAAAACATTGGTTTATTTCAGCCTGTGAGTAACAATTTTATGAACAGTAGTGAACTGTCTGGTCCAGTGAAAGGATCGAATGGAATGCAGTTGCCTACAGATCTCACAGAGTTGCGAAGGCGACTAGCCCAACAATCTGACAACGATCGAATGACATCGTCGACTCTGTTTAACAATGGTCTTTCGAGTATTCAAATAAGCAAAGTCACGAATGGCCAATCGCCAAACATCCCCGAGAACGGCATTAAGTTAAAAGGAACGAGCGTGACGCTGACGAAAATTCGAAATACTGAGGCACACATTAATCATATGCAGCAGCAACAACAGCAGCTCATCGACGAGGCCAAAGGAAATTCGTTAAGCGGAAGCGCGAGCAAAAACCGTAAGAAAAAGAAACGGGGAAACGGAGGTCGACAAGGTGGCGATGACTGGAATCTCGTTGGTGAGAAAGAACACTAATACTTTTAATAAAGATCTTCCAATTATTGTTAAAGGTGGCTTTTTGAACGTGTATATCATGAAAAAAGAAAAATTAAAGATCACTCAGAATACCACCTTAAGCAGCTCATTTTCAAGTTTTTTGTTTGACTCAATCTTTCTTTCAAAAATATATAGAGTAACAGTTTATTTATTTTTATTTTCATTTTAATTTATTTTTTTAACAAAAACTTAAAACAAAAATGTGTGTGATTCGTACTAGGTGTTTATTGATGGAAATATTTCACAATTAAAGGTAAAGTGAAAATATCAAACACAATAGAGATTAATAAAAGTTGCGCAAACGATTTAAAGTCTGAACATTAAAATCATACGGATAGGTTCGTTTAAGGTTCTTAGATAATATTTTTGTTTTTGTTTTTTTTGTTAATTTATCAAAAGAAATGTAAATGTGTTTTTGTAATTAAAAAAAAGGTATTTGCTTGAACATAATTGATATTCTGTAATTCGAAATAAAGAAAACCATGATAAAATAAAGTATTTCTAACTAATGACGGTATTTTTATATAAAGTTGTTGAAAAATTTTTCATAATTACTATGTAATATGATATATTTGTTCGCACACGAAGAAGCAGAGGGAGCATAGAGAATGTGCGTATATGTATATTTGATACTCATGAAATTTATCTAATAAATGCCTATTGATAAAATAAACGTAACATTCACTTTGACAACTGCGTCACGTAAAAGTGTGGCATTGATTATGCGGAGCCGAGGAAGCAAAAACAGTGTACGAAAATTTTGCGGATTTTATGTTTTCTCATTTTTTTTTTTTTTTTCTTTTCTCTTTTTACGAAGACGGTTCATGCAGCCAGTAGCACGCTCAAAATAGAAAGGGCTTTGCTTTAGCCGTGCAGCAGCACACCGTGCGTCTTATGCGTGCAGCTCGCGCGACAAATGCGCGACAGATGCCTCCTTTCCTCCCTGTCTCTCTCCCCCTCTCTCTCTATTTTTTTTCTCGTGTTTTTTCCGTGGCCGTCTTCTTTTATTTCTTTCCTCTCTCCCTCCCTCCTGTCTATTCCGAGCGTCAACTTCTCTGTCTTTATTCTTTTTATGTGGCTGCTAAATTTAAGTAAATTCGATCAGGCGATCAAAATTCATCACTTTCAAAATTTCCGAAAAAAAAAGACTTTGCTATCACCATCGGTAATAATCGAGGAAGCAAAAAATACCAAATATTAATATTAGTATTATGAAAGTAAGAAGTAAAACTCTAACAGTGTCCTCGGCAAGCACCATAATACATGCCAGTCTGTGTAATAGATCTGACTATTTAATCATAATCGTAATAATGATGATGACGATAATAACGATAATCTACGAGTCTTGAGATCAAAACAAAAAAAATTGGTGGTTTGGTGGCGGTTTTTTTCTTTTCTCTTATAAGAATACATAATGATTATAATAGTAATAATAATAATAATAATAATAATAATAATAATAATAATAATAATAATAATAATCATAATAATAATAATAATAATAATAAAGAAACAAACACGGGTGGAGGTAGCATGGAAGAGACGAGTAGTATAGTAGTGGTGGGCGAGGATGAAGGTACATTGAGTCGTCGTCTTTTGCAGAGAGCGTATTCACTCCCAAAGACATAGACCTCGAGGACGGCGAGATGGACGAGACCGAGCGCGAGCTCGAGGCCTTCAAGCGATTCTGCCTGCAGTCCGTGCCGCCGCCTCGCAAGGAGAAGGTCAACCTCAACCTCAAGGACATCGTTCTCAAGAAGAAGTCCTCCGCCTCGGCCTCCCCGACAGCCGTCGCAGCCTCCGCCGCAGCTACCGCGGCAGCCGTCGTCGCAGCCATCTAAATTTCCGCTCTACTCTATACTCTATCTCTTGTTCTTCTTCATCCTCTATCTAACTGATTCCTCATAGCGAACTTATTCGATCCGAGATCCGATATCTAGAACAATTATACAAGCAACACATGCATACGCTACAAGTATTTTTTTTTTTTTTTTTTTCCTTCCTTCTTGTGGGCTAACTCGGTACTACACACATCACGTTTTAGGATTCGGTACCTTGGTATAGTGACCACCTTTTGAGAATGATTTTTTTAAGACGGTATGCGAATTACACACACACACACACTTGAAAGATCTATTTAACAAATTAAGCAGATTTTTTTTATTGGAGGTATATTCGATAGTGTACTGTAAGAAAGGAGTATACATATTATAAATATTTTGATTTTTGGATTTTCTATTTTTCTTGTCCTTTCCTTTGAATTTACGCACTTCGACTTTGTCCCTCTATCTATAACGACTCGTTCGCTCACTCTCTCTCTCTCTCTCTTTCTTGCCGTCGCTGTCGCGTACTTCTTCAATGTAATCTTATAACTGCCATAAGCGACAAAAAGGTCAGCAAACGTTCAATAGGGGATGCAAGAGTTTTTTTTCTCTCTTGGTATTATTGCGTAAATGTGAAAAGGACAATGAAGAGAATGAAAAATGGTATACAATAACACTTTACAATGGTTATCACTACAACAACCATAAGGGTAATCATGATGCTAATAATTGAAGAAATACTCATTCTGTCAATGTTTTTTTTTTTTTTGGAAAGAAAAAAAAAAGTAAAACATACATACATGTTCACGATTCATTAAAATCGAGCGTTTATATTGTGAATAGAAACGTAAGTTTTATTCACATAACTATTACGATCTTGTATTGTGAATTTATAATGATATTATTGAGGTGAAAGGGAAACTTTCCTTTATCCCATCAAGAGTTGACACAATAAGCCTACGAGCTCACAAACATGCATTATACCTATTACAAAAGTATTTTACAATAAGTGTTAGAGAACTCGGCAAACAAACAATGTCCCATACTTTCAACTACTATTTTTTATTTTAGCACTCACAGCTGTCTCGTATTTTTGCTGTTTGTGGACATTTTTTACTATCATAAATTTTACTCTCGTTGAAACATTTTGTTGTAGTATTATTTGCAAAAATGCTTAAATCTCTGTTCAATAGCATTATCAACGAAAGTACACCTATAAATATCTTATATGCTAAGAAAAAATTTTCTATGAACGAGTCATCATTGTGTATTTTTTCGACGTTGTAAATTTTTTATCTTAAACAATTAAGCATGTACATCGTTATTATTGAATTGGTTTATTGGTACTTTTTGAATGTATACACTATTTTAAATATGGTGATAAAAGCTATTGCGAAATATATTTTTTTCTTTTTAAGTTCCGATCTACGTATATATGTATACAAATAATATACCTATATATTATATATAATTCAACAGTTATTACTAAATTAATGAAAAAAATATACATAGATATTAATATGCGGCACGGAACTAATATTTAATATATATTTTTTAAAGTTATAAATTCGGCGAAAAAATGTGATGTTAAAAATTTGTAATAAAAAAAACTCTCCCTAATTTTTGTTTAGAGGATAAAGAAGTGTCTAGAATTAAGTAATTATTAGTTATGTACATAAATATTACATGACAAAATAAAAAGGAGAAAGAGAGAGAGAGAGGAAGAGAGTAACAATATCCAGATACACACTTTGAATTTTCAAAATATGTACATTTTTGTTAGGGGAAAAAAAGTTGAAAATTTCTTGCGGACTGAAAACAAAGACACAAGTATTGGCTTTAAAAAGCTCTACTTCGACAAGAAGTTAAGGATGACTCATTGTTGTTGGCATTTCATAATAGTTCTTAGTAAAAAAAAAAAAAAAAAAAGGAAATAATAAAAAAAAAATAAATGAATTGTATTATAGCTTAGCTTTTCATACAGAAAGATACATTTCGTGAAAATTTAAAAATCGTTTGACTCTCATACTTTACTTGAAGTAACACTGCCCTAGATCCTTAATATTTATCAATGCGATTTATTATTATTAATAAAATTGATGACAAATAACTTTTTTCCATTTTTTTAATCATTGAGATATAAAGCTTTTCATCTGGCGTTAATTTTACTGAAGTACACTTGATATGGATTGAAAAAAAAAAATATATTTCTCACTATATTGTGTAATTACGCCATATTTTAATTTTCGCTACAGTAAAGCATACGAACGAAGCTCCTTGTTTGGTTTGTCGAAAAATAAAAATTTTGTTTTGCCTGCTGTACAACTATAGTTACTACAGGTATTATATGCCATAGCAGCAATAGGGTCAGCTCCAGAAACCGCGGATCTTTTAAACGCATGGAGGGAAAGTGGCGAGGGAGGAATCATTTAGTTCTTTATCGTGTGTGTGTAACTATCGGTAAACCATATAATTATGTTTATCAGACTTGGTACAGCGAAGTGATAAAAATCAGGTGTAAAAAGTAATTGCCGGATACCACGGATGGAAAAGTTGGGGCGCGACGATGACAAGAAGAACGAGACACTGTACGTAGCGGAGGCTGGATGAAAGTTAGCTGCTGACACCACAATAACAGTACAACGAGCCGGTAAGTACGGCACATTGTGCTATACGTAAGAGGAGCTCGGCCGCGCGGACAAATCAAAGAACGCTTACATCCAATACGGTTCGTAAACTTCCGCGAGGAGATTACGCGCCGTCCGGACACTGATGATACCGATCTCTGACGCTCGGCGGATATTCCTTCCGCTTGCAGCGTGCACGCCGGCTTTGTCGCCGTAGACGTATACACTTAGACATTTTTACCGTTTGTTCACGCTCGTCACAGTCGTCGCGCGCGAATGAATTTTTTCATGCCTTTGAAATTTTCGCCCTGGGCGCGCGAAGACGGGAAATTAAATAAATCGGCACACTTGCGGTCAGAGAGAGAGAGCGCGTCGGATACTTTCATGCTCGTGCATCGGATAGAAAGAAGACGAGCATGGGCCTAAGCCATTTCAAATCTCGCTGGAATTGGTAGGAGGGAAGAAGAGCGCGCCTAAATTAAGAACACGGAGCTCCCAAGTGTACACACCCTCGTGCTCGGAGCGTAGCTATTTAGATTAATAATAATAAGTAATGATATGCCGGCTTGTCGCCAACACCCTCGCCCCGAAATCGAGAGCAGGTGCCGTTTACGTACGCGCGGGCCACTAACCTTTCGGGCCGGCTCTATTTTCGGAACTGGTTTTTCTTTTTATCACTCCCGACTTCCAATGCCCGAAGCCGCGCACCCGCACCTATACGCATATCAGATAGGTGCTGCTGCTGTCGGCTAATTTACAGTCACGCCGACTGACTAATTGCTTGCTTCACGTGAAATAGCGTCAAGTTGAAAAACGCAAAGGGACGCGTGGCGCGCTTTCGCCACATAGGTGGTTGTTTTTTGTTTGTTTTTTTTCTTTTTTTTTCTCTCATCCCCTTTTACTTGGCTCTCTCGCGAATCGCGGCGGGCACCCTATATATATACCAGCATGCGGTAATGACAGTTTTCACGCAATGTTCGGTCGCGGCGGTTTGACAAATCTTTAGCCCACAGTCACCGACCGTTTCACTCTCGATCGATTTTAGATCTCGCAAAATCGACAAGTTTCCCTTGAACTGCCGATATGTCGGCATCTCGGACCTTTTTTACCGTAAATATATAATGACGATCTTCCCCCCGTTTAGATGTCACTCAACGAGGAACAGCTGCAACAGCACGAAGGCGATGAGATCCAGCAAATAGGTTAACGACATCCTCTTGCCGATATCGATTATTCTTCTCGTGCATTGTCATATTATATATATATCTATATATTATCAAAGCGTTACTTGGCTCAACGTGGCTGATGCCTATACTTACTTGTTGCGTTTCATTGCGAGCGACAGGATACGACATTTTTCCCGACGCGTCGGCGGCGCCAAACGACAATCGTCGTAATCAGGACAAGGAAAATGGCAACCTGTATCCATCCAGGGAAAAGACCGCGATGGACGCTAAAAAGAAGACGCGAGGTACAGGTCCATACATTTGTGCTGGTGATCGGGTCGATAAAATTGAATTTTCCCGAATCTTCCTGGTTGTCCGGGCAGAGGACGTCAACGCGACCAGCAGCAGTAGCAGCAGCTACGACATCTGCCGCATCTGCCACATGGGCAATCCGAGGTCGCATCGGGCCTGCAACCTCCAGAATATGACGGTCAGCGAGCAGGACGCGCGCAGGACCGTCCACCGGGGTTCCTCCTCGGCCAATCTAGATCTTGGCCTTTTGGTGTCTGCGTGCAGGTACACGCTTAACTTCCGATTCCTTTTTTTTTTTTTTTTTTTTTTCCCTCAAAAAAAAGGCCAACCGATTTGTCACCGGTACGGCTCGCGTTTGTTTGTTTTGCCGGCTCCAAGAATGAAAATATTGGGGAGGGTACGCTTGTGTGGGTTCAAGGTGCCGCGGTACGGTGGGTCTGGTGCACACCAAGTGCCTCGAGCGCTGGCTCACCGAGTCGGGCCACACTCATTGCGAGCTGTGCGGCTACAAGTACGCGACCATCCGGGTTCCCCGGCACGGCCTCTTGCGCAGCTTCTTCATCTGGATCAAGACGTTCGTCGCAACCCGACAAGTACCTAATCTCATCTCATTACACCACCTTTTGCACCTGCTCCACTTGCTTTACGCTATCAAATTGTACTTTCTGAGAAACTAACGGCTGACTCAATAAATTGCACCGATGAACTATAATTGGATGACCGATGATTATAATATTGGGGTTTTGTTTTTCTTCTTCCTCTTTCATCATCACCGATGCGTAAATAAATCGTTATACCTAGTGCGAAGATAAAACAAAACAAAAAAATGGCCCCGCCACGAATGCGATATTTAGATGCTCTTGGATTCTCTGTACCTGGTGGTGACGACGCCCCTTGCCGTATTCTCGGCCTACGTTTGCGCCATGACCCTGAAAATGGCCCTGGAGAATCGGATCGGCGAGATACCCTGGACGATAGTCGCGATGCTCCCGACCTGCTCGCTCACGCTGGTCGCCTACTGGGGCTGGCTGCTCACCCTCCAGAGGTATGTTTCGTCCACACGTTATTCAATATACAAGCACATTTACAAATGGACGATTCTACAAGATAAGGATATCATTCATTGCCCTCAGATTGCACGGGAGACGATGGCGCCAGTACTGGCAGAGCAACTTTATCGTTCAGCTCGTTCCCCACGATCCCAACGATATTAACCGAAATATCATCGAAGAGTTCAATGCCAATGAAGAAGACGTGTACGACGATTTACCCGATCTCTTTAATTTAATGTAAGTTTCGTGCATTGCGTGCTTGCGTTACTACTTACTTTTTATTTATTTATTTTTAAAATTTTTTACTATAAAANAAAAAAAAAAAAAAAAAAAAAAAAAAAAAAAATGAAATGAAATAAAACAATGACGAAATTCACTAGAGGACAAATGTAGTTTTGGTACGTTTTACACAGCCGTTAACGCATACTATATACCGAGACACCTATACATGTCGGTTATGTACCTCCAAATCACATATTGACTCAGGCGTCCAACGAGTCGTAAAAAACAATGTTATTTTAGTATCGGAAAGTATTAAGTACGAAAGTGAACTAGGTGGGTATCCATATACGTGTACAGCCTCGCGCTCTTGAAATTCGTGTATAGGCTTGGGTATTTATAGGCGAACGGCGTTGAAGTTTCGGTGCGGATACTTTTTTAACGCTGGATAACAACCCTATGAGGTATAGGCGCGAGTAATACCGAGAAGCATCGTTTCCGGAGACGTGACTCCTTCTGTTTATCGAAGCGAACGATATTATTAATTGCCCCCGCTTATTCACTTCTTCGGCGATGTCTTCAATAAAATCGTTATTTACACCTATGGAAAAAAAAAGAAAAATTTTACGTACCCTCAAGTTCATCCTTTCCTTGAATGCCGTTGAACTTTTCTCTCAGCGAGCAAACAAATACAAATAATACTGTTTGGGGTGCTACAATTGTTGTTTGTAAAAAAGTCTCTTGCTTCCTCAAAGACCTGAATATTTATGAATTTAAAGCAATTTTTCGATTTATAGTTAATTAACATAATAATAAGCATGATAATAAAAATTGAATTTTTGGTCCCGACGCAATGCGCCTGTACTCGTTGAGAATGCAAAAACAAGTACTATAACTTTTCTCGACAATTTTTATAGCGCTCGAGAGTAGCTCTATTGCCAGTCAAAGAGGAGCGGATATAGCGATTTAATTGCATTTCATTAGGGGATGTGTCCTTAATTGTTCGCTCAATTAAACCCACTGCTTGGGCTCCCTCCTCTTACTTAAGTCCAAGCAAGTACCGCAGCACAAGCTTCATCACAATTACTACTCATCTCGATAAAGAAAGATGCAGCGGATGTTGCTTTCTTTTTTTTTACGTTACCCTATACGCACAATGCATTATTTAAGTATACGTATATATGCTGCAAAAACAAATGCGTATTATAATAAAATTCAAAGATAATCATACGTTAAGCACGTCAAAAGTCGAAATCGGGAGAATTTTTGCCACCTGCATTTTCTCTCTTACCACCCGAACGAGGAAACTTTGTTTTCCGTGGCTTAGGTGTCACACAGCACCTGCAACAAAAAACACGAAAAAGCAAATTTTAGCTATTGCTATATTTAGGATTTGCATTAGGATTCTCAACCATATTGTCTAAAAATAACCCACAATAACCCACAACTAAGTACCGAGTCGCGGGAAAAAAAGAAAAATCATCTCGAAAAGTGCAAGAAAAAAGAAAAAAAAAAAAAAAAAAAAAACGAAGTTAATAGCGTGACGATTGTTGCTATTTCCATACAAACGCAAGGTATACATACATGTATGTACATGTAGACCGTCGTGCCCACAAAAATACACACCGCGGAGCGGGTTTAGTTACCATATACATATTATAATACATACAGAGCTATATTATAGCTCGAGAGTTGCCGATGCTGCAAAGCCTCGCGCGCCCTGCGGTCTGGCCCGCAGTGTTAAAACCCCTGGATCACCATATAGGTATACATATAAAACGGGGGCTGTGCCTTGCCGATGTTATTTCGGTCGCGAAAGCCCCTTTTCGCTCGCACCCGGCGAACGTTACGTTTTACGCATATATGCCCCAACGAGAGCGCGTGCATAGGTATTACTGCACGCGTGGTCTCGGTATATATATACTCTCGAGGGCCCATCAAACGCAAAAAATCCAAAGTCACCACGCGCCCCTTCTTTCTTTCTTTTAAGCCGCATGTATTTCGCAGCCAAACTATATATATACACACTCCAATATTTATGCACGTATGTGTATACTTAAGCTCCAATCATGCCACAATGGCAGATAGCGAAAATTCGATCGCCGATCCTGGGCCGGGATCACATTGGAGCGACCATGCGTGCATGCACCCATGACCCGCATACACGCACGATTACGGTTGAGTGCACACTCGTCTCAATCGCCAAATTCAACCCGCTCGTACTCGCAAGGTATATTACAATACCTACGTATAAGTCACGACTGATTTTTCAATTCGTCGTTCGACATCATCTCGAGTGATGATCACGCGGAGGGAGATTCGTATAATATAATATAATCGAGGAAAATAGATAGGTACCTACGAAGTGAATTAAATTTTTACAATAATTATTCGTTTGTTTTTGTTTTTTTATTTTTTTTTATTTTTTTCATCGCAGTTTATGTAATTTTCGTTATGTAAACAGAGAGAGAGAGAGAGCCCGAAGCGCTACGCCAGATGTCGATGGTATTTTTCGGTTGTTTCTCGGACCTCCGTGGCTGAATTTATTTTTGATCCAAAGTGCCGCCGAAGAAGCTATAGGCAGGTACATGTATATACTCCCAATATGAAAACACGCACAAATTGGCTCAAAGTTGTTATAATTTGAGTGCATTTCGTACACAAGTACACACAATTTTATTTACATTTTTACGAGTAGATTCAAGGCAAGAATATCTCGTTTGAATCAAATCAGCAACACAGGCCAGTAGTGCTACAGAAAAAACGGGGCTAATCCCTGCAAATACCTGAGTAATACATTTAGATAGTGATTCCGAGAAAGAAAAATCCAATAATCGTTCATTGGTTTTCATGGTAAAAATCGTATGGATCATTCTTGTGACAAAAGAAAACAAAGAGGCGTGGGTGGGTATAGTACAAGAAACAAGAGAGATTCAATAAACAAACAGAAAGACACAGGGCACACAAATCGCAAAAGAGAAAACAATAGACGGAAGTGCGTAAACAAAGAGAGACGGTAAGTAAGTGGTTTTTTTTTTTTTTTTTTTTTTTTTCGCGCATCGCGCACACGTGAACGGCCGCTACGCGCCATCCGAACAAATGCGCCGGTCGTCGACGTCACGGCGACGATTCACGATCAGATGCGACGAGTATTTTTAAGCAGTCGCTCTGTTGTAAGTATAGTCCATACTACCAGTTTTACGCGCCGCACGCATACCCTATACACACGAGGAGCTGAGAGTCAAAAGCTGGAGAGACAGCACGGGGAAGGACAAAAAAGCACAGAGACGTGCCCGACAAGTGCAAATACACCAGTGCATCGTTTGTGCCAATGTGTGGACTTTTTTATCTTTTGTTAACGATTTCGAGAAAAAGTTATGGGTACCTAATGTAATACATACACTAGAGAGGAAAAGTAATAATAATAATGACAAAGCGAGATGTACGTAGGCGTGGGAGCATAGGTATTGAGATTGACCAGACGTTATCGTGTTGGGTACAGACTCGTGTACGATTACAGCTCTGGACGGGCGGATCGGGGAAAGGGAGAGAGAGAGAGCCCGCCGGGAAACATCAAACGGGAAATCTTTGACGAAGTTAGCTTGTACTCTGTTTCGGGAATCGAGAGAAATTCAATTTGTTTGCTGTCCTTCAAGCTAGATTTCCTTTTTCAATTACACAGTTCCGAGAATCGCTTGATCCAGTGTAAATTAGAAAAAAAAATCAACTTATAACTTCTCGCTCGTTACATGGACGGTTCTCTTCTATGGTAAAAAAAAAAAAAAATCGACGAGCCAGCGATGTATATATCCAATGAATTTGCAGCGGGAATAATTGATGAGGGCTGTTGTACGTTTTCGTATAACCGTCACGTATAGGTATGTATTATACTTTTATATACATTATTTTATCCACACGCGGATAAAAAAATATATATTCAATACGCCTATTTGTGTAAAATAAATCGGCGCCGTTGATTAACGGTCAAGCATTGAAAATTCATTGACCGCAAGGGGCAGAGAAAGGTTGGTATTTGTGCATGTGGAGGACGGCAGATGGTATTGGAGTGTATAGCCCACCGCTGGAGCGCCTTCCAACTCGGTTGCCGCTGCATTGCGGAAATGTCACGTATAAGTATAGAAGCGCGTATAGCTGAAGTAGCTCTCGTGTGGCGCGTGGCAAACGACGAGGGGTGCGAGGTAGAGAGGAGGAGGAGGGTGAAAAGTCATAGAGTATAGGCATAGCGTGTGTATATATGGCGGCAAAGAGGCAGGAAACAGGAAATCACGCGCAAGATGTGTAATGCGCTCCGATGCACATTGACTGAGGACGACGCGCGACTGACCCGTTCGCGTATATCTCATTGAGTAGGTATCGCGTTGCACATAAGTACAGCTTATGCGAATACACGTACACGACGCATGCGATAGAGGAGCGAAAGTTATATTTGCTTGTACTTACCATCTACTTTGATGTTGTCGGGGGACATCCGTAGCTGCTTTACGCAGAGGGCCAATTTTCCGCCTTTTCCGCAGCTGCAAATAGATTTGGCGCACAAGTGGTTTTTTGGCTTTCGTTGCGCAGAACTGTACATATTATATAGACGTGCCGATGCTAACGAAAGGGCGGGTGTCGGAGGGAAGAGGCGCGTGATTTTTTCGGGCGCAGGTCGCGATTGCAGATACGCGGTACAGCAGTTTACGGTGCGACCGGCACACGTGTTCCAAATATGGGCCGCATGGGCTCGGCCAGTGGCGGCAGTTTGGACGCAAAAAAAGGGGGAGGAAGAAAAATGAGCTTCCAGTTCCACTTTCGATCTCCAGGGCGCTTTTGGCCCCGTTTCCTCCTTGGGGGAAAAAAAAAAGAGTCTCGAGTGTCTCTCGGCGCACGCCCTCCGTCAGGTCCTCCATATAGAGCTGCAGCTTGGTCCGATGATCCTGCTACTGCTGACTTTGTTCTCGAGGACCCGGCATGGAAGCTCGTCAGATTTTCGTCACGATTATCATTAAGCTTAACAAAATTTTTCGGCTTCCTATTTTTTTTTTCCTGGAGCAGCCGGAAGTAAAGAGCTGTTGTATTTTTTTTTTTTTTTTCTGTACATCCAGTTGTGTGCCGACGAAAAAATAAAAACGGAAAGGAGCGCAAGCTGCGGGAGAGTCTCGACTTCCGGGGATCGATGGAAAAATCTGTCTGTGGGGGAGGGGGGGGGGTGACGAAAAACCGGCGAGACGTAAATGTACGCGCGACACTCGGGTCACATTTTACTTGCGCGCACTCCAAACGTGCGGGCGATGATATATACCGGGGCGTGCGCACGCGTAAGGCTTGTAATGGCATCGTATCCAGTGCTCGCGGGTAAACGATACTACGATAATATGCATAGGACCCGGCCATCGCGTCACCAAACTTTGGCCGTGGGATTACAATAATTGATGAGAATTAGTCCGGTGCTCAACGTATACAAGCATATTAGTTTCTAGATCTCGAAAAGTCTTCCTCGGCTTTTTTCTTTGATTCTTCTTGCGGACCCAGCATCGGTATATACATCTTCCGACCCATCATACCGTCCCTTCTTTTTATCTCGTACTTCATATTATGTATATGCCCTGCTCGATTGAATTATACAAAGATGATAATTGGAGGCAATTGTTCGCCCTGTCGGTCCCTTGCGAGTCGTATGATTTCTAGCTCCACTCGATTAATATTTATTTCGATGGCAACAATTACATTATTGGCTGTAGAAACCGTGGAAGTTGCACCGCGTATAGGATTGTGCTTTGTGATCCGTATCTGGTACCTATTGTATCGATCGTCATTGGGCCGATGCCGATTTCTTGGCAAAAACCATCCAAATATTCAAACGGAGCTTGAACATGAGTACTCGAGCCGAGAGAGTTTACCTAAAAATACCTAAAAATAAGGCCGTGCGCGTATAGTTGGAGAGAGTGTCGGCGAAACACGGATTTTAGTCTAGTGAAACGTGCTTTTGACTGGTGCATGGAATTAGATTGGAGGTGTACTTAAGTCGGGGTAAGTTAAAGCTACCCACGCTGTCGCTCGATTTCCGACACCGAATAAATCTTTTGAGTATATACGCGCGGCTGCTCAAGTGGATCTCGGTTAAGTGAACTCGAAAAATTTTTCAAAGCTTTTTTGGTTTTTCAACTCACGGGAATTTATTTTTAAAACCATACAGCTCATCCTCTGCAGTATAAGTCTAGATTTTTTTCCCCTATCTAACCTGGGTAAAAAAAAAAATTCTAAATATTTTAAATTTGTTGTTTTTCAAAGCGCAACTGAGACACAATGAAATTTATCTCTTAAAATTTTGCTCTGCCCTACGTTATGAAAATCACAATTGAAATTCCCTCAAATTAGTCATTAAATTATATATACCTTGGAGATCGGCAAGCGATATCGATAAAAACTACAACTTGTTTCATACCTTTGGTACTTTTTTTAAATCGTTTAAAAAGTCAAATTACTTTTTTCGTAGGAGCAAAAAAAATTTCGGGACTTCCGAAGCGGAGATGCAACGGATTATACCACCTCGAGCGTACAAGTACACCCGTTCCTCTTTTGGCGTTGGCAGCATCAGCAGCCCTCGCTGTTTGTGTATATATTATTTATATCGCGTATAGATAAGTATGTACAGACGAGCGCGGGTGATTTGCGAGCATTAGCAGCCATTTTTACAAATATATACATATACGTAGTAGACGCACACGTATATACCTATATGTATGTACAGATGCACGGTGATGTGTCGGCATCAGCGACGATAGAGTGGGAGCGATGGAAGGGACTCGGCACGTATACGCAGCATCACGCTGCAGAGAGATCGAGGCGCACGAATAGGTGGAGGAGCGGGGGTGGGGCAGGAATAAGAGCCGAGCGAGGGTTGGCGCGCGAGTGTGTAGCCCAATGTGCGGACGGGCTGCCGAGCAGCGGTTATTTCAAGCTCGGGCTCGGGGCGCGCCGAAGGTATTGGCTTAGTTTGCCGCCGGCACTTGTACGCCTCCGAGCAGCGTCGCTCCTCCAAACCTCGTTACGCAGTGGCGACGTGATTTTAAGTATACGCCTGATACTTAATTACTTGCTTGGTTGGGGAAAAAAAACCATCAAGTGCACCAGCATCTCAGTGCGAAAAATCGGCTCGAGTGAAAGTGCTGTTTTTTATCGATCGCGTGTGCCGAAGGATCGGTAGATCATCGTGTCCTGTATATGCATATATACTTGTTCGCAAAAAAGGAGCGGACAAACATTTATTGTTTTTTTGTTTTTGTGTACGCGTGCACGTAAACGATCGCGGTGCGACGGAAAGGGGCCCGAAATAGCATACACGCGGTTGCTCCATCGGTACCTATTTGGTATATTATAACATATACGAGCACGGCACCCAAAGTGATCGGCAATGCCGTACCAAACGAGCGCGACGAGGGAATTGCGGAAGGGCCACTGCTGAATCGGGGACACAAGTACCCCGTACTCGAGTGTAGTGCCCATCAGGGACCGATCGAGCTCCGAAATCGAGGCTGGCTGGTGAGTCGCTCAATCGGATTTACTACATCATGCGTATAATCGCTTGTCTGCTTGTGTGCCATTTTTTTCTCTCTCGTGTGAATTTGCTAACGTCTAAAGTGTACATAGGTAAATGTGACTCGCGCAATTAATATTAAAGCCCTACCCCTCGCGAGGTCGGAAGCTCATTCATTTACTCGAGTAAGCTTATCTATAATATTGTGGCCCGTAAGCGCGTAGTCGGTGATTTTCGAAAGCTCCTCCGTGCGCATGCATGGATTCTCGCTCCAAGGGGGACAAAATGAGGAGGATAAGGAGCCAATGGTGAGCACCAAAAAATCGTTCGGTGTCTCCCTCCTCTGCGCATAAAAATAATAGGTGATGTATACATTGTGAGACTGGTGTATCGCTAATACATATACAACTACTGTTTACCGCGTAAGTACGCGTATATATATATTATATACGTGTGTGCCCGTGACGCGCGAAACATCAGCCAAACTCAATCCGGCCGGAAGCGCCTATACTCGTTTCCGGTATTTAACCGATGTGCCACAGGCGACGCGCAACTTTCATCGACGCGCTACCTACTCCTTTTCCTACATATATGTATATATGTATGTATGCCTCGTTGTCCCGATTATTTATGAGCACTCTCTCTCTCTCTTTTTTTTTAATAATTTCAGCTCATCCTTCTTTCCTATCTTTTTTTTTTTTTTTTTTTTTTTTCATTTCGTTTTACAACAACGCTCGAGTCGGTAATCGAATAATGAAGCTCTGCGAGCGTGTTTGCGTTGCTCAAGTGTGCGCAAGTGCGTATGTGTATACATATATATAGTACACGCGCGCTATTAGATTATAAAATAGACGGAAGTGTGAGATGATGATCGTTCGTTCGTGTGTTGTTTGAGCCACTACTGTTGTACTGTTAAACTTACTGTTGTCCTGCATCACGCATGAGCGTACAAATATATACATAATATTTATCGTACACGCACGTGTTTGCGGTACAATCGGTACACGCCGGGTATATATATTATAAAATTTATCCTAAAATATTTTTCACTAGAGCGTTGTTTAAGTAATGTCGTCGATTTATTCAGAAAATTAAAATAAAATTGGCCCAGCAATTAAAAAAAAAAGAAGCGAGTAATCGTCGTTCCCCGTATAGTCCGTGCGTTCGCCAACACAATGGATCTTTGTCTTTGCATACTTCGACTTCTCGAGGAGGAGGAGTACAGTTCTCGGCTCACCGCTACATCTCGGAAGCAGCAACTTTGCTCAATTTACGGGACGGACATGTGCACGTACACAGACATTACACAACTCGAGCTCCCCTGAAATGCCTAGACGAAAAAAAAGGTTCCATCAAAAAAGACAACGTGTATAATATCGCAAGCGTGCTTTGGATATTATATGGTGCGTGCAAGGCTTAAACGCTGTAATGTGCGTATAGGGCTGTAGTGAGTGCGAAACTTTGATGTGACATTGAATTGTAATCACATGAAAAACTCACGACGCATTCCATCAGAGGATGTAACTAAAAAAAAAGGGAAAAGCAACCAAAGACGAGAGAGATCGGTATGAAAACGAAGCGATTTTTGGAAAAAAGAAAAAAGAAAAAAAAGAAAAGATGATACATCCAAAAAGAGAATATGAGGAAGGAAGAAAGGAGGAAATGAAGCCGATGCTGCAAAGCTCTGTGGCGCGCATCCATGCGTGTATATATATATATATATAATATACCATGCAAGCGCTTTTATGATCTGCAGCTATACATCGGAGTATGAGCGACAGAGCAGAGCGGACCGGCAGTCATCTGTCTTCACTTATGTGTGTACGGCGGTGTGGCGCGCACTGAAGCTGCATTATCACCCATATATAGGCACCGGATCGGCATCGTCCCAAAGTCCCCCGCGAGACTAACATATATACATGCACATAGTTATATACGTGTAATGCATAAATATGTAACCACCAAACCGGTCACTCGGAAGAAAAACAGAGCCCGTATGATTATTTATTGTCTCCCCGTGCATACCTTTATTGTATATAATGCTTGAGTATCGGCATTTCGTAGATTATAACCGCTTCGACGAATCTCTGGCATCTCCCGTCGCTTTTTTCTGCGAGAATTGTCGCCTCATCGGCAATCAAGCGCACGATACCTATACACAGCTACAGCTCTTGTTATGAATAATTTTAATTAACATTCAGTAAATTAAACAAACCAAAAAAAAGAGCGATGGGGAATGAATTGAAAAAAAATGTCATTTCGCGATCGGTAGAGGAGGTGGGAATGGTAATGGTTTTCTCTCCTCGGTGGCGATCGTACCTATATTTCCTCTTCGTGGTAACGAGAGTTTAGAATTCACCAAGACAATAACGCGCGGTGTGTATATTTTAAGCAGCTGTTTCTGCCTTGGGCTATACCGCTTCTCGTGGAAAATTGATTGTGGCAGGCACGCCAGAAAATCTCTCTCTCCTCTCGCTCGGGGTAATAACGGGCGCGTGTGCGCGTGTGGGACGACGATGATTACATTAATTCACCGAAAAAACCTCGGAACACGGATTTGTTGAATAAAACGTTAGTGTTTCCTGTTACACTTCTTCATCACCTTCCAACTGAATTTGCGAGGGTTATTTATAATCTGCAGGTTTGTTGACCAAGACTTTGTGTGTTTGCACTGCGGAATTGGTTTTTTTTTTTTTTGGCAGGGAAAACAAACCCCATTGGCATCCACTCGAATTATCGTTCATTCGCAAATTTGTAAAGTTCCATTTTAAAACAGTCCCAACACTCAAACAAGTTTCACTCGTGCAAGTAGTAAAACGAAATGAAATAAGCATATAGCGTGTATGCACATGCAATAGGTACACATATTGTGGATATTTCGAAAGGGTCGGTTTATACATATTATCCATACATATATGTATATAAATAAATATTATCGGTGGGCACGATGATGGACAGGAAAGGTGAGATGCAGAGAGAGAGAGGGGGAGACTCGCCAATCGCTCGGTCTCTCGTTGTCCTCATTGCGCCAATTTGCGCGGAGAGACTTGTATTATAATGATGTTATGACCTCGTCACTATATAATTTTATACGTGCACGCATGATGTACACCTACATCAATAGATGCTAAAACTTTTATCCCCCAAAGTAAGTGCAGTGTTGCGCGGCTTTGGTCACCACCACCACCACCACCACGAAGCTAGATCAAACCCATAAAATCGGATGGGCATAGGAAATATTATTTAAACTCGAGAGGGAGAGTGGAAGTCGAGTATTATTCGTGGGCGCGATAAGCCGCTGTTGCTGCAGCTGGAAGCCTTCAATTTTTATTCCTCGTGTGATGTGTTGCAGCGTGCAGTGGTGTTTCGAGTGAGTGGTTAATTAATACCGTACCGTAGATAAAATAATAGTTGGAAGAAAAAAAAAAAAAAAAAAAATGAAGTTGATTTAACTTTACGGTGCTCGTCCTTAGCCGAAAACAGACGCGTCTTACAAGTGCACTCGCATACGCACGCACTTATATGTACACCATCATCAGGATTAGAGAGAGAGGGAGGTTTCGGCGGTTCCACTTGGGATTAATATGTATGTGCACCGGCCGTATACTTGTTGCGCCTTTGTGGTAAGTCCACACGGGCCAATGAAACGTTTCATGTATCTGATAAAACGTACACTCTCGCGTCTCTGCAACTGACGATGGTCTCCGTTAATTGCCCTCACAGTGGGCTCCTATGAGATTCCGGAAAAGTCTTCTTGACGATCTTCATCTCTCTCTCTCTCTCTGAGCTGAGGAGGAAAGAAAGTTAAAACAACGCTAATTATTGTGATTGTATAGGTTGTAGGTATACGCGTACAAAACAGAGAGAGAGAGAGAGAGAGTCAATTATTTATCAACGAGATTTTGGTTTATGCAATAGCGGATCGGCCATGCGCGTTCGCCTAGTGCACGCATCATCGGCTAATCGGCCAGTGTTCCGCGTACATCGTTAAGGCAATTGAGCCAATCTTGCGCCAAAAGAAACTACACGCACATGCACTACTGCGGATGACATTACATATGTGTATGTATATAATATGTTGTATGGACAAAACACACACACACACACATATAAACTACTAGCGAACAGAAAGCGCTGACTATATAATATACAACACTAATCAAACGTGCAACGTCACGAATCCTTAAGTTCTTGGACGCATTTGTTTTTGCACCTAAGGATACAAGTATCATAGTCAACCTGCAGTGCAAGTCGTGTATTTGCATATACCTACTTATACCCTGATTCATCATTGTTGGAAAATAAGATTTTATGGCAACGTGCTCAAACAGATATTTGTTATGGTTGAAGGAAAAATCTCCATTCAGCATTGTAATTCTGAGTATTTGTATACGTATAGAGGCTTAGCGGACGGGAAAATTGGCCGGATCGGCGTGTACACATTTTATGTTCGGGAGGCTGGGTGTATATACATATACTTACACGCACAATATACAAAACTCATGGTGGCCGTAACAACAATGCCCGAGGCCATTAATCTTGACTACCATACTGTACAAGTATGTGTGTATGGGAAAAAGACTTGCACTATTTCACGGATAGATGCGTGCGTGCGCGCATGGGGGCTCATTGTGGGCCTTTCCGAAATCTCACCCTCGCTCCCGTCATCCGATTGTTCTCATCTCACAAGTACCAATATAGTATAGGTGCATGCGTCGCCCCCCGCCGTCACTACCAATGCCTACTAATGCCAATATCTCGAGATTGTGACGGACGAAATTAACCGATGCCTGTGTGGAATAATCTGTCAATTAGAGGAGGGATTTTGTTTACCTGTATACCTACGTACTTTGCAATAGCCGTTTGGAAACGTTATTTTGCAGAAACGGCAATGTATACGCTTATTCCAAAGCCCCATTCGAAGATTAGCGAGAGGCGCGTATGCCACCGAGTAAATCCGTAAAAACGAGAGAGAAGAGCTCACGAAGATGTACAGAGAGCTTATCGGCTCGAGGTAGCAAATAAAAAAGGGTTGCGTTTATAGAGAGAGAGAGAGAAGCATCCGAGGCGCGCGAGAGTGTATATCATTATATGATTGTATACTTAGAGGAGGGGTGGAATATTAAGGCTCTCTCTCCGTTTCTTCTCCGTTGTGGTGCTTAGTCCATCCGGAGTGGTGTGCAATCCACCGCGCTGCAGGGATTATTGCGAATACAGCCAGTAGCCTTATATGTGGACCCACCTACTTCAGCCTGCGGTGCGTGTCTGGCCATCTCGAGTCGGCCGGCCTCTTCAGGAAACTGTTCATTACGCCGATCAGACACGAAAAGCACCGGCGATATACATAGAGAGAGAGAGAGAGAGAGAGCCAACCAACGCCAACATTTTGCGCTCACGCACACGCGCGTCGTGTCGCCTTTCGTATTTTGTGGACTTTGCTCGCGAAATTGCTCGAGGAATTTAAGGAATCTTCTTTTATTCTCTCTTCCCTCACCCAAGATCGCCCCCATGTAGCCTTTAATTATTCATTGTTCGAGCTTGCCCAGACACATTCGTCTTTATTTCGTGACTGCACGCATGGTACTTTGCAACGCTACACCCACACACACACACACACACTTTTTTTAACAAATTGCTCACCATCTATACTTTCGGCAACGACATAACAATGCGAGCTGTCTATACCTTTATATCTATATATACCTAGATGGGACGTAATTTACTTTGCACAAGAGTTTGGAGCATCGGTGCAGCTGTCCACGTGCATTTATGTTACCACTTGATCGCGATGTTGCCGCATTATTTGCAATCGCGCGAGAGTAAAATAAAGCTTCGATTCACCTGTACGGGGGAAAGTGGAAGGAAAAAGGGACAAAATAGATGCCCCTGCCTTTGAATCTCACGGGGCAAGGCGAGGGGAAAATTCGAAACACGCGGGGCTCGCGAAAACACATTCGAAAATAACCCGAAGCAACAGATACTTACTTAAGAGCCCCAGAGGGAGAGAGAGCTAAACTTGGGGAGGGAAAAAAAAGCAAAATCAAGCGTGCGAGCGAAAGAAAGAGGAGGAGGGAATGTGCGTAGAAATCGAGAAAGTCGTGTTACCTATACCCCGATACTTATATATACATATATATATATATATTATATTCAGGGGACGCGGAAAATAGGGAAAAGTATATGCGCACACGAGCAAGCAGAGTTTAAGATTATAGTATATATGTGTATGCGTGTACGCCTTTTCGGGCTTGTTGGCGCAGAGCCAAAGTACGACCGCAGAAACTGCACTCGCTCGTTATATCTGCAGCCAACACAGCAGCAGGGACGAGATAAAAAAAACGGCCACTCTCTGTTTGTTTATTAATTTCGTCCGAGCGAGTTTGAGTGAAATACAGAGAGAAACAAGAGAGCGCTTTTTTTCCCTCGAAAGCCCATTAGGTGCCCGCTAATTTATCTCTCACCCCCCCCCCCTCCCTGGTTGAAGAGCCAAATATACATGGATGGATGGATGCAAACGATGAGAGCAGAGGAGGCTTTCGTTGAACCTGTTGTGTTTATTTGTCCGTCTTGTTTCAGAAAAAGAGTCCCCCGAAGCATTGATGTCGCTGATGCAGCAGCGGGGCGAGTTATAGGGACAGCAGGCGCCTCCAGAGTTCGTACAAGATGCCTGCGAGGCATCGCTTGCTCCTGGGAATCTTGGCCCTCCTGGCTCTCGAGTGCGCCAACGCAAGATGGGAGACCATAAGGCTCGGTGAGTTTATACATTTTTATACATCATTATGATAATACACACGCACCACCAACGTTATTAGGTACACCCCATCTCCATATATATAAATATATACTCTGTACTTAATACACGTGGGAGGTCCCGGTAGCTTTTGGAAGGGAAAAACCGGGGGCGAGTGATAAACTCGCTTGTAGGCGCACGTGTACGAATAAGCAAACAAAACGTTGGTATAGGTAAGGGGGGCAGAGGGGGCGCGTCGATTACACCTACACGGTATTCAAAATTCACGTACGTGTGCGCATCTCCGACGAAAAACAAATATAGAAGGCGTTAAAAAGTAAAACGTCCGCGCGAGAAAAATAAAACAGGCGCGAGAGCTGCCCCGCCTCCTCCTCTCGGGTGGGTGGGATGTGTACGACTGGCCGATCCGATCGCCTATTGAATATATATATATACCTGCACCTGAACTTGACGCGTGAACCTATGGAAAGGGGGACGATGGGTGGAAAAAAACAACAACAATGCTATCCAATGGGCCTATTCGAATTATCCAAAACCATATATACGCGCCAACCGAACATCCGAGGAGAGCTTTCGAGCTATGGTGTGCGAACGACGCGCGGAAGGAAGGAAGGAAGAAACGTTGTTGTAGCCGCATAGCGGCACATCTGGTGTGCAGATCCGAGATTTGTGGGCCGGCACATGCTCTCTTTCTCTCTTTGCCAGAACAGGAGGAGGACTGCAGTGCAGAGGCGGAAAGGGCACAGAGGGGCACACACATAATAAGCAACAGAGAGAGAGAGAGAGAGAGGGTGAGAAGAAACAGCCAAACGAAACTAGATATATATAAGCTTAAAGCTGTACATCGTATGGCAAGAGGAGGAGGAGACGTATAATGTTATATCCCCTCCGAAAACCGGGGACGCACGTGCTTTTAGGACCCATTAGCGCGACCCTCGCCTGTACTTGTACCTATATATGTATACATATACATATAATGGACACCGTATATATATCTCGGTGTTTTCGAATGATGGCCGTGACTCTCTCCGCGAAAGGTCATTTTCTAATGATTTTTCATGCTTCCGAGAAAACAGATAATACGAGAATAACGAGGTACCTATATGAAGGTACTATCGTGCGCGTTGACGACGGCGTATTTCAAAGCATATTTTATGTATGTGATATATATATATATATATTTTTTTTTTAAATCGGTGATCGGTAATGTTCCTGTATACTTTGTGTATTCGTATGCGCGAAAAGTAAAGCCCGAGTGACGGGCGAACGCGGCCTGAGGCAGCTTGAAAATCGGCGCGCAGTGGCGGCAAAAGGCGGCTTCTGTACGAGTATTATGTATCGGAGCGATCGGGGCTAGAATAACACGACTGTGCGCTACACCCGGCTGTCCGACCTTAATATTCTACTGCCGTAAGCACCTCCAAATTTTTAACGCTCACCAGTTGCGGGGAACTCTTTTTTTTTTTTTTTTTTTTGACGTGCTTTGTCTCGCCACTAAAATTTTACATTTCTCTCGCGCCAAATTTTCTCAACCGTGAGGAGCTGGATTATTTTTCCATGCAAAAGACAATGCTTGAGACTCATATTATGGCATTTAGCAGCGTAGGGTGTTTTCAACTTACTTGTTATACCTACATGTGATGTTGATTTTTCATGATTGTACAACATTTCGCGTAAAAAAACCATCCTCACAAGTTTTGTACTCAAAATGAAAAAACAACAACAATGTCAATAGGTATGCTTTCACACGCAATTTTTTTTTTCTTTTTTCACTAATTAATTACAAGTATACAATGTATATTATGAGCAAGCCCTATATTACCTATTATTCTTCAAGACCGAGACGACGATTTTTCTGCTATTCGACCCCCACGAACGGACACAATGTATCCTCGATACTTAAAATCAGTTGTATTTTACAGTAGTTACTTGTTTGGCATTCCATTCAGGTTTGAAAAAAAAAAAAAAAAAAAAAAATTGTGTGGCAAGTATATAATAGATACACTCAACATGTACATAGATTTACCATAGAGCACGTAAAAGCATTTTTATCATGATGATTGTGCTCAATTGTCCAATTGCCCGGGTCATTGAATGCCCTGTGGCCCAGCAATCCTATAGTGGCCGTGCACGGCCGCTTTATTATTTAACAAACAGGTCGAGAGAACGCGGTGTACAGTGCAGGGTGTATAAACATATATAGGTATACGAGGAGAGAGCACGGCCGCGGAGGTGGAGGACAAGGGAAGGACAGTAGAGAGAGAGACAAAGACCCATTGATTTACATTGAAGTTCAGCGCTGCTGGACACAGCTATGCCCTCTCTCATCCATAATTATACCTGTACATTGTATATACATATACATAGTATTTACGCATATATACTCTTTATCGTATATTCCACCCTCTATCGGTATACATATATTCATTCCACTCTAAATTTTACATACCTCGATCGGCTTATACGAACAATAAGTATATTTACCGAGCATAGATTTTCATCCGGAGGTAAAAACCGTGACATGAAATCCCGAAAAAACGGACTCTGATTCGTGGTCCCACTACTGTAGGTATATACAAGCATATAAAAGAGTAAAACACGTGTATTTGTCATTCGTTTTTTTTTATTATTTCCCGAGGGAGCTATGCGGCATAAGCGAGGAAGAGAAGAAAAAAAAAAAAAAAAGGGTTATATATACAGAGACAGGGTAAACCGTACGCGATAGACAAGTGATGGCTGGTAGCAGATGAAAGAAAGACACGCGTGCGACAGCGATGTATATGGGTGTGTGCACGCCACCAATCGGTCGGGCTCCGGCGTAGTCGAAACCATGAAGAAAATAGGTACGCTGGATTTATTTTAATTGCATCGACGATGGCAGGCACAATAAACTCGGCCGGCCTCCGTTTGTTTCCCAACGTGTATATACATATATACGGCGCGAGCGATCTGTCACCCACCGCCACGTCCGTTTCCAAAAACAGAGGCCCCTTCTTCGTCGCTGTAACTATATACCCACGGTGCACATCGGGGAAATGATTTTTCCTCCCTACCGTGCACGAATAAAATAAAAATCTCAAACCCAAGGAGATTATCGAACTCTCCCCTGATTGGCGGCTTTTTGTGCAATGATAATGATAATAGTAACGGTGGGGAAAGCTCCGCAAGCTCAGCGATGTCCTTCTCCCAATTACTCGGCATGAAGAAAAAAAAATTTTTTAAAAACCAAGGGGAGGATCGAGCTTGTCCAAACATTCGAGTAGACGACTCTGGACAGAGTTTTATTGCAATAGTGCAAGGCGGTCGAGTTAATTGGTGGTGCAGTCGCGGTGTATTCCGCGAAAGACATCGAGTGCGTTAAGTATAATATACGGGAGAGTGCAGATACGTCCGGAAGATAACTAGCGCGCGGACGCTTCCGTGTACGAATCTACGTGTATACGTGGACGGTGCGTGTGTATATTCGGAAAAGGAAGCAACGCGTGTACGTATGTGTTTCGTTGCGCGACCGGAAAGCTCGCGGGCAAAACGAGGCACACGAAGCAACCCGCTGCACGTTGAGGAAAAACGGATCTCTGCTCTCGGCCGTCGACGTAATTTGCTTCTGGCCGGCTTCCAGATGCCCGATCCAGCTGTACTCGTACCTATCCCCCTTTTGCCTCTATACGGAGGGTGTATCTTGATGTCTACTTTTTTTTTTTTTTTTTTTTTTTTACTTTCGCTTACTCTACGTGATATTTATGTGTGTACTTATCACTCTGGTGTTTTCGACGTCATTACATCACATTTTACACGATAAATAGCACCAATAAGCCCCCCTATATATAATACATAATATATGTAGGTGTGCAAGCGCGTCCCAAAAATAAAAGCCTCGTTATTCCTGGTTTTTCAAAATATCGTATACATATTATATACATAATCACGTGGCACACCTACACACTGGTTATGGATTTCGCCGTGGTGATGGCCGATATAATAAGTATATGAAATCGAAGGATTGGACGCCCCCTCCCCCCGCGACGTTGATCGATGCGCTCGGGCGTTGTAATTGAGTGCTTCCGGGAGACGCGAACAGTTTTAGACTTGCCAACCCCAAGATGTTGTGTATTCGAGATCAAGCCAAAAAGCCCACTATTAAAAAAAAAAAAAAAAAAAAAAAAAAAACAAAAAAAAAAAAACTTTGTGTAAAGAGGGAAAAAAAACTGAGAGGGCCTTTGCCAGAACAGGAGGAGGACTGCAGTGCAGAGGCGGAAAGGGCACAGAGGGGCACACACATAATAAGCAACAGAGAGAGAGAGAGAGAGAGGGTGAGAAGAAACAGCCAAACGAAACTAGATATATATAAGCTTANAAAAAAAAAAAAAAAAAAAAAAAAAAAAAAAAAAAAAAAAAAAAAACAAGACAATAACAACTATGTGTATAGAGCGAAAGACAACTGAGAAGGCATAAATGATAATGTAAAAAATTTGTTATCGCATTGCAGAAGGGGAGAAGAGCAAAAACGCGACGGTGAGTACGGGGGTGAAGGTGAGGCTGGTGTGCGAGAGCGAGGACCCGGAGGCTAACGTCACCTGGTACAAGAACGGCGAGCCCTTCGTCCCGCGTAAGTCCCGAGTGCGGGTCCTCCCGAGCCAGCGGGCCCTGCGCATACGCAACGCCCTCCCGGAGGACGCGGCCACCTACGCCTGCGACGTTGGCAAAGCCCGGAGGAGGCAGCTCGACCTCGCCATCGACGATTCCGGGGACGAGCTCGGCAGGACCCTTGGCGCCCTCAGGCCCGACGACAACGAGCTCGAACTGAGCCTGCCCAGAGGTATACATACATCATTTGCTCCGAGTGGGATAAGTACACGTCGATCGTTGATCGCGTATACACACCTACGTGTTTAAAATAGCTCGAGATCTCTCTCTACGAGGGTATACTCGGTATACAGCCTTCACGCTGGCCTCGCTCCAAATCTAACGTGATTTTTCCTTCCAACTCTGCAACGCCCCACAAAATACATATTCCTACGTATATACACATATTATATATACTTACACCTCTAGTTGTTACCTTGCAACGCGTAATATGCGTGAGGGTGTAAACATGAGGATGTAACGTGGGTGATTGGGATTATAGGTCGCTTGGAGGCCCGAGCCCTGCACCTGGAGAGCGCCGAGCCAAAGATCCAGAGCCCAGCCGGGAACTCGAGCGAGGACGCGAACAAGCTCCCGCAGCCGCCTAGATGGTTCAGGGAGGAGCCCCCGGCTTACGAGATGAAGCCGGCTGGTACTTCGTTGAGGCTGAGGTGCCAGGTGACGGGCAACCCCCAGCCGAACATCACCTGGTACAAGAACGGGGCCGAGCCGAGGCGCAGCTCCGGCACTGTGGAGATGAAAAAGTACAATCTCAAGCTCGAGGACGCCGTCATGGAGGACAGCGGCAACTACACCTGCGTCCTCTGCAACCCCCTCGGTTGTATCAGCCACAGCTTCAAGGTCGACGTAGTGGGTAAGCCGAATCTTTGGTTTTCTTTTTCTTTGTTTGTACAACTATACACACTCGTGTATCGCGCGGTCGAGGAGAGAGAAAAACAAAACAAAACAAACAAGTTTGTTACTTATTTGCGAGCCCAGAACTGCCCCCGTTCATCAACGCGGGCTTTCCGGAAAACTTAACGATTTTGGCTAACCGCACGGCTAAGTTTAGTTGTCCCGTTGTATGGGACACCAAGCCAAAAGTGAAATGGCTTAGGCTCCGAGGCGATTATCCTAAGGCCGACGCCAAGCCAAACGGCACCGAGATTCAGGTACATAACCCCCCCTCTCCCACGCTCCACCACAAATGTATGTACCTATACATGTGCAATCTGTTGTTCACCTGTGGCAATACAATAATCATACATAACGATAAGACTTGTGCACATTGTTGTGCTTTCGGGATTGGATTTTGCGGAAATGTGCAAAATAATATTATTTCTACAGTTGGTGTTGGGCTATCACGTAATATGTCTCTGATGCTTATGTTCTTACATTCGCTCTCATACACGGATAATATACAACATGTTCGGTGTTTTCATATATATATATATAACGATAAAAAAAACAAAGCTGTCTCGTTCATTTTTTTTTTTTCAATTTATCCACTGAAGAATTATTTTATGCTTACACGTACCTATTTAAGTATGTATGAATAACCCTGCAATTGTGAGACTAAAAAAAAATTGGTGCTGGGACTTTGTCTATCTAGAAAGCGTGCAAGCGCCGCCGATCTTAACCGAGGCGCCCAAGAATATGACCGTACTGGTTGGGAGTAACGTGAATTTCACCTGCTCCTTTTTATCAGACACGCATAGGCACCTCGAGTGGTATCACGGCTACCACGTTACTTTCGATACGCTCAACAAGACAGAGGATAGCTTAAAGGTTGAGGTCAAGGTGGGGACGCTTTTCCTTTACTACAACTATAATAATAATAATAATAATAATTATAATTACAATAATAATAATAATAATAATACATTGATACCCTATACGCGTTATGTTAATATTATCGTACTAATATACCCATGAGCTAAATACTTACTCACCTATATACAAATAACAAACTATAACCGCACGAAAATGTCTTTCAATCGATTGCTCGCTTTAACTAACGACCGCTTCCAACAAATAATAATACACTGCATCTAAAATACTGTGCCTGCGATTGAGTGTACCACTAACAACAATTGCATCGAACCAAGAGTTTTTGAACCAATAAATGAGCAAAGGTGTACAATAATAAAAATGATATCGCTCACGCGCAGACGGCCGGCGAATTGAACCCGGAAGTCCTGGAGATACACAACGTCACCGAGCGCGACGAGGGCTGGTACACGTGCATAGTACAAAACACGCTCGGCGAGGCGTTCAGCAGCGCATACCTCCAAGTCGTCGAGAGTAAGGAACCATCCATACTTTTATTTTTCCCCCTGCAATAATACTTACGTATCAAACTGTCGATGAACGCCGTTGTAGCCCTGGAAGAGCAAGGCGGACCGGTGATGGCCCATCCTCACTCCCTGCTCGTCGGCAGCGTGTACCCGCTGCTCCTGTTCCTCTTCTGCGCCGCGGGCTTCCTCCTGTTCGTCGGCGTCTACTACAAGACCAAGAACGAAAAGACAAAGAAGCTGATAGCCCTCGAGGCGGCCAGGGCAGCCGTGATCACCCAGTGGACGAAGAAGGTCATCGTCGAGAAGCAAAACTTTGTCCAGAGCGTCCACCAGGAGTCGCTCCTCATGCCCGTCGTCAAGATTGAGAAGCAAAAGTCGACCTTTCCCGCGGACAACGGCTGCGTCACTGGCTCGGGCAGCATATCCGAGTACGAGCTGCCCCTGGACAGCGCCTGGGAACTGCCCCGGGAGCAGCTTCTCCTGGGCAGCACCCTCGGCGAGGGCGCCTTCGGCAAAGTCGTCAAAGCAACCACCAAGTCGGGCCGGCTCGGCGTCTCCACCATCGTCGCCGTCAAGATGCTCAAAGGTGCGTAATACTTTTTTTCCAACCCCCTATACAAATACTTGTCATTACGATTGCCCTTACTTTTTTTTATATAATAAGTATATTAATGTCCATTTGTGCGCGCAGAGTGCCACACGGACGGCGAAATGATGGACCTCGTCTCGGAGATGGAGATGATGAAGATAATCGGCAAACACGTCAACATAATCAACCTGTTGGGCGCGTGCACCCAGGGGGGTCCCCTCTACGTGGTGGTCGAGTACGCGCCGCACGGCAACTTGCGCAACTTTTTGCGCGAGCATCGAGCCCCGACGGGCTACTGCGAGCACCACGAGCCCCTCAAGCTGCCGGGCAACCCCGAGACGGAGGAGGCGGAAGAAAAGAAGGTGCTCACCCAGAAGGACCTGGTCTCGTTCGCGTACCAGGTGGCCCGGGGCATGGAGTACCTGTCGAGCCGGAGATGCATCCACCGGGATCTCGCTGCCAGGAACGTCCTCGTGAGCGACGAATACGTGCTCAAGATTGCTGACTTTGGCCTCGCCCGGGACGTCCACAGCCACGACTACTACAGGAAGACGACGGACGGCAGGCTGCCGGTCAAGTGGATGGCCCCCGAGGCCCTCTTCGAGCGCGTCTACTCGACGCAGTCGGACGTGTAAGCTGTTTGTTTGCCGTCGCATTTCATCAAATTTCATTGCACGATATAAGTATAACGCACGTTTTCGCCGTAGCTGGTCGTTTGGAATACTTCTCTGGGAGATCATGACTCTTGGGGGAACCCCGTATCCGTCTGTGCCGTCGGTCGAGAGGCTCTTCCAGCTCATCAAGAACGGCTTCCGGATGGAAAAGCCTCCGGGTTGCTCCATTGAAATGTAATTAGACCTATATAGTGTTTTTACTTCATGTACAATGGATTATTATTATTATTATTATTATTGCGTTGCAGATACATGCTGATGAGAGCGTGCTGGTCATATTCGCCGGAAAAGAGACCAATATTCACCGATTTGGTCAACGAGCTAGACAAGATACTTACGATAACTGCTAACGAGGTAAGTTTCGGCTCTTCCTTATATAATATTCATGCTGATTTTCGGGAATAACTCATATTAATTTTGGCGCGTGGGCGATCATTTGCAGGAATACTTGGATCTGGGTCTTCCACAGCTGGACACCCCGCCGTCGAGTCAAGAATCCAGTGACGCGGAGGACGACGACGTAGAACGTCAGTTTCCATTTCTACAGAATCTTCTGTAATGTGAAAGTGAACGGGTGGAGTAATTCAACTCGTACAAAACAAGTATCTCCTGAGATGTTGGTATAGCTATTCAAGTCACGGATGAAACTAAATACATATGTCAATTGAGAATGGAGAACCTTCGGCCCTACAAATGTCACGTTAAGTGTGGTTTATTCAAGTGTTTCACAGGACAATGAACTTGATTTTTTTTTTTTTCCTATTTGACGTGAGTTTGTCACAAGAGGGTCGCGGGACAAAAAATTGCTCGGAGATTGCTGTTTTTAATGCGGTGGATACTATCTACCGATGGAATCAAGTGAGCGAGTAGAATCAGAGATACGTTTTGCAAAAGCTGTAATATAGTAAGAATTAGTCATGACACGCATTATCAATCATACTGCAGCGACTAGTTGTAAGTATAGGTTTACCTTATTTGAGTATTTAAGTGCCTAGTATAATTGAGCATTTCGATGACGGAATGTAAGCAAGTATTCTGTAATTAAGACTAAAAGTATATAAGTTAAAAGGTATCACAGGAAATTTGTAAAATTTTTTATATCCTTGTAATTTAATGTGCTGTTTGAGAAAGTCCCGTGTGAATCGATCGATGGAAAATAAATAATAATTATTTCAATTGCCATCATTATTTATTTTTAATTAAGAAAATGGAAACATCACATTTTAACCAAATAACAATTGAGCCCTACATATTAATTATATTGTAAGTAAATTGGTTTTGTCTTTCAATGTATAGAAATGTAAGCGTCGATGGTAATCGTGTTTTTAACTAGTCAATTAAAAAAATAACTAATAATGAAAATGTACATAACTAAAGTTTCCTACAAATTTTACAGATCGACATGAAGCTTTAATTTTTTTTTTTTTTTTTTTTTTTCAACATACCAAACACGTAATTATTATGTGTACAAGTATATTATTATATTTATGTACCAACGCATCTACAATCATTTAACTGACAGTTTTTATATGTACCTTTAATAGCGCTTATATTCATGTACACTTGTCAAGTTTATTTTATCATGATTATATAAACGATTACAGAAACAATTTTTTTATGGATATATAAGTATCCCGTAAACTGAAACTTAACGAAGAAAACGCTGCTCAGAAATCAATACAAGTGGAAGCAACCGGTCGATAAAAAATCATGATATTCACCTCGAATTTGAGCAGCGTGGTATTTTTCTGAAATATTTGTTGAGGCGTCGAGGTAATCTCTTGTATCAAAATCCAAGAATATGTTATTATATTATGTATAATTGACAAAAAAATATTCGTCCATGCTAAATGTAAAAAAAAAAACTCAATAGCGTGTAGGTGTATAGTGTTAAATTATTTATTAACGTTGTATAAAAGATTATCATTAAATATTTTCATAATTTTACAAGAAGAAAAGTTTATGAAAAATCATATAATTATACATTAGTTCACATAATTGCAAAAACTCAGAAAAATAATGGTATTCAAATTAAATTAAAGATAAATCGAATATGACTAAAAATATGACAATCGAGACATTATAAGGAAACTGACGATGGTTTGTTTGACGATACCGAAAAAGTGAAATATTAAATGTATCATGCAAAAACCATTATTTACCATATGTAATGTGCAGGTATTTTTAAGTTTGAAAATCACTAATTGTAAATATACTTTGTTAAACACGCATATAGTACATCAACATTTAAACAATTCAATAAAAACATGATGTATTATTATACAAGGTTATCAATTATTCGAATACACAAAAATAATCTCGAACAAATCTCATGAGGAAACTACTCTACTGACAAAAAGTTTTTTTTAAATATTATCTACCCTCATCGTCGCTCTTCAATTAATTTAATTTTGAATTAAAAAAATTATGCGAAAAAAGTTTTTAAGTTTAAAAATTTTTTTAACACAGTTGAGAGAAGCACAACAGAAGCGTGAAGAAACAGAGAAAAATTTATGAATTAATATTTTAAAAATTTTCCTTGACAGTTATAACACACAAATGCCCGTTTTTAAGCTATAAAATTATATTGCTATGACACAGCTATACCATTTCATTGTTTCTGTGTTATACCCATAGACATAAGTGTAAAGAATAGATCGTGTATACGCGAGCCTCACTGCCTCAACTGCTAAAGGGTTATACCATTTCAACGTTCCTGTTTTATTGGGTCATGTGGGGTTATACCATTCCATAGTTCCTATTTTATTGGGTCATGTGGGGTTATACTATTCCGCCGTTCCATTTTATTGGGTCATATGGGGTTATACCATTCCGCCGTTCCTGTGTTACACTATTTTGTTGTTTTCTGTATTCTGTGAGTGTAATAAATCAGCAATTGCCACCAGCCAATGCAGTTACAGTTAATTATGCACATGTACGAGGTGACAACGTTGCGTGGTTGGGGGTGTTACTGTTGATTTACTGGTGATGTGTGCTGCAATGTCACCAGTAGAAATGCAGACGATATCGGTTTCCTTGTTCTTTTTTTTGTGACTTTTTCTGTAATCGTATAAAAAAAACAATGCAGATGACCATAACCACATAATTATTGTATTTACATGAATTGTAGAAACTTTTCATTTGATGCCTTAAAGACGTTCTAACATTATAATATAATCAGGTTACATAGTTTTATTATGAATAAAGTGTCTATTTCCTTGTTTAAAACAAATTATATCGGTATTCAGTTAACATCAGTTTAAATTAAATCACCCGCCATAGGTGTGGCTGACAGTCTTAAGGCATTAAGGGTGCCTGTACATGGACGACCTGGTTTGGCAACTTCCCGTCAAAGCTCTCTCTGGTCTCATGAGAGTGAGAGAGAGAGAGAGAGAGAGAGAGGTTTATCACGTGACCACATTTAACCTCTCTCTCACTCTCATAAGACCAGAGAGCTTTGACGGGAAGTTGCCAAACAGCAGGTCTTCCATGTACAGGCACCCTTAGACGCCCATGTACAGGCACCCTTAGTAGTACTTATGCCTTAATATTTATCACGTCAGAGTATTGAAATTATATTAATAAAATTAAATTGCTCATCACTTATAAGGATCGTAATTTGAAATGGCTGGTGGAAAAAATGCACAATCTGCACTTCAGCCGGTAAGTTTTTACATGAAATGCGCTATTATTAAGGTTAGAAATAGTCTAATATTTATTTTTAGGACTCTGATGTTCACATATCTTATGAAGATCAACAGAAAATTAATAAATTTGCAAAACAAAACGCTAAAATGGACGACTTTAAAGAAGAGCTCAAGTTTAAGCAGGTAAACTTACATTTGTATAATAAGGATGTACTTTTAGGAAAATAGAATTGTAAAATGTCTAATATGGAGTTTCAAATAATACATGGTATTAATGTTATGTTTAATTTAGAATGAACTGCAAAATTTGAAAGACGCGTGTAGTGAACTTGAATTGTTTGATGATGATGTCAAAATTCCTTATCATATAGGAGAAATCTTCATAAATCAAGATTTACCAAAAACTATGGTTATTACTTCAATACTTAGATAATATCAAATTATAAATCTTGACATGTTGAAACTAATTTAGATCTTATTGGCAAATTTTCAGACTTGTTTAGAGCAAGCAATTAAAAAGAAAGAAGCTGAAATCACAGAATTAGACGAGAAATGTTCTACTCTTAAAAATATAATGAGTGATTTAAAAGCACAATTATATGCTAAGTTTGGAAATAACATTAATTTGGAAGCAGATGAAGAATAAAAGGAAAAAAATCAAGGTTACACGCACTCAAGTCACGTTTCTTACAACAAAATCACATTTACCATGATTGCAAAAAAATAATTTATTATAAAACTTTGAAACAACATTGTTTATACACTTTCCTCAATTATTATTATTGTAAATAGAAATATTTTTAAATAACAAATTATGAGTTTTATTGGTTTTTTTTTTTATACATCATTTTCCACTTCCAACATCAACTTTTAATTTTAAAAAATGCGTGTAATTAAAGCTGATGATTTCAATGTGGTAACAATAAATCAAAACACTATTCATAATTTCTAAAAGTATAGAAATATGGTGATTATTTTCTCTTATGCACGGTAAAGCATTAGCTTCGACTTTTCAAGTATTTATTGAAAAATGAGTTCCATGATATAATTAAACAACTACATAATCACAGCTTAATGTCATGCATTAATAGATTATAATTTATCCTAAGCAGCAAAAAACAATTTTTTTTCTTTTTATTCTTTTTGCAGGTAAAAAATGTTCTAATTCTAGACCAAGCGGCTCTCTTAAAATGATATTATTCGAGAAAGAACTAGATGTTGATGCAATTTCCATTTGATTATTGTAATCGATAACAGATTGAGTTAACTGTAAACGTAAATTGTGACTGTTAATGCTGCTTGTGCTTTTGGCTGTAAAATTTTTTTTTACAATAACTTTATCTGCTGCTGAAAAATGATTTTCACGAATTGTCAAATCATCATTGTCCGGTTCCATTCTTTCGATTTCACTTTTTTTTGCATCAACAGAGATTTTTTTCATTGGTTTTGAATCCGTCTTAAATTGCAGAATTTCTGATTCAGAAATAATTACATTAAAGTTCAAATCATCAAGATCACCTTCTGTACTCAATGGTATTTTCATATCTATACCGTTGACATCTTGCACTGAAAGTTTTGTGTTATTTAGATGCACCGACTTTGGTGACGTTCCAATTTGCTCTTGAATTGACTCTGGTCACTTATCAGTGAGAAAAGCTTGATCGCTTTGTCGTCGACGTTGATAAGTGAGAGGTGCAACCAACCGACTGTCCTTGCTTATATAGTATTCATTAAAATCTAATCTGACGCTTAGTAATTGTAAAGAGACATCTTCTGCAGAAGCAAGCATTAGTAAAAACTTCTTGACACGGTCCTGTGGTAAAAAACGCATAAGGTTGTACTTATAAACTTATTAAGATATAAGATCTACAAACTCAAAATAATTATACCTGATAAGTTCTTGACAACAATTTAAGCTTAATTGACAATGTGCTTAAATACTTGAGAAACGTGTTTTTCCTTTCCACGTTTTCGGCAACTTGACTTTTAGTGCAGCCCCATTGTTTTTGAATCTCACTCGTTTTTTCAATAAACTTTTCCGAGTCTACTCTTGCTTGATACTCAGCAGTAGCGCGCGCAACAAAAGTTTCTTCAAGAGACTGGAGTTCAAGAATAGGTCCGTACACGGAGCGAAGATGCAACATTAATTCCTGAAAATTTAAAATAAAATTTTTGACAAGGAATCGTAAAATATTACAATAACATCTCTTTCTAAACTGACCTGTGATTGATCGTCAAGGAGTGTACCTCTTTTTACTGACTGGATAAAATTAGTGTGAGCTGCTATAATATCATCTAGGGATGAAGCTTGTTTCAAATTTTTTGCAAATATGTCCCAAGAGCATTCTATCACTTCAAACAAGAAATAATACTGCATTTGATGTACAAGGTGAACCATACTACTCGTAACTGAATGTATCTGCTTTTGTATTGGCAAAATTTCGGGCATTTTACTGAACATTTTAGCAGATGTGATTTGTTGCTTCCATATGGCTGACAAAATTTTTTCCATGCGCTTGGCACGCCAAAGAGAAAAGAACACTCCTTGATATATTTGACGACTTGGCTCCAAAATCTGAAAAAAAATAATTTTTTTCAAAATTTCGCCTTTAAGATTTTTAAATAATTGTTTGGTTAAATATTCATACTGTTCCAATGGGTCCATCGACATTGTAGTCTAGTGCAAAAACATCCCATCCAGTTTCATTTTCAGAAGGCACCATCAATTGTATGTCCAACCTTTTTTGAACATCCAATTCATCTAACTTTGTGCTTGTTGCTCTGACTGCTGTCTCCAGTATGGAAGATATGTTGTGCGGATACAGAGAATTGGCCGGTTTAGCTAATTCTGGTCTGGAATAAATGCAAGATATTGATGCACAGGAACGTTAAATTTTATTTTATATGATATGTTTTGTAGCTTACTCTAACAAGTGCATGAGATGTTGAACAAAGTGTCCTTGTCCAAGTAAAAGATATCCCTTGATACCTTGCAAGTGATCCATCAAATGATATTGTTTCGTGAGAATGTCAACCACTCTGGTTGAAGTTTCTTTGTAAGCAGCATCCATCATTCTTTGCAGTGGTCCATCAGGATCCATATCAAAGAATGCTTCAACTAAAAATTATCGTTACAATTTTAAGTTAATAATGCTATTTTAGCGTAAAGTGTAAAGAATTTATTGTGCACTGAAACTTTATCAATTCAAATCACCTCCAATTTTTTCAGACGAATTCTGAAACATTCCAGTCTCTCTGTCTTGCAGAGGCGAAAAGTCTTTGCACACTTCCCTTAAAAAGTTTATACTTTTACCAGTACACAAAATTTTTTTGGCTTGAGTCCTGCTTAGAAACGATGGAACCATTGAATCTCTTACTTGATACTTTTCATGCCACATTCTTTCTCCAGCAACTTCTGCACATGACTCTATGAAAAATTCTTTGTATGGGTCATCCAGTTCACCATCTGTTATCCATCTTAAAAGCATATTATAAAGGGGCTCTGAAACACTTTCTAGTATTCTTTTTACAAGTTTCTTGACACGTGGATCTCCATTCTGATTGAATTCATACACAGCAGAAGCAAGAGCACCACCATTCAAACCACCACAGGTCCTTACAATACTTGCGAGTAATTTGAGGGTTTCCAGAGGATCGTAAACCCACAAGTGAAGATTCGAAAGAGTGACTCTATCCAAACTTAGAGAATCCTTAACTCTGTTGACTTCTTCTTGTGCGTTTGCGACAAACCTATAATAATCAGACAGTTCCTTGTGAAGAGCTGCCACAAAGCTATCTGCCACCCTTCCACCGTTGCCATGTTTGTCCAGCCCATTCTGAATGATATTGTATAAATATCCGAGTTCGCTAAGTCTCTGAACAGCTTGTTTTTGAGAACGATGTATCCTAGCAATCGAATCTATTTGGAATCCACGGTTGCTATCCAACTTCAAGATTTTTCCCTCAATGCCTTGGAAAGAATATATGAGATCTTGAACAAGAATATCTTGCGATATGCAGTCCTCATCAAAAATTCTACTTGGGTTCAGAGAGTGATCTAGCATAGTTGAGTCTGTTGGCTGAAACGGAACTACTTGAGCTTGAGTACTAGATATTTGCGCAGAATATCCCGCACTTGTTGAAGCGATCGGAATGTTTAAATCTAATCTCATTTCTGGAAAAGTCATGTTATCATTAACTCTATCACTTGATTGACTCATATGAAGAAGAAAATTCAATGTTCCAAGGCGGTTTCTTAGTTCCTGTTGTATCAACGAATATTGTTGTTGAAAAATTTTATCTTTAAAGTTACTGAATGCTTCTCAACACACTACTTACCCCATCCTTTAAATTATTATGCAATTCATCAAAAAGAGCTGCATCCTGTGGTGACAATTTACTTTTGATTTGATTAGCAACCATAGTCTCATCATCTTTAAAAGTATCAATACCTTGCGTTGAAGATAACAAACTTAAAGAGAAACGCATGCACCTTTGAATAACTTCTGCACATCAACAAAAATAAGAAAAGAAGTGTAAGTGCTGACAAACAACTAACAATGGATTGACACATAATTAAAATCAAGTGTTAACCTCACCTGGTTTTTGCTCGCCACACACGGAATCTATGATCTTTTGTAGTAAATCGCTCACATTTTCCGTCTCGTTAGCACTCATTTTGTCGTTTTCTTAAATTAATCCTTACTTTATAAAGTTCTTACAGAGAAAAATAAAATTTTGAACAATAAAACTTCGTAACCTCCGTATAAACTCAAGCAGCATATATTCATTGCCTCATCACTCATCATCGAACTTGGCGCGCTTGCCGCCTCGCCTCCTACTTACTCTGAAACTGAAGTGTTTTTTTTTTTCTTCGGTCACTGAATATAATCTCTCTTATACACTCCATATTACTTACCCGCGTTCTTCGACTTCACATTTGTTTATTTTTAAAATACGTCGCAACATAATGGTAAAAAATTGATTTGAAGAAAGATTAAATCAATTAAAAAATTAATAATATTTGTAGAACTTAATTTTCAATTCATAAACGACACCTTAAAATTCTTTACTATGTAGCGTACGTAATTCGAAATTAGTGTGTACTTATACTATACGCAGTGTTTAATTTTATATCCATTAATTATAATAAAATTCATTTTGATTTATAATTTTTTTCTTTTGGTAAGTAAAAATGTTTTGTATTTTAACGTTAGAAGATGAGAATTTAAAAATTAATAAAATTATCTAATTTTAAAATCACGAAAAGAGAAGTATCGAGTATCGATACTATCGATTTATATCCTCACTGTGTCACAGGGAGGGGGGAGCCATAGTAGACATAACCTAAACTCACAAACCAAAACAAAAACAACAGAGCAGCTGATGTTCTCTGGACTTTAATGTACTCTTTAAATGTTCGTTAATGGAAATAATAATTGTAAAATCGATTCGACGGTTAAAAAATGAGTGATTCCAATAAAAAAAGTATGAAAAACAGTTCCACCTTTGGAAAAATTAGTTTTAAGTTAACTACCAAATCGGTTGACGATATTGTCAGTAAAAGTAGTAGCTCAGAGGATGTAAACGAGTCAAATTTAGAGAGTAATAAAACTGAAACTGGATTCGGTATATTCAGCAAAAAAGCTGAGCCACACAGTGAAGTTATAGTAGCTATAAGGCCTGAAGATGAAGAAGAGAATGAGAAGTTACAGAATGTCATGGGTATGTCATCGTTTGGAAAAAAAGCTCGGTGTTTTGATGTAGAAGAAATGATGGAGAATATCAAGAAAACTATAGTTAGCAAGCCAGCAACTAAGACAGTTGACCATCAACAGGGTAGTAGTACAAGTGACGACAAGTCAGAGAACGATGATAATGACGACGACGATGATGATGATGACTTTATTGGCCCTCCGATTCCCCAATCACTCCTGCAAAGTGAAAGCAATCAAGAAGAAAAAACAAAAAAAAAGAAACAAAAGGATGATAGTGATAGCGAGGATGATGAAAGTGACGACAGTGATAACAATGAAGAGGATGACGAAGAAAATGAGTTGATAAACAAGATTCCCTGCACTCATCAAGTGACCATGACACACGGACTCAAAGCCATAACGGCAATTGCAGCTGATCCTTCTGGTGCTCGACTTGCATCAGGATCTGTGGATTATGATATTAGTTTCTGGGATTTTGGTGGCATGGATGCTTCTCTAAAAAGTTTTAGGACCCTTCAACCGTGTGAGAATCATCCTATAAGGTGTCTTCAGTATTCGATGACGGGTGACGTTATTCTAGTGGTGTCTGGATCTGCCCAAGCAAAAGTTTTGGATAGAGATGGCTTTGAAAAATGCGAGACTGTCAAAGGAGACCAATATATAACTGACATGGCAAGAACAAAAGGACACACAGCTTCTTTGAATAGCGGAAGTTGGCACCCTTTCACTAAAGAAGAATACCTGACATGTTCTCAGGATGGTACTTGCAGGACTTGGATTCTGTACAAGGCCAAGGCACACAAGGCTGTGATAAAGTGTAGGGCTCAAAGCGGAGTCAAGACTGTACCTACAACCTGTGCGTACAGCAGGGAAGGTACTGTCATAGCAGCCGGATGTATGGATGGATCAATACAAATGTGGGATAACAGAAAAAATTTTGTCAATCCATCTCTGATAAACAGAAATGCACATAATCAAAGTTCAGAAATTTCTTGTCTCAGTTTTTCTTATCTTGGTCATATGATGGCCACCCGTAGCTGTGATGACACCTTAAAACTCTGGGATCTGAGGGCTTTCAAAAATCCACTTTTTGTGGCATCAGACTTATTCTCCAGATATGAATCCACAGACTGTATGTTCAGTCCTGATGACTCGATGATCGTAACCGGCGAGTCATTGGCTAGAGGCAAGTCAATGGGAAGATGTTTATTTTATGACACAAAGAGTCTGCAACTCGTCCACGGCATAGAGGTAACAGAGTCACATGTGATCAAAACCCTGTGGCATCCCAAGCTTAATCAGATATTTATTGGATGCGGAAACGGTGTCATTAAAGCTTACTACGACATAAAGAAGAGTTTGCGCGGAGCAAAACTGTGCGTAGTTAAACAAAGGTATAAGCAAAAGCACGTCGAAATGATGGCAACCCAGCAAATTATCACGCCCCACGCGCTGCCTCTCTTCAGACAAGACAGGCCTAAATCTGTGAGGAAGCAGATGGAAAAAGACAGACAAGACCCGTTGAAGTCTCATAGACCTGACCTTCCCATCACCTCGGGACAAGGTGGCAGAGTCGCCTCCTCTGGTGGTACTCTTAGCTCATACGTCATTCGAAATCTGGGACTAAGTAAAAGAGTGGAGGATGATCAGGATCCTCGCGAGGCTATATTGAAGTACGCGAAAATAGCGGAAGAAGAACCCTTCTGGATCACACCGGCTTACAAAAAAAACCAGCCTAAACAGATTTTCCAAACGGACGAGGGCGAAGAAAGCGAGCCATCCAGTAAAAAACAAAAAACTTGAATGGATTAATGTATGCAAATAAATTTTTTTGTAATAAAAAACTCTAAGCCATTATAAGTTACAAATCTTTTATTGTACAGCTTTTATCCGTTATTAATTTATTATTCTGTATTAAAAAAAAAAAAAAAAAAAAAATGAATCAATAACAGCATTTTTGCACAATAACATGAATTTTTTTTTTCTAATATTTTTTATATTTTAAACTACAATTAAGTCGTAAAATTTTATCTTGCACCGATTAAAATAATACAAAAAATGAGATCGTTGCAGTCTACTTCTACAACCATATTACTATTGTAATGGGGCTAACAACAATAAAATATTATGGATTTTGAAATTGACGAGAATATAATTTTACTTTTTACTCTAGTAAAGAATTCAATAGTCGTGCCTTCAATGCAAATAATTAAGTTTTAGCACACATTTTATTTTAATTTTATTTGACACTTTATTACTCGTGAATTACAAAGCTTTAAGGGGCTGTATCTCCGTAAATAAAGGAGACATCACGAAAAGGACGATTATTTCGAATCATTAAATTTTTGAAAATTTGTAAAAAAAATTTCCGGCACAATATGATCCCCGACTCGATGATTGTTTATTTAAGGAAAAGAATATGATAATTGTATGAAACTTTTAGTGGCTGTACTTATCTTCGTAAGTAAAAAAGGTATCGCGAAAAGGACGATCATTTGGGATTATTGAATTTCGAAAAAAAATATTAATATAATTCACCGGCATTATGTACCTTTTATATTTACAAAAAGAAGATAGTAAAACAAATGTTATTCTCTAAAATTTAATTAGATAATCAAAAGTATGATTTGATTTAAATACTTAAGTAGCAACTTTTTTATTAAATCAATTTATTTGAAATGTAAATAAATTATTTTTTGGCAGTTTTGTAATTTTTGATTGCATATCCACTTCCATCCACTTTCTACTTTAATTATTTTTACTAATTTCTACAATCGCACTGATAGGTGTGTACTTATTTCTAAGTCAGTCTGTGCAGCGCAGCCGTACACGTTGCACTACCTACTCTTTCTTTCTCTCGCCCGGTGTAAGGAGCACCCCACCCCGACCCCATAAGTATATCATATCCTTGCCGATCACATTTTTAAGGTACGCACTTAAGTGCCTAACATAATACCGCGCGAATTTAGATATTATAGGGTAGGCTGAAGGGATTTCGCACGGCAGCGATACACCTTTGGCTTGGAGACCTTATTTTTTACAACGAAAAGATTTAAAGCATTTTATTTTATTATTTAAGGTTCTGACCTCATTGAGGTATGAACACTTTAAAGCATATATAATAAATTGTACCATTGTATGTATGTACATATATATATAGTCTTCGAATATCAAGAACATAGGGATCGAACAATAAAGCTCGCGCACCCACAAAACACTTTCGCTCTTTGTGGGTACAACATCCGGAGATTCCGGAGTCGTGCGTGCGATGTGCCTGACGTTGGCGCTATATTTGATGGCACACCCCTCAGGTGAGCAACTGAGCAGTACGTGATCCGTGATTGATATCTTGTACATACATACCTTCTTATAGGTATATACTTAAGTGTAGGTACATACATACTTATTGGGCTGTAACTAAAAGTCTCATAACTGTGACTGACAGCAGCGGCAACAGTAAATAGTAAGTACTAAGTATAGGTATACGAACGCCGCGCCCTAGCCGACTCTGCACTCTCTGCAGTCTGTTCAGATATCTCAGCAGTCTCAACACACAAGCATCAGCAAATCATTGTTAAATTTTGTTCCCGTTCGTGTAGTGAAGGTGGTGCACGTAGGTACCTATATACATACTTTACGGTATACATACGAAAGAGAGAGTTTGGAGTTTGGAGTGTTTAAACAAATTTTGGACAGTTTGGAGTTTGGACTCATTTATGTTGTGTATATACACATGTATATTTACGTATAGTCGGACAAACCTTTCAAGTGTGCTTTGACTGCTTTGAGTGTGTATGTCTGTGAAAAAGTGCGCGTCCTATTCGCGGTCTTCGCAGTTCGCAGTCGCACATTCTTCGCGGAGTGTCGAGAGTGTCTCGAGGTTGCATTTAAATAAGTAGGTATCTACATACATCCCAAGACTCCCAAGTAATCCCCAGCTGCGTGTACACCTACTGCATAGCATAGCTGGCTTGATGCTGCTACCGTCAGTGTGACTGTGTGCGTGCAGAGAGAATTTCTCTTGTGCGCGGAGACGCAGAGAGCTCCGCCAGGAGAGAAAATGTCGGAAAGTCGCGGCACCTGCCGCCGCAACCACCACCTCGACCACTGTTGTCCGGTTGTCGGTTCATGACGAGCCCATCGCTTGGGAATCCGGGGACACTTGCAACTCTTCTCTCATCTCCAAGAACACACGCCTAACAAGTGTTAAGAGCTTAAGGTACGCGCTTCGCCACACTTGCAAACATTCTTCTATCCGATCAGCCCTGCCCTGCCTTCTTTATATTTACTTATTTTTTGTTTTTCGGAGCAGTCCTTGCCTACATATTATACGTACATAGCGCAAATTTATCTTGTACTCTTACCCGTTTTGCCAATCTTCTAAGGAAAATTACTCATAAGCAGTTTGTACGTAAAGTGTGCTACTTACTTTTTACTGTGCTTTTTGATTTTTTATTATTTTTCGCGCTCGTCGTTGCTATTACAACGCATACTCTGTAATCATTGGTACTGTTGCACCGCTTATTAGTGCTGCTCCAGTTTGTATGCTCGATTTACCTTTTTTTTTTTTTTTTTTTTGTATTTCCTGCATGCCGACCTTATTTAAATCATCATCACTCATCACGCAGCATTTCCACCAAGCTGGGGAATTTTAAAACTTCGTTTACTTATACCGTCCTGTAATATGTAGATATTCAGTTCTGAATTTTCATTATTTCTTTAATTCCTATTCTACAGTATAGTTATTAATTATGATTAAGATTAAAAAGCTAGAAATAAATATCTTACACATTCATAAGTATACTAACGCGTTTTGTTTGAATTTACAGAATCATTACTCAATCATTAATAAACTGCAACAGCAAGTATTAACCATGTTTGCCAAAAAGAAGAAGAAACCTCAGATTTCAACGCCAACAAATTTTGAACACAGAGTTCACACTGGTTTTGACAAAAGGGAGGGTAAATTTGTTGGATTACCATTACAATGGGCTTCGATTGTTGGAAACAATCAAATCTTAAAGTCGACCAACAGGCCTCTTCCACTGGTGGATCCAAGTGAAATCACACCAACAGAAATCCTGGATTTAAAAACAATAGTACGTGGTCACAATGATCCAAGAATGAGCAAGTCGTCTATAGATAAATCAATGGAGACTAACTTGCCAAAAATGAGCAGTGTTGCACGATCAAATTCATTAAGGTCTTCCAGTCCCCCAAGACTAAGGAGGGACTACAGGAACAATACAAATTTACCCCCATCTGTTCCAGAAGGCCAAGAAATGACTAATAATCCCACACCAACGCAAATGTATTCCAACTTCAATAAAACTCACGGATACGCTGATAAAATGAGGCCAAACAATCCAGCAATAAATTCAGGCCACAATAACATGATTCCAAATCTTCAAAATTTAAACCCCAACATGCAGTCTTCACCAAATTTGCCTCATACGAGTAACAATGTACAAAATTTGTCGATAAACTTCCAAAATTTGAGTCCAATTCCAAGCATGCAAAGTCCACCATCAAATCCAAATATTCCGCAAATGCAAGAATACGACTTCCAAAGGATTAATCCATCTGCAGCTGGCCCACCGCCTACTCAATACAACGGAAACATTCAACATTCCAAGCTTGATTCATCAAAGATTGTTCCAAATCAAAATATGATGCTTCAGCTTAAAGTGTCACCTGTTGGCTCGATAGCTTCTCAAAGACCTTTGAGCCAATTAAGTTCGCACAATGTTACCAAGCATACTCAGAATTACGGAGCAATGGAAAATCCAAGCTTCCACACCCACTTCCAAAAACCTATAGAGAGTTCTCAGTCTATGCATAATCTCTCAAAAACGACAGCTTTGTCCAATATGCCAGGGGCTAGTACAACACCAGATCAGAATCAGAACTTGAAGAATGCCATGTCATCTGGCAACTTAGCTGTAAATGCTTCTGGACCAGTTGCAAATAATTCTGGAAAGCAAAGTGCTGAGCAGAGGTTGACTCATGAGCAATTTAGAGCCGCATTACAGATGGTGGTACGTACTTGATTTTTTAATTTATTTTTTGTCAGAAAATTGAGAATTTACAATATTTTTGAATAAATTTTTTAGGTAAGCACGGGAGATCCTCGAGAAAATTTGGAAAACTTTTTGAAAATTGGTGAAGGCAGTACGGGAACGGTGTGCATAGCTACAGACAGAACGACGAATCGTCAAGTAGCGGTGAAAAAAATGGATCTTAGGAAGCAGCAGCGTCGCGAGCTGCTATTCAACGAAGTTGTAATTATGAGGGATTATCATCATCCTAATATCGTCGAGATGTATGATAGTTTCCTCGTGAACGACGAACTTTGGGTTGTAATGGAATACTTGGAAGGAGGAGCCCTTACGGACATTGTCACGCACTCTCGAATGGATGAGAGCCAGATCGCAACTGTATGTCTGCAGTGCCTTAAACCTTTGCAGTACCTGCACTCACAGGGTGTCATTCATAGAGATATCAAATCAGATTCAATTTTACTCACTGCCGATGGAAGAGTCAAACTCTCTGACTTTGGTTTTTGTGCTCAAGTTTCGCAGGAATTGCCAAAGCGAAAGTCACTTGTCGGTACGCCCTATTGGATGAGTCCTGAAGTTATTTCTAGGTAAATAAAGTTTTTAGTATTATTCTTACAAGTAAAAAGTAGTAGAGACGTGAATAACTTTTATTAAATTTGTTATTATTATTATTTTTTTTTTTCGACTAGGTTACCGTATGGGCCTGAAGTAGATATTTGGTCTTTGGGTATAATGATCATCGAAATGGTTGATGGAGAACCACCATTTTTCAATGAACCACCTTTGCAAGCAATGAGACGGATCAGAGACATGCCACCTCCAAAGTTGAAAAATTCTCATAAAGTAAAAATATTTCATAACGAGCATTGTTTCTTGATATTGTATTAAAACTTTATTAATTTTGGTGTATTTATTTTAATAGGTGAGCCCAAAATTGCAGAAATTTTTGGAAAAAATGTTGGTCCGAGACCCAGCTCACAGAGCCACTGCAGCTCAACTATTGGAGGACCCATTTCTCATGCAGGCCCAAAGCCCTAGTATTTTAATTCCGCTGATGCGAGGATCCAGAAACACGACTTGTTAATCAGGGACTCGTTCATTTGTTGAGTAAAAGAGAATAGACAAGAGAGCTGAGAGAAAAATGATCACAGCGCCTGTATGTATGTATTTCGCTTGACGCTTGTAGCTAAGCGTTTCTCGATTTTGGCACTTGTCAAATTTTCGTAGCCTTTGATGTTCATTCACCGAAAGCACGCGCCTACAGTTTATCGAGTTTGCTAGATGTTATTCGTTGTTGTGACAACTAGAAACACGAAAGAAAAAAAATGTATTTCCAAGTGCCTTGATACAGTAGGATTCCTTGATGAGGTGTACATATATTATATATGTTGAACTATTCTTTAAAAGTATTCAAGCTCTCCCTTTATTGAAACAGAAACATCTGGGTTTGCTTTTTTTTTATTTTTTATACTCGACATTATTTTATCATTGTCGAATTTATCGAAATTCGATGAGACACACACACCATAGATTTATATTCATTTTCATCATATCGCTAACTAATTAATCGCATTAAACTCATGTACAATACTTGAGATTTAAGATTCACCAAAGGCAATTTTAAAATTCACAATCACGAATATTAACACTTATTCTTTGTTGTTTTTATTTTCCATTAATAGTCATTTACAATAGGCAGCTCATAGATATATATTATATACACATATTATATAAATAATTGACACTTGAATCAAGATGAATCCAGTTTAAAAAATTATTTATCAATGATAAAGAACACAGAGTTTAAAAGAATGATTTACAAGAAAAGACTTTATCTCGTAACATTCCACGTAAATGGATATGTGATATTTTTTATTGGCATACTAATAAATAAAAGATTGTGACATATATACTCGCACTGTTGAGAAAAAGAATATACTTATTCAGACTTTATAGGAAGCATTTTCACATACATAGATTGTTGAATAATCATAAATAACCGTAACGTCATATTAAAAAAAAAATTAAAAAAAAAAACCTGTCATGTACGATTTTTCATCTTGCCATTACTTTTGTTTTGTATTTTAGCAATATTATTTTTTAAACGAAAAGTATCACGAGGGTTGTAATTTTATTTTCGATAATTGTATTTTATAAAGGGTACATTTAAGGATTAAGTTCTTACACCTGACTAATTAACACTCATCACCCCCTCAAGCTGTTGAAAATTATTAACGAAAGTACAATGAGACGAACTGTAAATATATAGAAGCTAGATGATAAAAATAAAAGTATATTGATTTTTTGGAGATTCTCTGTATTTTTATTTATAAATAAAAATGATGTTCCAAAAGGTTGTGAAGACATGTACTTATACATAAATGACTATTCACTCGAAAAATTGTAATTTTTTTTCTCACTGAACTGCACATGTGGAGTGCTATTAATGCCAATTATAATCATAAAAATACCTATTCATAGCTACAGCGTAAAACCTTTAAAAGTTGTCGACTTTTATTTATTGAGCGAGCAAAACAATTTGATCAAGATTGGAGGCGCCAACATGAAATTTCTCTCTTCACGACTGATCGGACTATACAATGCGATTCTTGAAAAACTTTTCATTCAAAGACGCTAAGTCGATATGCGCTACATTTAACACTAGTGTGGTAGTTCGAGCCACAGCTCCAAGGCGCGCTGGCGTCACAGGCTGGCGCCCCGCGAATTCTAAGGTGTCTGCTTCCCCCCGAGATGTGTTGCTTTCGATTTTAGCTCGCTCCTAAAGGTCAATCTAGTTGAAAAGCACGTCGCCTCATAATTAATATGCTACGACAGCTACAACGGCTGACTTTAACGTTTTTATAGTCACGCGTCAAGAAATCGGCACACTTACAATAGATGAGGAAGAACAGTTTTTCTGATCAAATATTACCAAAAAAAAATCTTCAGCGCATGTAAATTTGATGAAATGATGTAACAAAGTAATTGAACTTACACTTGTAACTGTCGAGGATCATAAAATGGCTTATGTTAAATTTCACAACCAATAATTTCAATGAATTAAATTGTCAGCGAGAAAATTATAGTTTTTCTAAAATATAACATTCTAAACTCAAAAAAGGATTTGCAATATATTATTGGTAAACAAGAAAAAAAAAAAAAAAATTACAGCGATGGTGAATAAAAATTTATCGTATTGGATACAACTGAATAGATCTAACAGTAGACCATATCTGCACTGTACCGTGTGCCTGTCTCATTTTCGCTCATTTTTTTAATTTAGCAAACAAACCGATCGTTGCCCGGAAGTGCTCGCGTGCGACGGCGTCACATGCTTACAATTTGGAATGCCGATACGCCCAGGAGATAAGTCACAACAGATAAAAAGCAGCAGCGGCAAAATTACGAAATGCACTGTATATCCAATACGATGTTGATTCACAATTAAAGAATTCTTTTGAAATTTTGTTAAAATTTAGGCGAATGGGCTATTGCTATCACCCAAAAATAGCCCAATACTTTTAACTTTAATTAAACAAAAGTGATGAGTTTTCGTATGTGTTTTTTCTTTTCTAAAAAAAAAAAGGAATCATTTGAGCCTAAAATAGTTTAAGTGACATTCAATTCAAGAATTTTTAAAAATAATTTTCAGTAGTGGTACTTGAATCTGCTTGTTTTATTAGTTTTTCTAAGTAATATGCAACTTAATTATTTATTTGGGCACCAAAACATATGACTTGCGAAGCAAATAAGAAATTAGCAATAATTGTTCAAAGTTTGGTCTGAAAAAAAAANGGAAGGCAAAGAGATTATAAAAAAATAATAATAATAATAATAACCAGCTGTATGTTTGTTGTTGAACACGCGTACACCTACTATATGTGTATTGGTAACAAATGAGTGAAAAAAAAGGCGCAAGTGGGAAAAAAACGCGCAGCAGGTTTGCCGAGCGGTGATTGGCTGGTTGGGTGGCGAGCCTCTCTTGCGCGACCGCGAGCTGACCTTCGCATACCATCCGCGAGCACACGCGTAGTCAACTCTCACGCGTACCTACTTGATGGTGCATTTAGTTTGGGCACACCCTTTTTGCTCCATGGGCCATGGGTAATCGGCTGATGCAAAATCGCCACGATCTTACGTACACACACATTCCCCTCAAGACACAATATATCATAAGCTTTACTTATTTCTTTCTCTCTCAACTCAACTCAACTCTTCCTTTCGTTCTTTAGATACGATGTACTCTATGGTCTTCTACTACCCACTGCTCCTTGTACCCCAAAACTGGCTCATAAAATTTTCGGTGCTCAATTAAATGCAACTATCAATATTTATTATCAACAAAACTGTTGCAAATATTAGTTGTTGCGGCTAATTTTACTGCTAATACGACGTAAAATTTTTCCAGTAAACGATTTTTTTTTTCGAGCAAAATCTTTCTTCATTCCACAGCTTTAAATATTTTTTTTTAATAAAAAAAAATGTATAAAAACAATGCCAACCAGCTTTTTTTTTTCAACATTTTTTTTACTTTTCATGTTGTCGAGCTGTATCTCTACTTCGTAAAAATAAGCGTTGACACGTGGTACAATTAGCAAGAACTGTGGAAAAATTTTTCAAACTACAACACATAAGAAGAATTTATTTGGTTTTATTGGCATCAAACAATGACCCTTTGTTCAATTTTTTTTTTTTATTTTATTTTTTTTATTCAAGTATACAAAGTAGGCCACTTTAACAGCGGTTAAAAAACAAAAAAAAAGAAAGGACATCTTGAGCGGCTGTTAAATTCCTAGACCATATTATTAAGTGGATTTTTATAAAATAGAAAAAAAAATGTTGCTATCCAGCTTCTGGAAAATGGATTTTCAGAGACAAATCCGGAATAAACAGAGACAAGGAGAAATAATCAAATGATAGAAGGTTTATAATAATTTGGGAGACAAAATGTAGCTCTTCCCTATAGAGGGAACGTGAGAACAAATGAGCTTATGCACACGATACACCAAAGTCACGTTCAAAATATTAAAAATCAAACGTCAACTCACGAGAAATGTTATTACCACGCGATATGCGACAATGCGTACTTACTTGTAAAATATACTTATATTCTTTTTTTATTTTTTTTTAGGATTCACGAAAATGAATATTGCATCACTCGGAACCACGTTCAAGATGTGATGGCTGACAAACAATTGGCTGTAGTTTTAAAATAGACACGAAATAAAATAACGAATTGAACTTAAGACGAGAAATAAATTATGTTTTTTACAATTCAGAATGCAAAGTATGTTTGAAAAATTAATAAACATATGAAACTGGAGTATCGCTTTGAGTATATAAATATTAATACATAAGTTTGGCGCGTGCATCACATAGGAGGTGCAATTGAAGTATATTGAAACTTGTGCGCATTTTTTAATTGATTTTAATAGCAAGAACGGAGCGGACGGGACGAGCCCCCCGGCACGTAACAGAAGAGAGTTGAGCTGAAAATAGCCTTAAGTTTCTGTGACTTTGAGTAGGAACTGCGTCACACGAGGAAAGAGGAGGAAGACGAAGAAGAAATTGCGAGTCATCCTCCTCCTACTTCTTCTTGGTATTTCATTAAATGTCCACAAGTACATCCACAAATGATCGCGGGGGTCGTGCAAAATGTAACTTCAGTTCATACTATATATGCAATCGCATTATTTTACCATAACTACGGCATATTATGACATGTAGTAGGTATAGGTGCGCGCGTACCGTTAAACTTTTTAAACCACGTTGACGTCAATGATTCGTATAAGATCTTGGATCATCAGGCGCTCAGCCGTGAGTGACTCGCGAGAGGGACTCGGATCAATTGCAACGTAGACATAATATGTATATGTATAAGGCATTATTTGTCAATGCACAAGAGGAGGCCTAGTTGTTACTTTTTATATATTCTCGAAATGAAGCGGGAGCTTGATTTTCGATCGACGATAGATTAGAAACTTAATAAGCGAGTCGCCGAGTCACGCGACTCGATGCGCGAGTACTTGGTTCGTTTCGCGATTAATTTGTCATTGCACGAATGCATGAGGGGCTCGCGAATTTTTCCAACCCGTCCGACTCGGCGTCATTGTTTTTTGTTTTTACAACTGCACGCAAGTATACACACAACACAACACACGTGTACCGACGCTGTTTTGGTAATGACGAGCCTCGTGTTTGTTTAGAAATACTCTAGTGTATCGTTCTCTCAAGAGGTGCTCGCCACATGACGCAACGTTTCGACAAAATTGTGGCGTCTAATGAAACCCGTTCGGCTCGCTGGTGGTGGCGTTAATTTTTTTATTTGCAAGTAGGTGGCACCGAGGCGCGCGAGTCCGGTTCGTTGGTTGGTATAATCAAAAACTTCGATGCACAAACGAAAGGGGACTTTGAATGAAAAAAACGAAATACACGATCAGCCACGTCAGACGAGGAAAAAGGGAAACAAAGAGAGAGAGGGAAGAAGGAAAAGCGAATTTGCGTGTGCCATGTGCGTGAGTCGTCGGGGGCAAAGTCGCCTTTCTACCTCGGGATTGGCTGAGGCGATGGCGAGCCTCCGAGCACGCGCCCGTCGCGACGACGCCAACAAGGAGAAAGACACGCTTGCTTACTTACGTGGACGAAACTGCTGGCCTCTCAATTGTTTTATACATTTTTCATCCTGAATCACGCACGCGCAAACGCTTTTGACGTATCCAAGCCCGAAATCCACTTTGAATTTTACGACTCGCCCAAGTTTTCCTTACTCACCGTGACTACTTCTTCGGTCAAGTTTTAAGACCATGTTTCTTTTTCAGGTATTAATAGCTCACACGAGTCTTCGATTATTTCCTTTTATGATGAAATGGCGCAGGTGTAGCTCATATACGTGTTTTGTTGTTATCCACATAAAAGTTGTGGGCGTCGATTCATTGGAAATTATTGGCAATTTTCGGATGGGATATATAACTTTGGAAAAGACGACAAGGAATAACCAACTGATGATTATTTTATACAATTTTTAATTCAAAAATTTACGCTAATAGTTACAATTTATTACTATATCACATCACGCCATAGCTAAGAATTAAGCTGAATGAAAAATAACAATGTCGTTGTAAACAATAAAGTCTTAAAATGACCAACTATATGTACGTGACTTTTCAATTGATCCTTCGTTTCCAACGCACTGGAGGCTACCTTGGTACACCTACTTCTCCTCTAAAGCTTAAGATGATACGCAAAAGCAACGAAAAGAGAAAAAAGAAAGGTAAAAAAACAAAAGTAATAATTATCAAAAGTTAGCACAACCACGCGTATTTGTTTTATGAAAAATAGGTATTGCATTGCAAAAAAAGTAATTATTGACCGCCAATGGTACAAGTGACTTGTCACCGAAAGAGGAAGGTATATTGGGTACTATGTACATGGGCATTATGCACTCAATTGCTGTTATTGTTCGTATGGTTACACACTACTTATCAATAGTTACCATTATTGCATGAAACGTGAAAAATGTTTCTACTGTCCGTCTCTCGATGACACAAGGCTCCGCGCGTGCAAGAACTTTCAACAACGTATGCGATAAAAATCTGCACTCTCCTATTTGCCCATCCGTTGGATGGACCACTCCTGCTGGCAGAGCGGACACCTGTTGTTCTGCTTGACCCAGAGTGACATGCAACAGTAGTGGAAGGAATGGTTGCACTCGCCCCACACGACCACGCAGTCCTGCTTACCGTAAAAGTCCTTTTTACTCTCTGCCTGGCAGCGCAGACACGCATCTGCAACAGAGCACAACACGCAAAAACCATTAAAGATTATTTTTTAACAAGTGGTGAATTTTGTTCCTGTCGAATTTTAATAGCAATAGCTCATTTTTTTTTTTAAGAATCACAGATGGTTTTTTTACGTGCACGAAATTTGATGAAAAAACCCTGGAAGGCAAACGTTGGCAACAAAAGACAGTTTTATGAGGAGAAGAAAAAAAAGAGAGGAACAGCACGGGATGTTTGCGATCATTGTCATTAAATTTTGCGACTAAGGAAGTTATACACGGATTGAAAAATTTCGTCGAATCGTCACGTTTGGCCACGCGAGTAGATCGCTTTTTTGTCTTCTCGTACGAGATGCATATACATGTTATTCGTACATCGAGTGACCGAAGCACGAAAAGTAGGCCTTTGGCTCTTTCTTGATGTTTTATGAAAGATCTTTAATTATGTATTACATGTGATTTGTTACACGAGTTACCACACTATTGGCATTTCGAAATTATTAGTTTTTTGTTTTTTTATCGAATAAACACGTAATTACGAGTTTCTCAGGCGATTGTTGTCGCAATCTGATGAAACTACCAAAGAAAAGATAAGGATCTAATACTTTTGATTTTCCAACGATACGCTATTAGCATGAAAATCTCTAATAGCCTTTCGTGTTTCCAGGAATTTTCCACTCGACTGCGAGAAAACGGCAATCTCGTGTTTTTTTCTTGCTCACTGTCGTACTGCGATAATTAACACGCTACTCAAATCCACTGACAGATTACAGTACTTCGTTTGACTGAAAAATGAAATGCACTCAAAAGGATCGATGTCGATATTATGCCAACCCCAAAGAAATCCATTAGAGCTACTCCGTCTAGTCTTATTAAAAATAATCGCACCACCCGGAGATAAGTTGACTAAAAAACTTGAGCTCGAAACGTTGTTGAAAAAAAATTCATCATCATAATGTGCGCGATGATACATTATCTCATCGGGTTATAGAGATGTGAATCTAATAAGGTTCGAATGAGAGCTCGTGCCTGCATATTTGACTGGCATGGCAATAATTGCAGGAAAAAAGATTAGCATGCTGCGATCACGTTTGGAAAATCATGCGCAATAAATATTTTTATTTTCTTTTACAATCTAGAATTATGTTGATGATCTTGATGATCATTTGAAACTGACATTAGGCAAAGATAAGGATCATAAGCCCTAAATCCGGCAATCACCTACCGGGGTTTATTGCTACTGTTACGTACGAGTCAAATATTCGGTTAGTAGCGCACCTATCCAATTTTCATTAATCTAATCAATTTCGAAGAATGTTTAAAATGAATTAGTACTTAATCTAATATAACGAATGGATAATCGTGCGTTTATTGAGAAACGTAAAAATTTAAAACCTTTGAAAAAAAACAATTATTTCAAATTCATTGGGTCAAAACTTTTTCAGTTTATGAAAAACTTCATATTTTAAACAATAAAACAAGCTTAATTTTTAATTAATTAATGGTGGTGTAATAATGACTATTTCAAGTTGACGTGTTACGTACGACGAGTCAAATGATCATTGGTGGAAACACTTTTTTATCATGTTAGAAAAATTGAACCCAAAAATTAAATGGACGATTTTTTGAATACCAAAAATTAAAAAAAGGCGACAGAAACAAAATTGTATTTTACAGTGCAAATGACGAGATCACAATCGAAAACAAAAATTTTAGGCCCAATATTTTTATTGCAAGGCAAAGAGAACGTATTTAATACTTGTTAAGTATTCCGACATTTTTTTTAAAATGCTTCCCTATAACGATGAAGCAAAAAAACAAAGAAAGGTACGAAAGAAGACAAAAAAGCATTTAAACATACATGACTGTTGAAGCGCGTCCATGCCACCGTCAGGGTAACAAATAATTTTCAAAATCATTGACAATTAGTAAATTAGATCGAGTCGAATCAAGTTGTAACTGTAGAATTGTGGATCGTTTGGGAGGCAATAAAAAACGGATAAAGTAAGAAAGCACATCATCATTGGGGCTTATAAAACGGTAATAATTCGATCGATTTGATGTTGATGGCCGTCAATTGCGGACGTGTACCGAGAGTAGTATTCCACTGTCTTGTTCGTAAGTCTATAGGTAATGTAAAACGATGAGCGCACTTTGATCGTTCCGTTACATGATTTTGTTAACGATACATCTACATAATGCATGTGTCTCGTAGTCCATGCGAGGCGGCACCAAAATGACTTTTGATACTTTTCAACTCAGGTAAGTAGGTACTAACTTTTTTTTCTCTCGGCATCGTCACATTTGCCTGAAAACGTGTTATTGGAAGTAAATATTTTCCTCTGACAAGTTCACATCCGAGGTCTTGTATATTTAAAAACATTCCACCCTTCGTGTATGGCTCAATGGTAGTGAGCCTGACAACGAGGAAAAGTTTCAAAGCGCCAAAGAGGATCGTTCGACAGCCGCACGTGTGCACTCGATCACGCAAATCGACACAAAGTGTTTCAGGCTGGCGCTGCCGCCACTTGTATGGTATACTTACACATGGCAAGACTCGTATATACACGCAGTAGCTAAGAAGCCAAGCTTTACATGCCCGCACGCGCTCCTTCGTCAATCAGCCATCAATTGTTCCCGGTGGATACGATAAATACTAACTCGCCTCGACCGCTGCTTTCGTAGTTTTATTTTTAACGTCTTTTTCCACGCTTCGGCTGCTCCTTCTCGATCTTTCGACAGCTGTAACTCGATTTATCAGGATATTTCGCGCTGCCCCTACTCCTACGTGCATGCATGTTGTATATACCCAACGGCGACACGCGCAAAACCATCTACGCCATCAAGGAGCTTTCTTTGTATTGTTTGAGGGAAAAATTTATCGGTAAATTAAATTGTCGTATATAGTGGATACAAAAGTAATATTGCGTTGGCAGTGCGATGTTTTAAATACAAAAAAAAAAAAAAACTCCTACTCTTGCGCTTTTCTGGATGCAATTTGATACGATGTTGTAACATCAACAACATAGCTGGAACCTCGTGTTTTTGCTACATTATGCAACTCTTGAGGGATTATGATTTACGAACCAAAACGCGTCATCCAAAAGAAGACGCGTCTGAGTTATTTAGTATCAAAGTCAATCCTGCCTCAATTTTAATCGGTGACTCTTTTCGCTTCGGACCACTTAAACCAAAGTTTCTTTCTTTTTTTCTCCCTGGCTGCTTTCACCAATTCGATAAACACATTGTCCACGCAATCTTCAACCTCTAGTAGTGTGCAATTAACATTGAAGTTTTCCTCCAACTTATTTCTGATCTTACTTTTTTTTCCTGCCATTCGGTACTATTTACGCTTTTTTTAAAAATTTTTTTAACAATAAACATGACCCTATGTCCCTTTCTTGTAATTTCATGTTATAAAAAAAAAAAAAAAAAAAAAATAACCCTTACGAATGAGAAACGTTGATTGTTCTTTTAAAAAATTCTATATAAATTATTTGAACTACTCGTGTGAGTAGTTTTACACATACATTGTAAGTTATGGTAAAACCCACCGCTTGCAGCCCGTAAAAAAATAATAGGAATCGTCACTCAAACAAACGATGTAGGTTTGTGCGTATGTATAATACGGTGTCTGTTATCAATTAATTATAAACTGTACGTAACGTTATCAATTGTATCATCAATTGGCAAATGAAAAAAAAACGGTTGATGGAGATCAAATGATATTTTAAAATATTACTTAATTGAAATAAGGTTCATAAAAGTGTAATCTATTAATATCAGAATCATGAAATTCGTCGTAAAAAAAAAATCGAGTCAACCAAAAAAAGCTACCGATCGAACGAGGTAACGCGAGCGGAAAAAAACCAATTCAGCAAAGGTAGCAGTATTCAAGTATCAGTAACTATAGGAAAAAAAAAAAAAAAAAAAAAAAAAAGCATTCCGGAGCAAAGACAATGTCCGCCTTGTTATCGCGGCTCGCGTGCCTCACACGGGAGGATCGCATCGCAGGGGACGATCGCCGAGCACTTATCGCACGCGCGTAGTCTGGGGATAAGAAGCGCGTCGTTCCTCAAAGTCAGGGACGCCGTAAATGACACACAATACGTATACAACGCTTAAGTATATTATAGGTATATACAAGGGGACCGAGTCGTGGGTTCGCAAGGCATCGTGCACGACTGTTGCGGGAGTAGCTGATGATTATGTACAATCCGATACAATCGTCGTTTCCCCTTTGTTGCGTGGGACGACAAGTTCACGGCTGCTGAGGCTTCAGCTGTTACATTTATTTACGTAACGATGATACACGTAGACGCGTTGAGATCCCCGAATTTGCGATCATCGAGAAAGTTTTTCCTCTTTTCGTTTAAAATGAGCATACGTGTATACCAAAACTTTGGATTGCAATTTGCTCGACTATTCGAAAAGTGCTGAAACATGATAATTGAAACGTCTTTGCTTGCAATTAAAAAAAAAAAAAAAAAAAGTGAAAAATATCGTGACTAGCGGAATTATGTTGAGTATGAATATAATACAAGAGACGCAAAAGTTTTTGATCCATCGATCTATTGACCAACGAGCGACAAGTTAACAAACAATTCAAATACAATACCAGGAAAATATAAAGTAGGCATCACTTTATATATATACATTACACGACACTTTAGTCACAGGTTGCTAATCGCGGCATTAAATTCCAGATAACAGATGCGCAATGATAATCTCTTTGAAATCAAAGGTGCGTTGGGATTTCCCTTGAAGCAAAGCACCCGCGTGACGAGCTAATTCTCTGTTAAGTATATGAAGCATCATAAAAAAAAAAAAAAAAAAAAAATTACCAATATTCATTTTGCATTGGGGCTAAGGAAGGGAAGTGGCCGATAAATTGCACAGAGGTTAAAAGCTTCCGATCTAGATTTGCACGGGTGTACGTGCAGTGCCACCCGTTATGATATGTTATATTGAGTAGGTATAGGTATACAGTGTCCATGTCTAGGCTCCGCGTGTGACACTTTGAAACGATGGTGCGTAGGTATAACGTACGTACGTGCACCTCGTGCACGTTTGTAAAAATAAACCCATCAGCCATTATCCAATTGAGGGACCATTGGGGCCTATTTTTAGCCGCAATGACGAAACTTTTCCTCCATCTCCGTCGCCTCTAGAGTGTCAATGTACCTTCGCGCCCGGAGGAGGAGGATGCTCGTGCACGATGCGCCGAATGTGGTACGCTTATTGCTACGCGGTACCGAGATTTACACGAGTAACACAAATTGAACCGATGCCCATCCAAAAACTCATCCCTCCAACTAAATAGAATAATCATGCACTACTTATTCAATGGATCCCAATGTAAGCACTGCCCGCCCCATTATTATTACCATCGTCTCGGTCGATCCCTCAAATAAATAATAATAACACCTGCGTCGTCGTTTTTTACGGGCTATTTTTAGATTAGATTCAACAACTACGAATGAAACTGTGGCTATCATTTCGCTAAACAAATTAATTCATCGATTTGCTTTGACATGATGCGTAGACGTGTAAAACTAATAACTAATGTTACGATCCGTTGCACGAGCACGGGCTTATCGACTTGTTATTTTTATAACTTTGCGGAATTTTACGCTAACTCGGGTAAGAGATTTATCGATTTTTAGTTTTTGATTCAACGTACGTTGACGATTCCTTAAGTCATCTCTATTTATTATTATAGGATTTGAACAGCGGAACGGTACCTACTTAAAAACGTGTTTGTGAGATATGCCAAAAATATGTTTTTCTTTTCAACCAGCAGAATGCAAAGAGAAAAATGGTGAATGTACCTATGATAATCAAGACGGTAATAATGGTAAAAAAAAAAAAAAAAAGTAAAATGAAACAAGTTGTAAAGTAATTTCAGAAGAAGATCATAAATCGTTGCAGCTGTTTAATTTGTTGAGCGATAACAAAAAAAAAAAAAAAAAATCATCGAGTGACACTGTACTACAAGTTGCTTAATCTGGAAAACGCTAGAAATAAGTGCATCATCCAAGCTATCATATGTGCGCACAAACATCTTAACAGCGGCAATCTGGAGTCGAGCAATGACATGATGTGCAAAATCCCAGAGAGGCTGTGTATTATGTGTATGTATAATTTTCGGAGTAGCGTTCGGTAAACAGGAAAATTTATTGCCTCCTAGCATGTCAGTTGACGTTGAACTCGAAACCCCTATGATAATTCCTTCGGTCCATTCGGAGGCTCGTCACTGTCCAGAGTGTAACAATTGAGGGGAGAGTCTCGAGCTCCTGGCGCGTCGCCCGCGGTCCGAGAGACGCAAAAAGGAGCATCATCATCCTCCTCCTCCTCCTCCTCCTGCCACAGTTGCCCCTTTTTTTTCGAGCTACATGAGCCAGACGGAGTCCTCCATCCCTACTACCACCACCACCACCACCAGCAGCATATCACCTCCTCGGTGGCAGCGCTAGCTTTTGCACGACAGATTGCGCGGGTAGGCGGTGCCTTCGTGCACACGCGGCCCGTCTCTTACGTATAAAAGACAAGAGCCGGCCGCGCGCGATCTGATTAACCGCACAGCCAGCCAGCCTTTGAAGCTGCAGCCAACCAACTCGTACACCCATACGCGTCGTTTCGCAGACTTGTCTCGCGCTGTGTGATATTGATAATTGTATCATAGAGGAGCGCGCGATAACGAGGCGGTTGTTCGAAAAAGAAGTTCGCACCCGCGATTGGACTCCCCTTGGCCCGTCGGGAGGGCGCCTCTCGGTCGGTGAGCAAGTTGCGCTCGTTTTCACCCGAGGCGCCGGCAGTTGGCGCTCGAGCCTCGAAACAGCACAACCGGCCGCGCCACCCGGACAACAGAGCCGATAAAGACGCTCACCGCGAGCAACAGCTGACCGAGGAGTATTCGGCTAGCCACACACGCTCAATTGTCACAACAGAAGCACGTGCGCCGCTGATCGGCACGACCGGTCTAACTTTGGATTGTTTCCTCACTGGAGCCGCGAAGATGCCGTCGTCGTCGTCGTCGTCGTCCGGGCCGAGCAGGAGGCAGATGATGCAGCCATGGCCTCTCTGCTTGATCCCCTTCGGCAACTCAGCCAAGGTGAGTCAACCCCCCGCAACACACGTTCACCCGATGCTTCCGAGGCCTTTTTTTTCTTCCGCGCTCTACTCCTCTCATTGTCATTATTGTCGAATCCGCACCGTGACATTTTTCTAAGGTTTAATAATTCGGTTGATGGCGGGACGGATCGGTGGTGCCCGATTATATCATATACACAAGTAGATATTGGAAATCGGTGGTTCAAAAATGCCAAGTGCAAATATTCCGTTGCATGCGCGTGCGGCCAAACTATGCTGTTGATGCTGGCACGAAGAGAAGCGAAGCACACGTTCTAGAATATTCCGCGAGGAAATATTACGTGGTGGCTATTCACCGGTGTGTCACTGGAACTCGTGTCCCTAGTCCTGATACAAAACCAATAGGTTTCGGCGTTTTTAAATTCGGGGTGAAAAAAAGACGCAGCGGTATTCCAAAGTCACGCGATGCCCAAGGTGATTGGAGTACGGGAAAATGTTGATTTTTTGCTCCATCAACCTTATCTCAATGGCTCAGTTCACGAAAAAACGGCACTGTACTTTTATCTTTCGTCGTGAAAAATGTCAACACATATGCGTACAGCATCGTGGACACCACATGTTTCGAGCGCTTGACTCTTTTTTTTTTTTCACGCGCGTTCACCAAAAAACAATTCAACAGTTCGGCGGGCGGAAATTTCCACGCACGAGTCGCCGACTTTCACGTTACAGTCCTGTGATGCATCGACTTCTTTTGCTCAACTGTACAGCTTTACCGATTTTTTTTATAACTAAAACGGTCCTATCCTTTCGGCGCAGAAACTTGACACTGTGACGTCACAATTGTTCCATGCAATCGCAAAGTTGTCTAGGTCTAGGCATACAACAATAACTCCATCTTCACACTAATCTTAAATAGGGAGAATTGATACGCTGATTTTTACAGAAGATTTCGAATCACTTAGTTATTTATACAACCACGTAGCTTATAGAATTCATCGGCTTTAAAAGTTAACTCAAATTACTAAACAAAATGATTATTAAAAACTTTTTAAATAAAATAATTTATACATGGATTAGGAATATTAAAAATGTATATGTTGATAGAATAAACGAGTAATTTAATGATGAATAAATTTTATGGAAAATCGGATAAATGTTCGTGTGGGTTCTAAAGTCTGCTCCAATGAAGCGAATAGCGTGCATTGCAACAACTACATGGGAGCTCAAATAAGATTCGAATCTCTTGGTCATTTTTTTTTTCCTTTTGTTATACAATTTCATTGTACTGTCATATTTTTCTTCAACTGTAGTCTATTCGGTTGTATGTTATACATATTTTACCACTCAGCCGACCAAACAAAAAAAACTTTTAGTATATTTTTTCCGTAAAAACATTTAACAGTGTTTTTTTTTCAATTTGCCTGTGTATATTTCATCGTTCTTAAAAATTCATTACTAATTCAAAAAAAACTGCTGCCAACAGTTTTTTATATGTAGATTCCCAATACTTTGATTAACAGCTACAAATATTAACGGTAAAAATTTACAATAATTTATGACCTAATTAATATACATCATTAAAAAATTTTGTTCCAATTATCAGACATCTCAACTGTATATTGTAATTTATCAAATAGATCGATTTTTTTTTTTAACAGAAGAGTACAAAGTTTATGTTTTCAAAATTTAATCATTACTAAAGAAGATGATAAGTTTAACTCTTTCATAAAAATAAAAAATTAGTTTATAAGCTATTTTGTTAATTAAAAATTTTTTTTTAATTTTTATTCCGTTTAAGTTCTAGATCAAACACTCAAATTCGAAAAAAAAGTTTCTAATAGTTATGAAAAATTAAAGATAAGTTCTCAAAAAATACATAATTGACTTTTATTTATTCGAAAATTAATGAATAAAAAAAAAATTCCGTAATATTTATTGATTCAATTGCGTTCTCTTGTACACAAAGTAGAAGATTAAAGTCCAGAAAATCATTAAAACAGACTGTTAGATTCCTATACATGTAGTTCGATCATAGACCACAAATACCCACATTTAGACGGAAGGAAATATTTTATAATAGTACAAATCGTTGAGAAAAAAATGTGTGACCATACGACTTAGCGAGAAGACAAAAAGTACAAACATTGTGTGCCATTGCGTGGAAAATAGTCTGAGAAATGGTGGAATTAATAATTAAACTTTGCTGAAAACTAATCACGCCCACCTGATGGATATCCACACCTAATGGTGGCCTAAGCCCAAACTAACTTCACCCATGCGGCCATACAGTGTCTATACTAACGCGTAGCTAGGCTGTAGTCTTCGGAGCCACGCACCATTGTTTTACTTTATTTTATTTTATTTTTCTTTTCCAATGAGCATGTGCTAGACGCGTTATCTCTGAGCGACGAACAAACGAGTACAAAAAAATGCGCGAGTACAGGTGCCAACTAGAGGAGGTTTGTCCTCCACGTATCACTCGTACAGGCGGCCAAAGCCGCCCGGAGGAGCAGAGAGCCGCTCGCTTCTGGAAAGTTCCACGCATCCGCTGCCCCTCTACCCGATTCCTGGCTCACGTGGCTGCGGTAGACCAGGCACCCTGTGTTGCTCGGTGCCTACACGCGTTTCACGTCTTTTCTCCTTTCCTTCCTCGTTTGCTTTCCTTTGGTTTTTTACAGATTCACCGTCTATCGTCTTCGTTACTCTTTGCTGCACGCGAGAACAATTTTTTTGGCGCAGCCCGCAAAAAGGAAAAAATTAAACGAAATATCGCTTCGGACAGAGTTGAAATTTCAGCTGTATATAAAATCTCATTTGTTAAGTTTTGCAACCGTGTCTCATTAGGAATTTTGATTTAAAAAACTAAAACAATACGAAGTTACTATGTTCTTATCAACAAAGATTGACTGTTAAAACATAAAATTAATTCGGAAATGAAATGTCACTTTTTGTGTTCGAATATTTGAAAATAAAAAATTGTGGAATATTCCCAAAAACTTGGGGCATATTGTTTGCTGCAAAGTAAATATTTTCCCAGAGAACATAAATTATGCTTGCTTTCTTACGAAACACTTTTAAGTTTGAATTTGAATTATATTTCCGGACTATTATAACGAAGGACGAAAAAAATTAATTAAATTATTTATTAATATTGAAAAAATAAATTTTTTTTTGCAGTAACTGAATGAATATTTTAAAGTGCCATTTCATTCCATTTCATTGGAACCGAAACAAGAGCCGGCACCGAACATATATCATGTGAAACAGTTATTTGAAATAACGTACAACCCTTTTTCCCGAATTGCCATGCACATTAGGTCATTTAACGAATAAAAGCATGATTAAAATGTATGAAAACGTGCAAGGAGAGTTGAAATGAAAAAAAAAAAACAAAAAAAAAGAAAAAATCCGAATGAACGGAAAATATGTGTAAATTGATTTGACTGGGATGAGAGCGGAACATGAATAGAACTAACCGGCAAAACAGGTTCACTGTATATGGGTTCAAGAGAATCCGCAACGGCTGTGAAAAAACGCCGGAAAATTTTCATTGATGCATCGAACCGTATAGGTGTTGTGCATCTTGTTTGTAGTGACCAGATGTTGAAAAAATATAAGAGAAAACAGAAATTTGCAAAAAAACTATCGACTTAACCGCACGACTCCAGCATCGTTTTCTGCTTTACTTCATAGTCATTTCATATTAGCTAGTTTTTCAGATTAATCAGATTTGAGGAACCACCAGACATTGAATCATCAAGTTTGTTTTTACCATATTCTATTGTTGTAGTAACTGGACCGTTTCACCACGAAAAAATTTGTTTTTCACCCGTAATTTAAAGAATAAAATTTTTCTTCAAGCTGATTACAATTATTATCTTAAGTGAAAAAAAGAAAAAAAGAAAATTGCAAGAAGCGATCGATATGACCCTGTATAAATTTTTTAGTCGTAATTCTCCGGTCAATATCATAATTATCTCCGGTTAATTTTCTATTCGATCGATACGTCACGCATATACTGACGGATATAAAATAAAAAAAATAAAAGCGATTGTATACCGACAACCAAATGTAATCTTGGCGTGTCGAGTTGTCCGTAAAAATAAAAAAAAGAAATTTTCACAACCCGAGAAACTTGCGATAAAGACATGAAACTCGGTTACAATCTAGTTGGAGAACGTGTTACTGACAAAAAAAAAAAAAAAAAAAAAAAGAAATGGATTGAAGCTTAAAAAATAGGAACAACGCAGTGGGTTGCGATGTATAGTGCAACGAATGCACGGCCGTGACTCTTCCCCTTGAAAATGACGACTCGTGACGACGACTGCGTGTATCCCAAACCCTCGAGAATCGGCCCAAAAACGTTGTCTGACGTTGCAAGACGGAAGAGGGGAAGCCGAGCATTAGCGCATGGCATCTATTTTTGGATACACGCCTCTGTTACTCCTCTTATCTCGTATTCGCGGGCTTATCTATATACTCAACACCTGCACAGTTTCTCTTTTTGTCCGGCTATTCTCTACATAGGATTCGGTCACTTGCTTGGGCATTCGGACTTACGCGGACACCGCACGCACGGATTGAATCCAAGATCTTGGAATATCGATGGAACTCTCGCGAGCACCCGGGCCATTATCGGCATATGCGGTTATTGATCGAGTTGTCGCGACAATGTCAGCATTAGCAGGGGCAGCGGCGGCTGTAGCAACAGATGGTCGGCTCGTGCGCGCTTTTTTTTTTTACCTGTACTACCCATCCTCGGTGAGTGTACTTACGTGCGCCGGCGCCGATAATCGAGTCGAGCGGGACACTTTTGCGCAATCGCGTCTATATTCGTAATCTCAGCTTTCGATACGTCTGCGTGGGATCTACAATGTAAATGGAATGCGGCGGTCTGACGGGTCGTAACAGATGTTTGCAAACAATTTACATTTTTATGACTCTTATATTATGCTGCCAAGCGCCTATAACTCTCATTGTTTTTATACGCTACCACTGGAGGTTTTTTTTTTTTTATGATAGAGGATTTGGTTTTGTGTAAATTTTCCTTGATCAAATGAAATTACTCTCAAACATAATTTCCTTCCACTTTGACGTTGTTTCAAAAGCAGCCAAAATTTGTAAAAATAGGCATTTAGCCATTTGCAATTAGATTTCGGAAACTGAGAAAATATTGACAATCTTACGTGAGAGGCAAATCGTGACTAATACTGTTACAAACTGCTCAATCTGATTTTCATTCTCGACGCAACTTAACTGATTCACGCGAATATTTTTTCAACACGTTTGCATCTGTAGTAAAATTTTCAGATCAACTTCAGAGGCAGCCAGATTCGTGAAATTTCAGATAGATAATGCTTAGAATGATCAACGCTCGTTTCTATCGGTGTGATTTTCCTAAGATATCATTGGATCACGCGTTACGCGGATAAATTTTTTGACGCCACGAGCTTCAATTGCTATAGTTTTTAAACTAAACTCACAATCAGTGGCACTTTTTATGCGCGTCCATCGTTGTTTACGAATTATAAATATACATGAATATTAATTAGAAGAAGCGATAAGACGAACGGTTTCAAAAAATTGTGCTTTTGTAAAAATTTAAATACGCAGTAGAGTTATATTTATTTTTGGTAAACTGCTCTAGTTCGCTTTGTTTATAGCAGAAAGGTTGTTATTATTATACTCTTTGTATCTACATCACGTACATATTTATATGCTATGATGAAAATCATAGTCACAAGAGGAGAAAAACATGAATTTATTCTCCTGCATCCTCTAACCAAACGTTCATTGTTGTTATGGTTTTTACCATCTGTTAATGAATGCAGCTGTAATAAGACTACATCAAAGATGCGTTTCCCATTGTGGTACTTTATTCATATTTTAGCGTATTTAATGTATCGTAAAATACTTACAAATAGATTGTCATTGTTGTCTTTGAGGTTCGATCTTTACTTGACGAGACGACTTGTTCGAACAGGGATATTAAAACAAAGTCAATCGGTACTATTACACTCTAGCCATCAAGCAATTAAGATTTTGTCCATCGTGTTTTTTGACCACCTTTGTTCGGATACATAATTATCCTTTGGATATAGTTTATTAGTTTTGAAGGACTGTAAATTACTATCCAAATTATCAAATGTATACTATATTATCTCCTTATCCATTACTTAAATTGCTTGAAAATCGGAAGAACTTGTGAAAGTTTATTGTAGTTAAAATTAAAGACTTCGCAATCATGTATATACAGGCATGCTTAAACTTTTTTCTTTATTATTCATAAACTTTTGCAGCATACGAGGGAACGGAAAATAACAAATGTTTTAACATGAATGAAGGCATCAAAGTTCAGATGTAATTGAGTATTTGGAGATGTGACGCGTATCGGGCAACAGTTGACGATACCAAGCATATACTGATATTTTGATACGCTGCACGAATAAAAATAAATAAATATACAAATGATGTGAGAAGTATCACGACAAGATAAAAAGTTCAATGAGCCTTTACATCGTAAACGTGAAGTGTAGACAGAGAAAAATTACTAAACGCCAAGGCAGATAGCGATCGGTTACTATAAAACTCGTAATTGCAAAGAATGCGGTAAATGCCTGGTTAGGATCGAACGAATCAGAGGAAAAAGAAAGAGAAAAGAGAGGCGAAGAGATCGGCACAGGTTGTTTTTCAAACGAAGAGTTTAAATTTAGAACTTGCATACTCATTAAGTATCTGTGAACGATAATTTTTACTCTCGACTAGTTTCCTACTCTCACTTTGTTTCCTTGAACGTGTGTATACCACCTAATTGGCGTGTACGAGTGGTATGCATTATTTATGCATGTTAGTCAATGAGTAATAAACGGTAATGAAATTGACAGATTAATGTAGCTGTGGGTGTGCAACTTTTCTAATCAATACGTTTAATATTAAACATCATTTGTGGCACTAAAAATTATTTACATTTCAATTTTGGACTTTTACGACGGAAACTGATCGAAATCCATTGTAACTAAGAACTATTTTACATGACTGGCTGAAGGATTAAATCAAATTCATATGGAGTACGATTTTTCACTTTGATGACAAAGATTCAAGGCAATGATTTTTTTTAATTTTTATAATGCTGAGAAAAAATAACAAAGCTACGTTGTAGTTGATGATCATACTTTATGTATACACCGGTTCAATCTGAAGGCGCCTACCACACAACCAATTTCTTGCGTGGCTTACAAGCGTGTTGCGATACAGCAAGGGGCGATAAAATGCGTCTCATGTGCACTCCAACTACGTTTGTAGTATCTAATGTTTCGAAAATTCGAGTAAACAATTGGTGAATTGATACAATTTTCATACCCGCGGGAACAATGAATTATAATTACGTAATGTTTGTTTTAGAAGCGTTATTGAACTTAAGTCTCATTAGTTAAATTTTTTACAGCTGTTGGAATTTTATTTTTTTTTCTTTAAAATTTTAGTGAAAAAAAATCTTTAGATAAATTGTTTACGTATTGGGAAAATAAACTGATTGAAAAAGACCTAATTGTTTGATGACCATATTTTCTCAAGCGAATGCATCACGAGGCCACGTGATAAATTCTCATCAAGCAGATGATACTGCGCATAATTTTTATGTTGTGTCTATAATCGCGATCATTATGTAATGTTGATGAGATGTGTGGACTCAGACTAAACCATTTATTGATATCACTAAATGAGGATCATCTCTAATTTATTAAACTAAATATAGTTTTACTTACATAATTAGACAAGGAATTTGAAACATGTAGCGGTATCCTATTTTTATGTACTCACCTGCAACATAGCAAAATCAAAAACTTTTGTAAAATAAAGTAAATAAGAAAGTTGTGTCAATGATAATTAATATTTTAAAATAAGTCTAACATTTCGGAAAAGTTTTATGTTAAATTTATGCCTACTTGAAAAAAAAAAAAAAAAAATCGGAAAGTAAAAAATCACTTTGCGCAGCGGAGAGGAGGATATTATTTGTCAGAAATCTGGAGAAAAACATAAATACTTCATATTGAAATCACTCGTACTCACTCACGTACAAGTGCACAAGTATACGCTGACGTAAAGAAAAGTTATCAGAGTTCGGGGATAAAAGTTCATCTAAATACAAAAGATTATGAGCGGACCAGTCCGAGTTCTCGTCTTCTTTCCCCCTATAGGCTTCGAGATCTCCGATCGCCCCAATATGCTACAAGACAGATAAATCTCGCTCTTATAAATAGTCCGACTCCGGTAATTTCTCCCTTTAAAAGTACGGGTGACTTGGTGTGATGTACGCGTTCGAAATTGCCTTCAAACCAATGTTTATGTAAAGTGTCTCGAGTAAGAGTGGTTCATTCACGGGTACGTTCATTTATTTGATTCTTTCATACGATTTATTTTTTTTTTTCTGCTTTATGTTGAAACGGACGAAAATAATCGTTATAGTTTTAATATTGCAAAATGACTTGTGTAATTGCACGTTTAACCGATAAGTACAAAATATTCCATAAAGATTTTTTTTCAAACTTTATTTCTCCTGGAAGGACACCCAGGATGACAGAAAGAGTCCTTGAGATATACTGTACAACAATCTCGGCTATTCTGATTGTCTTGGTGGAGATGTCGTAATATACATTAAAAATACTCTATCTAACAACAAAGAACTTGTTGTGCCATCATAAGATATATTATTATTGATCAGGATCTTCCAACGTGATTTATGTTTCTTCATCACTCATTATTGCTTTCTATTATTATTATTATTATCATCACCGTTGGTAATATCAAATTAACTTCAATTATATAAATTCTTGTAACAATAAACAATAAATGTTTTTCAATGAGCGCATTCCCGTGTTGGTCGCGATTGTCGTTGTATAATCGAAAAACAGTACGTAAAATAGAGTAAATGTCAAACATGTAACTACAAATATATGCATATATATGTAAAACATATAAAATATTATGTTATGAGAAATTTAATTTCATAACTGTGATAACACGACAGTGCCGTACTTCCTTTATGAAAACTTATGAAACAGTCTTATCGTATTAATGTAGATTCATCCCGAAACCCTTCGCGAAGAGGAGATAGTAGTCACGAGTATAGTTGTGGGTTAAAAGGGGAAAAGCATGAAATATTGATAGTAGGGGAAACGAGATAAAAATGTGGTCTTGAAGAAATCGGGTCACCAACTCATAAGCGCGCGTTACAATTTTTAATCGATACAAAGTACGTAAACATGCATCATTAACATTATTAATCAACTGTCATTGGGAAATCGAATCAAAGGTCGATGAGCTTTTTCATTCTCATTTAATCCCATACATTTAGCCCCTGGATAACCAACTGGTTATCGTGATTAAAATTCGTAGATGACTAGAATATGATGTAATTTTGTCCCTGATCTCGTACGATTAAATCCGACGAGCGTATTGCACCATCACCCTCTGCCATGTACCGAGTGTAGCTCAAGATCCAAAAAATGTTGAGTAATTTGGAAGCGGAGTGTGAACAAACCGCAGGATCAGATGAAAATGATGATGATAATTTTCAGGAGCGAGGCATCCTGCCGAAGCATTACACGAGGGTGCCATCGATCGCACGTTCCTCGACGGCGAGCTCGAGCCTGGCCCAGGAGTGCGCCTCGAATACGACCCTACTGACGAACACCAGCCCATTCAACAGCCAGGTCGCCCTGGTCGCGGAGAGGTGGCCGTCGGGCAGCGGGTCACGGTCCAGCGACGAGGAGCTCGAGGCCAGGGCAGCGCAGCTCGTGGAGGCCAGATCGGGCCAGCAGCACTACTATGCGGAAAACTTGCGTAACAATCACCACAGGACGTTGAACGGCTCCCAGATCTACGACCCCCTGCGCAAGGACCACGGGCTCGACTACAAACAGCTGGACCCTCTGCTGAGGAAGGACGAGCCCGCGTCTGACACCAGAGTTCTCATGGATTCGCAAGACTTTAAAAAGCCCGAGGCGGTCGTCAGGATGTCCGTCTTCCAGTTTGAAAAAGCGAATGCAAGGCCCGCGTACTATTGGACCCAGGTACACTTTTTTTTTTTTTCCATATGCTTTAAAACCTCTAACAGAATATAATATATATAACCGAGCGTCGTGAGAAAGTTTCAAACTTACATTCCATTGGGTCATGGCAATGACACTTCCTTGTTTCTAAAGCGACAATGAAACTTACTGCGTGGAATAATACAAAAGACTCATTTTGTGCATGCAATACTTTTATTGCGTTCAAGGATTGATGTCGGACGACCGCGGTTTTTTATGGAACACAGTCACGATCCCGCAAAAAAGCGTTGATAAAATTTACAAAAACGCGTATCTTTGAAATAAAGTGAAAAGAACAACAATTATAGTTGGGTAGTATATGACAGGAAGTAGGTCGGAAATATATTTACATTTTTTTTAATGCTAATGCGTTGACTGACCGAATGTACATATTTGAAAAAATGTTGAGCTGTGAGGCGCGAGGAAAATAGTTTTATAAGCATATGTTTACCAGATGATTAATACTGACGATTCGCCAGACGTATGCAGTATGCAGGCGCGATTGTACATTTGTTCTTACTGATAAAATAAATTAAAAGTTAAATAAAAATATTGGCGATAAGGATCGTTTGAAATTATAATACAAACTTAAAGTCCTAATCTCAATTGTCTAGATATCTTTCTGCAAAAGAGGGCATCTATTGAAATATCAAGTCTCATAGTTAATAATTTTGTACTAAACTCAATAATGAGCTATTTTTCTTTTACTCATTCATTTAATTATTTTTTCAAATATCATCGTCTTAAGGACACCAATAAAAATTGTGTGTAAAAATTTAATTTGTATTTGTTGAAGTGGTATAATAATACAAGTGCAAAAGTATAGTACTATTAAAATTAAAGCACTCATTTGAATAGAAATATACTTGAATTAAATTATTGAACAAACTGTGCTAAAAAAACACGTATCCAGTGAAAATTACGCAAACTTATTACTTGTGAGCACACGCAGTAGAATGACCGTGGGTATGATCGGCCAACAAGAAATACTCGTTTACACTACACATTTTTCCACAAATTTTGTAATTTTTTTTTTACCACGCTTCAATGAAAAAGAATGAATGGAACATTTTTTTTTATCGCCTTTTATCGGGATCTCATTCAAAGTTTTCATTTGAATTTGCAAATTGGATGGTACAATCATTGTGACTTTTCTGTATAAGACGTTACACAATCAGATTGCGTAACACTAGTCGACAAATTTCAATTCACCAAAATGCATTGAAAAAAGAATGTGAATTTTTTTTTTTTTTTTTTTTTTTAATATGATCGGATAATATGAAGAATACAATAATATCAACGACGTGAGCGCAATTTTATTTGATTTTAACGAAATTTATTTATTGTTTATTTTATGTTTTATTTTATGATTTATTTAATGTTAACGAAATTATTTCGTAAAAGTCGAAGAAACAAAGTTTATTGAATGATAAATAAAAATAAAATTTTGCCTTATAGTACGTATATTGGGAATAATTGGAAGAACAATTGCATTAATTGTCAGATAGCTGACTATGTAATTTTGTCTAGCATTCGGTTATTGCATAAGTTTATTTATTGAAAAACTATTCCAATTGAAAAGCGCCCATTATCTTTGCACCGGTGGTGATGGGATGAAACGTGCACGTTTTAATAATCTACTTTTTTAGTGAATGCCAGAATTTTGTCGCATAAATTAATGTGAGCTGAATAGAGAAAGACGCGTGACTTTTGTGTATGACGCGCCATCAAGTCAGACACCGATGAAAAATACGATCATTATCGACCGTAAAGCTCAAATACGCATGTTTTATTTTGTTACATCCGTTTCACCGACAAAACATATATATTTTTTTTTTTTCTAGATGTATTACTAGGCACAAAAACAAAAACATTAGATTTAAACTCAATTTATGTTACAATTTAATTTTGAGGCAAATTAAAAAATAGTTTCTCCGAAAATCAAGGATTTGATATTGCCTACCTTTAAAGTTAGATCAACGTCACCAGATTTTTTTTTTTTTTTTTTTTTTTTTAATTCAAACAATATCAAACATGGCATAACTTCAAGTTCATACAATATGCACGAATGGATATACTGAAAGTATGTAGCGGTGGATTAGACCGAAGGAGGAGATGATGCTTCGCGACATAGTAAGAGGAAGTGCAATTATTATTTGACCAGAGCAGAGAGTACAAGAATCGGACGAAACAAATAGTGAAAATCTGTCCTTGTTCTCGATTCAGCCTTCCGCTGGACTGTAATGTCACTTACACGAGGCAATGGCTACAATATTTTAGCTCGGCAATATATAGGTACATATAGCACAGACATCTGTTTCAGAGAAGAAAAAAAAAAAAAAAGTCAAATCGTCGCCACTAAGCCTAAAACAATTGTCTTGTTGCACCGCTGCGCTGAGTAGAAACTTATGCTCTCATCCTATTTAATAACAATAGTAACAATGTATGCCGATATTGCGTATGAGTTAGGGAAAAAAAAGAGGCGAAGCGACGTGACGCTTTTGTCGTCATCATCCACCCGAGAGATCGATAAATGTTGGAGAACCGGCAATAAATGAACGTGGCATGGGTATATATATACACATATATGTAACACGTGAGATAATTTACGCGTATAGGTACAACATATATTATTATTTTCAATAAGCGTGGCGATGGCGCAGAGGTCGGAGAAACATAAAAAATAAAAACATGATGCGCACGGACGTCACTGATTTTACATTTAAAAATCTTAATTTTTTACAAATGCATCAAGGTGATAATATATGTTTACGCTTTCGTTGTAATGATTGTTAATTTTTCTTGCAACAACGCAGTAATGTTAATTTTCGATGGCAATTCGTTTGACTATATCATACACGTTGAAACACTAAAAATTGGAAATAGCTCGATCGATGAATAAAGCGACACAAATGATAAAAGCATGCATCACATCGATCCGATAAGAGCAATCAAGTATATAGTTACTCGTGAAATCCAGAAGCAGGTGCGAATATACACTGAGTTATCCAACGAAAATTTGGTTCGTCCAAGTATCCGTACCTAAAAATTATCGGCAGTTTGCGTAAAAGTCGCGAACGCAAAGAGGATTGGGTGAGTGTCACGTATAGGTGTGTACTTGCCCAGGAAACGTGGAAGAGCAAAAACAAAAAAGAGGAGATCAGCTGGGAGGGCGGCTTACAGTACATCAATGTGTGCGAATTGTACTGCGAATGGTACTGTTGGGGGACAATGCGCGCGGGTGTACCGCGGGAGAAGGAGAGGAATAATAAAGTGACGCGAGGATCGCGATCGAAGGAAGAGGTGGTGGTGGAGGAGGGAAATGGAGAGAAGGGGTCCGCCACGGCTCGTCGGAAGCTTCCTCCTATATAAGAGAGAAGCCGAGAGGATTTACGAGAAGAGTACGAGCGTCCACCAAGTGGAAGTGGCATGTACCACCGCATACGTATAAAAAAAAAAAAAAAAGAGTAGTGCAAAAAGACGGACGGGCCGATAGTAAGAGTACTCCCCCGTATTTTTACGTACGCGTAAGAGCAATAGTACCATAGAGAACGCGCGTACCAAAATTTTCCATCCATTGATTATTGCGCGGACATCGATCCGGCCGGCCCACCCTCGCCCACCAGGGGAGGATAACGAGAAAGCACTAGCCTGTTTGCTTGTTGTGCAGGCAATACAGTTGCGACAGAGCTTCCGTTGTCGCGTGCGAGAGTGGTACAGTCGTGGAGGCGGAGATATAGTTTTCTTCTTCGTCATCTCCCAAGAGGGTGGGACAATAACCAGCCGGCAAGATGAAGATTCTCATGCGAGCGGACACCCACGTGAACATCGAGCTTCCGGGAAACGCGCCCGTGGCCAAGTGCACCTTCTCCCAGGTACATCACCGCTATTGGCCGTGAAAACTTTTTGCCTTTTTCTTTTGTATACTTACTCGCTTACTTGTCCATCTCCGGCTGTGCGAGTCAAGGCTCGCTCGTCGGGAGGAACGTGATACCCCTCGGAAATGCGATTCTCCGAGGTGCGCGCGCGATTTTTCGCCTTCGACAGGCGGCGCACGTACGACACGAGGCAAACTTGTGGCCTCTGCCGACGACAAACGATAGATTTTGGTCATTGATACGCGGCGATGCGCACCTAGGAGTAGGTATAACGCGTTGTACCCGTGTACCACCACTGCATATATATATATATATATATATATATATATATATATATATATATATATATATAGGTATACCACATAATGGAGAGAGAGAAAAAAAAATTGCGCTCACGACGGTCGCGATCTTCCGCTCATAAATTACGGATAAACCGCAGTTATTCGCGCGATGATTCGCGCATAACGCCGCGATCACACGTTACGATTACATTATGTGTACCTATTTTGCGCCAGTCACACGCAGCGTGCACGTAACGCGTGTGTATATGTGTACACACACACACACACACGATGCAACAATTGATCATCTAAACGTTTTCCGGTCTCTATTTTACTTTATTTTTTTTCGTGTGCTACAGGTGCTGGCCGCTTTCTCGGTCTCGCTCGGCTCGATGGTCGTGGGCTTTACATCCTCGTACACCTCGCCGGCCCTTGAGTCCATGAAGGACAGCAACGTCACGTCCTTCGAGGTCTCGGGAGCTACCGTAAGTATACCGACACTACATAATTTTTCTACTTTTTCATAAATATATATACTATCGTCTGTTGAACACTTTGTCAAAATGGACCATTTCTCGCTCTCTTCCGGCAGTCAACCTCTAAGATGATGTGCTTCTTAGATAGCCGCCGAAACAGATCGAAATTAAGATAAGCGGTGTCGCCCGTTGCTGCTGCTTTGCTTCAAAAATTACACTCGCAGGAGGGTGAGGATAGTAAATTAATATTAATCTCTCGAAATTGCGGCAACTGGTCAAAAATACGTCGAGATGGTGCTCCGAGGAGCTTTAATCTTCGAAAGGGCTAAAACCGTGCATAAACTTAAAGTTGTTATGTTTCATCGGGATGGATTAAATAATGGTGGGGTCGGGACGTCGCGCGAAAAATTACGTGCTATTTATAGGTTTGTGTTTTTTTTTTCTGGTCCCCGGTCACATAAACACCAGGATCATTTTTGTTTTATCGGCCACTTCCTCATTAACCACCCAACACGCGTCAACGCGACAAAAATACAGATTGATAGCTCCCGGCAATCAGGATCATGGACGCGGTTACCGATATAATAACTTGACCCGAGAGTTTTCTCGGTTCTTCGCTGCAAAAGTCTCTTAGACAAGTGCACCGGTGCCGTCTATGTTTTCGCGTATTAAGCTTACGTAATTGTTGTGTCGTGGATATAAAATATTGCATCTTTGAAAGGAAATTGTCAACATGCGTCGAGTGGAAAAAAAAAGTTTAGATAATACCGCATGAATCTAAGCGATCGGTAACTCGAGGGGGGAGCGAGAGGAGCTGCAAGTGGACGGATTATTATCCTCAACGAGATCGCATAGCGAGCCAATAAAATCTATTGATTTGCAGCAATGATGCAAAATATGTATTTGCGCTCGTCCGAACTCGCGTCGGAAAACTAAAATTTTCGCTTCGACACTCCACGCGGACGCGAACCGTACATTGGAAAAAATAAAAACAGTGGGCGATCGTTTAATCACGTTGTTGTTGTTTTTTCGTTTTCCGCAGATGGCAAAATAGAAAAATCAAGCAACGCGTAGCTTTGGAGAATTTTATTTTTTCTTCGCGTCCAAGCATGAACAATTACACACGACGTACACGGCCAGGTCAATCGGACAGTTAACGGAGCCTGACCTCAAATTTGCGACACTCTAGCCACCGGTCAGGGGCTCGTGCAGCGAGGCGTCCTGGCAATCCCTTGGGCGTGTGCATGTGTACACCCTATGACGATTGAATGGACAAGGGACATTTTCACCCTAAATACGCCCCTTTACGCTAACACGAGCACTCGCTCATTACTATTTTTTCATCGCACCATTTCGAAGGTCTCAACAAATAACATAATCGATCTCAATCGACTTGGCGGTTTAAACTTGCAACAACAATAAACTCGGATGCATTTTCATCGGAGCGGCATGAATGAAGATTGAAAAATCAATAAGTTGTTTATTCTTTTGATCGCGAGCCTATAAGAATGAATCATCACTTTTATTGTGCAGCGGTTAAGCCGAGCACTCGCCGAAGGCGGGAATTTTTTGTAATTATTATTATTCGGGAATTACGGAGGAAATAAACTTGTCAGTGTTAAAATGTCGTTTGTATTTAATTATAACAGTGGTTATGGCAGAGCTAAGAGCAAAAAATATTGATAACATTAATTGCGAAGAAATTAGAGTATAGAGCTAAATACGTGTGCTATATCAAATAAACGAAATTTTTATGTCGCGGTCAAGCCGAGCACTTGGAATTTTTGATAATCATCGTTCGGGAATATCGGAAGAAAAAAAACTTTTGATTGGTTTTAAAATAGTACATTGGACGTTAACGATTGGCGGCGATGAGTATACTCATATATAGGATCGCCTTGTTTGCTCGATATCCGTTGAAAAATTCATAATCGGTATCTTGTGAAAACAAGTATAAAGAAGCAACAGCGTGTCCGGAAATCAGATTTACACGCGTACTTAATAGATAAAATAATATGGTATACCGTGAGAGAGGACGGATACAACAACAACAACAACAACAACAACAAGCTATATAAACATTTATTGTATAATCTTTGATTTTACACATCGAGTCAACACACAAACAAAGTTAAAGGCCATAATGATTGTTGAATAAAACAATAAAAAATCCCTTATCAAAAGGAAACACACCGCGAAGCGTGTATACTTAATATTATACACATGATGGGTAGCTGAGCTTTGAATGAATCAGCATTTCAGCTCCTTGATATATCCATAAGTAAGTATTTCTTCCGCGAGACAGAAGATATGTGTATATTTGGGTTTTTCGGTGAATTTGAGGTGCGCGAGCGCACGCGAGTTCAATGAAACACTCGTTGATGACGGGCACGTGACCGGGATGTTAAGGACATAATATCCTTATACGCATTACATACTCAAGAGATCGGGAAAGCCTTCAACACCTGCGGGTGGGTGGGTGGGTGGGGAGAGGGTCAACTTATACTTCCGCGCGTCATCATCGAAACGCGCACAGATTATAATATATTACATTGACGCTTATGATTACCGCCACGCGAGAAGGACGGCTACTACGTACACATAAATATACAATTACACTACAGTAGGAAGGAAGCACTGCCAAGCTCTTCCGTTTTTTCAATGAGTACAATTATATTACAATACATGTGTTGCATGCTTTGCTTGTTAGGTATAATACATCTAAAATGTACATCAGGTGTACGTGGTACAGGTGGTTTTTTTTTTTTTTTGAGCAAAGAAGCAGCAGGGAAACCATTTAAATGAGATTTTGAATTTATTTATAGATATCTATATTAAGTATGTATTTTCAGGGATCGTGGATCGGCTCGATCATGCCGCTCAGCGCGCTCTTTGGCGGGATCGCTGGCGGGCCGCTGATCGAATACGTCGGAAGACGCAACACCATCCTCTTCACTGCTTTTCCGTTCATACTGGGTAAGGTTCATCCTCTTTGATCGATAAATAGATGAAAAAAAAAACCAAAAAAACAAAACAATGTTGCTGTATACATGTATTTACACGCGTGTTTCTCCCTTGCAGCCTGGCTGTTGATCGGTATGGCCAACGGCGTGAGCATGATCATGTTCGGCCGGTCGCTGAGCGGCTTTTGCGTGGGAATAGCCTCCCTCTCGCTGCCCGTCTATCTCGGCGAGACCATTCAGCCCGAGGTCCGGGGCTCCCTGGGACTCTTGCCCACCGCTTTCGGTAACATCGGTAAGTCTCTATATTATTATATCGTAACTTGTTTACCCACACAATATGCCCGTTACCGGTTAACCCGAGACTTGACGTTAATTGTAAAAAATTTGTCCGATGGGCAGGGATATTGGTGTGCTTCATAGCGGGCAATTATCTGAATTGGTGGGTGCTGGCCCTGTTCGGGGCGTGCCTACCGGTGCCCTTCCTCGCGCTGATGCTCACGATACCCGAGACGCCGAGGTGGTACATATCGAAGGGCAAGACGAAGCGCGCCCGCAAGTCCCTGCAGTGGCTCAGGGGGGCCCAGGCCGACGTGACCGACGAGCTCACCAGCATCGAGAAGACGCACGTCGAGAGCGAGAGACAAGCCACCCAGGGCACCTTCTCCGAGCTCTTCAAGGGCAACAACTTCAAGCCCCTCCTCATCTCTCTGGGGCTCATGTTCTTCCAGCAGATGTCGGGCATCAACGCCGTCATCTTCTACACCGTCCAGATATTCTCGGTAAGAGGTCACCACGATATTGTCACGCGTACAAAATGATGATAGGTGTATATTATGTATGTAATTTTGTGGATTGTTGCAGGACGCCGGCAGTACGATGGACGCCAACCTGTGCACCATTATAGTGGGCATCGTGAACTTTTGCTCGACCTTCGTAGCGACGGCCCTGATTGATCGGCTGGGGCGCAAGGTGTTGCTGTACACGAGCAGTGTCTCGATGGTGGTGTCGCTCGCCTCCCTGGGCGGCTACTTTTACATGAAGGACTACTTCCACATGAGCGTGTCCGGGTACGTGCCCCTCGCGAGCTTCATCGTCTACGTGATTGGCTTCTCCCTCGGTTTCGGCCCGATACCTTGGCTCATGATGGGCGAGATCCTACCGTCCAAGATCCGCGGCAGCGCCGCCAGTGTGGCCACGAGCTTCAACTGGAGCTGCACCTTCGTCGTCACCAAGATCTTCGAGGACGTGATACATCACATCGGTTGTGGCAGCACCTTCTGCCTGTTTGCCGCCATTTGCCTGGTGGGGCTCGTCTTTGTGGTTTGCTTCGTGCCCGAGACCAGTGGCAGGTCGCTCGAGGAGATCGAGCGCGGACTGACGGGCCCGGTCAGGAGAATGAGCGCGGTCGCCAACATGAAACCCACCCCCATGGCCTGTTAGGCCGGCTGCATTTTTCTTCTTTTCCTCCCTTTTATGACATAAATAAAGGCCAACACCGATGTGCCGCTGGTTGTGTGTTGCAAAGCGCGAAAGTCCACGTGGATCTGCAAATTTATTTTTTACTATTTACCCCTTCGCCATTTCATTCCGCGATTCGATTTCAAGCGATTGAACTCTCGCCCGGCTCTCGAATCTCAAGAGAGAACACACCCACACAATGTTCCTGAAGTTAACTCAAGACAGAGCAATATTTTTCCCCCTTGTCTTACAACTGCGTTGTTCAATATGTTGTTGATCACGGCTGTACAAAGTGTCGTACGGAACAAAGGCGGATGCGTCTCGGGCACTTTGGGGATTTTCAGCCAATGACAAAAGGTACTATTCAAATACGACACTGTTGTTATTGTTTGTACAGAGTCTATAACCATAACGTTAGTACCAGTGCACGCGCGTGCAAACTGCTGGATGAATATATATTATAATATAACGCTTATGTGCAGTTGTTGGATGATGCGAGGCTGCCGTATGTATAACTGTTTACATATTATCGTGTGGTTATTGTGCAACGAATGAAGGCCTGACATTTGTTAACCTATTGTTTTACGACAAGTAGATTTTAGTGTGATAGTAGTTTTTAATTTTCGCGCTTCTCACGATTTAAAAAAAAAAAAAAAGAATTAGGACGCGAAAATATTGTACATATATAGTCTGAGGCTTTTTAGTGAGCAATGTTTTTTTTTTTTTTCTTTTTTTTCCCCGATTTCATTTGAAATGTAAACAGTTGTTTGTAAATAACGACGAAAGATGGAGATTTAAACACGCACGTAGAGATAGTTTTATATTTCATAATGAAATGATGAAATTCGTTGCTATTCCATTATTTTTATCAATGCGCGATAATAAATATGTATATCGTACGTTTAAAAATTTTTCAAAGCCAAGTGTGGCATTTTTATATTATAGAGAGGTAATCATAGTTACGAGAGTAAGGTAATTTATAATTTTTTAAATGAATTAATAGGGATGGAAAAAAATTGAGTTGATGAAAAGCGAGAAATATATAAGTACAGAACGAAAATACACAGCGTGTACTTAATTACAGAGAACAAATCTTAAAGAGCATTTCTCACGGAAAAGTCAACACGCAATTTGAGAAGAGAAGGAATAGTTAACAAATGAAACATGGATCTGAGATATTGGTTCCTCTTTGTCTTACGATTCGAGATTCGCTATCTCGAATTATTGTTAAAACGTGATATCTGATGATTCCAATAATGCATAACTTTATATTTTAACTATCGATATTTTTAGTAATCTTAAGAAGCAATGACTATTTTGTTTTTTAATAAAAGTAATTTTGCGAACCAATATTTATAGTAATGAGATTTTTTTCAAAGCATGTACCTGTTGAAACCTCGATAACAAAGTAACAAAATTCTAAATATTGAAGCATTATAGAAATACTGTTCAAACAATTAAACATAGTTATGTTTTTTAGATATTTATCAAATAGATAGTAATGATAAGTTGATTTTATAAGCAAACATACAATATATATTATGTACATGTAATGTTAATATATGATATAAAAAGAACAAATATTTTATAAAAAATGTTGTTTCCATCTTATTTTCATGTTTTAAACCTAAAATTTCTAGGAAACTATATGTATTTAGAGTTATGTCTGCAAGACCACATTATTGGTCAAATATTGTGTGAAGACAAAATAAACAACAGAATGATGGTTCATCATACATTTGGGAGAGTTTTCTGTTTTTTTCTTAACTTATGGAAACATAAAGATTGAGGAAAAACATAAAATTACAATAGGTTATGGAACTCTCGACTCACCCATAACTTGAACTCGGCAAATTGCACAAGTATCGCACTCCACGTCCCAACTCCACATAGCCACAGCATTCCACTTTTTTAAGGTAAATAATTTATCGGTCTTATTGTTCTCGCCATCGCCACGATCTGCATTCTCTTGTTCACCTGCATCTCCCATGCCTATGGCTTTTTCATCCCCCATGGGCGCACGAATCCCTCGCTACTAACAAAAACTTTGATTTTGAATAATTTGTTCTAAATATTGAGCCTTGGCAAGTGATCCAAACACTTATGATACACTTGAAACAAAAGTAACAACAAAAAAAGGTTCACTCGCTGAATTGGTATTACCACCTCTCATGTACTGTATCGTTGTACGAAAAACTTTTAAACTTGTTATTAATTGTCGTCGAAAAGTGAATACATTACATGAAAATTGACACAAATAACAAAAATTTCTTGTAGCTAAGCCAATACAGATATTAAGTACCTAAGTAAAATAAAAATATCAACCACAATCGATGTTGCATGTGTAAATAAAGAAACGACGCTGGCTGGGTAAAGTTACAATAAGTTCTCGTGCACACACACATATGTGTATATACATGTATTTATAGGTTTGTTCAAGTAATGCAAGCGGCTTGACTCAAGCCCCCCTTGATGCGGTTCGGTTCGGTTCAGTCGGTTTTGGGACCAAAAAACATGAAAAAACACGCGCTCACGAGGGTTTGATTCTAGAACCGACCGCCTCGGACCTTTGGTTCTGGATTTTGGAACCAACTCTCGTGAGCGCATGGTTTTTCATGTTTTTTGGTCCCAAAACCGACTGAACCGAACCGAACCGAACCAAGGGGGGGCTTGAACGAACCTTATGCATGTACATATACATAAAACACATACAGAGTGTCGTCTGCATTTATTATGCGACAGTATAGCTAGAGTATATATATATATAGTGCAGCCATCGGTTTTTTAGATGTATCAATCCCCGTTGACGTAAGAGTTTTTGAAAATACATAAAAACATGACGGAAGAAACGCAGCAAACCACGGATTCACCGGCTGCGAAGCAGCAGCTGGTGCAAAGTGGAGCAAACACCACCACAGAAGTCAGCAAAGTCAAGGAAAAGAAAGAAAAATCCCGACCCATGACGAAGGTTAGTTTTTCTATAATTTGTGTGTGTTTTGTTTACTACATTCTTTTAACTGAAGTCTGTACTAACTTTCACTCAATCAAAAATTATGCGTCATGTTCGTGCTCTATAGGTCGTTGTAAGGAGGCTGCCACCCACCATGACCCAGGAGCAGTTCCTGGAGCAAGTCTCGCCGCTACCAGTGTATGATTATTTTTACTTTGCCAAAGCCGACATGTCGCTGGGGCAGCACGCGTTTTCCAGAGCTTACGTCGACTTTGTCAACCAGCAGGACATTTTTGAATTTAGAGAAAAGTTTGACAATTATGTGTTTGTCGATGGAAAAGGTCTCGAGTTCCCCGCTGTGGTCGAGTTTGCTCCGTTTCAGAGAGTTCCTAAAAAGCGTATTGGCAAGAAAAAAGATCCCAAGTGCGGAACTATCGAAAGTGATCCTTACTACATTAATTTCTTGGAAAGTTTGAAAAATCAAGAAGCAGACGTGACAAACAGTCAGCCAAAAACTGAGTATTCCTTCCAACCATCTGATCGTATGTTTTCTTGTGTCGTTTACATGTCTGCTTGATTGTTGGGCGATTATCGCGCTGAAATATTAATGTCTTGGCATTTCACAGATACTCCTAAGAAAGTTACTACAACTCCTTTATTAGATTTTTTGAAGCAAAGAAAGCAAGAAAAACAACGTCTCAGGGACGAAAAACGCGAAGAAAAACGTAGAAGAGACATGGAAAGGAAGAAAACTAAAGATGAACCTTTAGTTTCAAAAGTAAGCTGGGCTTGTCAAAATGTATACATGTACTTGTTACTTTTTTTCTAATCAAGAATAATTTGATTTTTTTGTGATTTTCAGGTTTTAAAAAATATGGAAGATAAAGAGAGAGAAAAAGATCGGGAAACGAACAGAGAAATTAGAGATGAAAAAGACAGACCGTTTCAGAAAGAGCTCAAAAACCGGAACAAGAAAGAAGAAAAATACAAAGATAAGTCAATGCGAGATCGGGATGCTAAGCCTTTGGGCAAGAATTATAGGGACAGGGATGAACGAGCCAAAGAAAGAGAAACCAAGCACAACAAAAAGCAGGAAGACAGAAAGTTTCACCACAAAACGGATGATCACGGTAGTTATGCCAAAGACGATCGAAATAATGAAAAAGAAGATAATTATAAAGAACGTAAGCTGGAAGAAAAACGTGGTAAGAGTTACGAAAAAATGCGTCAAGAGAAAAAGAGGCTCGTTGAAGGACAGAAAAAACAATATTCTGAAATACCGTCAGATGAGCCGAATGACTACTACTACAATACAGATGGACCTAAAGTCGAGAGTACCGAAGATAACTACACAAAAGGCACGAAAGAGGCAAATGACGATAATAATCGGCCAAAATACAAAATTAAAAAAAATCCTGATAACTTGAGGAATAGTGGTAAAACTGATACTGCAGATCAGTCGAACGAGGCGTCACGTGCATTCAAACCACGCTCAAATTCTAGCACAGAAGAACCTAATTCAAAATCGAAGTCCCTAGTCGACTGTGATGGCCTAGGTAAAATTTTAAAAGCACTAAATTGCATGAAGATTAAAATCAAATGAAGAGGTAATATTATATGAAAATACGTGTCTTTTACTTTAAGATACTAACCAGCAAGTTGCCAAGTCTAGCCACTTAGAAGATGGTAGAGGGAACGAAGAGAAGAAAAATTATATAAAGTCCAGGCTGACCAAGAGACGTAGTTCGCTGGAAAGTGGTGGCGATAGTGGTACTGGAAGTAAATCTGGTAGTGGCAGCAAAACATCCGATAGACGCAATGCTAGCGACTGCGAGAGTGACAGTTCGTGCCTCAGGCGTCACAAGTCACTCGATGGTGGCAACGACAACAATTTTCAGAAAAACGAGTCAGAGGACAAGGAAGATAAGGACAAAAAAGATCCTCGGTTAGAACGACGGATCAGGAACAAGGTACGTAAACTTGACAAGTACTTGAAAGCTTTGGCCAAAAAAACTCTCTATTTGGAAAGTCATTTGTCCCATATTTTAATCATAAAATGAGCAGACATTATTGAAAATCATACGAAACGTCTATATTTTTCATTTAGGATCGGCCAGCCATGGAGATTTATCGACCAGGTATGGGAAAATTCAGTAAACAGCGATTGGAAAGAGAAAAGGGGAATGAGGAGAGATCGACCCCTTCGCAAAGCCCAACTCCTACTTCGGGTGGTTCCAATACATACAAGAGCGGTAAATCATCCAGCTCAGAAGTTCGCTCCATGACGTTTAAAAGAAGCGTCAGTCGTGATGTGTCATAGTTCATGAAGATTATTTCTAATACTGCTTTTTTACACAAGAACTGTGCTGTAATTATTATTTAATTTGTATACTTATAGGTGCGCTCAAATAAATTTTTTTTTGCATACAAGTAAAATACTTGTGTAAAATCATCTTGTTATAAATAAACTAACAGCGTGCAAGCTAGTCGATTTGAACACGATTGAAAAAAAAAAAAAAAAAAAAAAAATTATTTTCTCTTTTCCAGAGTCATTTTTAATTATTTTTCTGCCCTCGGGTGGTTTTGGGAGGCTGGTACTTCCTCGGGCCAAAAAGCAGTTTTCCGATACTCGTTCGAAAAGTCTCCTTTACGAACCTCGTTACGTCCCTCGCCTTCGGCTCGGGCCGCAAACCTCTCGGTTCGCAAACAAAGACTTTTCAAACTCGTAGGAAAACTACTGTTATTGTACGCCTTTCATGGGTATTGCATGTATACATACATATATACACATTTTGACGTTTGCTTCTCGACTCAGTTTATCAATTCGCTTCGCGATAAAACCCGTTTCGGCTTAAATCGTAATCTACGTTATCGCTAAACTCTTCCTCGTGGATAAAGAATGAAAAAAAAAAGAAAAAAAAAACCAGCAGTCGTCAATATCGGTAAGCGCCAATCGGTCACCAGTTTTCACGGCATACGCGCGAAGCTGGTCGAATTTATGCCGAAAACGGGAAACACGCTTTTGTTATTCCCAAGGGCTCTTCCCGTAGTTAACGTGAGATTTTTAAGTCACACATTTTTTAACTTACCAAAACCGATTGGAGAAAGCACAGACAAATGGTACGTAAATAAAAATATTTTTATCATCATTATCATGGCAAAATAATGAAGCGACAAAAATATTCGCACGTAATAATGTTAATTTGCTTCATTATTTTTCAAATACACTTCGTTGGTATCTATATTGTAAAAATATCCATCAATAGTGGGATGGAACTCTACGTAATAAGTTTCCAACGCAATTAAAACACATGATCATAGCGCTTCTAATCAATAAAAAAAAAAAAAAAAATGAATTTCCATCATCCATCGGCAGATCTAATGTAAACGGATAATCGTTTTCTTTGAAATTATTCGCACTTCAAAGCGAAGAATACAATTGTCAAGGTGAATTAACACCGTAGTTGCGGCGACTGTTAATTTCATTAGAATCATCCTCAGTTACCGTCGCTCATCGCGTTGACGTGCAGTAAGCTGTACCTTTAGCACAATTGTGTATACCATTCAGTTTCGTTGGAGCAGTTGTTGCGCTTCGTTTATTGTGCCCCTGTACAATTGCTTGGCCGGCAAAGTGAGAAGAGTAAGACGCCTCGGAATCAATCGCAGTCATCGGAGGCGCTACTCGTCTCTCTTGGTGATTACGTGGTTCAGGCATTATTTATGGTTTTTTTTCGTCTATATTACAATTTTTGAACGAATTACTCTTTCCCAATTTTGCCGTCAAATACCGGGAGACTTGTAGGATTTTCTTGGTTCTACTCCGACATTGATATTAGAAGACGATTGATCTTTATCTTTTTGTAACTCAATTAAAACTAATTGAAAGTGTGCGTAATTATGTGTTGTCAACGTTATCGTTGACGTTTTGAGATAATAATTCGGCGTCTAACGTAATATCCACCTTTTATCACGCATAGTGTGCTTATAGCGTAATTGCAATATCGAGCAACTATCGATCTCTTGTGCAATTTCCCGTGAATACGTGAGCGCGGCATCTCATTGTGGTCCCATGGATACGGTATTGTTGGCTATATGCATACATAGGTACGACGTATCTTGTCTCTGCACTAATTCATTTGGAATTGATGACTGTACACTTTTTTTTACAAACTCAAAATTTTTTAATTCATTAACTTTCAGTAACCATTTTATACATCAAAACGTGATGTTTATCAAATGATTGATTATTTGATAAGATAAAATATAGACATAAATAGCTTTCAGACTCACGGTATTACTTTTACATGTACTGTTAGCCCAGAAAAGATTAATTAATTCTCACGTACCATCCATTTATAGATCAGAGGGATACAAAATATCGTAAATAAACGATATAGCATATTTTCAAAAGTTGTGTTTCTTTAAAAAATAAATTTTGTCATTCAATACTTTTTAAAGCTATGTAAAAAATAGGTGCAATACGTAGAAATAGTCCATGATGTAATGATTTACAGTAATTAATTAAAAAATGCACACATTAGTTTAAGGAAGCTTTGTGCCAATTTATTGATAGAAAATTTTTTTTAAATCTCAAATGGCCTTCTCATGGCAACATAAAAAAGCCATTTTGTGCGAGTTTTTTAAACTCCTTATCGCTGAGCTACGCTCGTAAAAAGGCTGAACTAGAGATTGCGAGATGATGATAACGTACACGACAGCTACGGGTGCACTACTTACAATGTACCGTGAGAAATGAATATAATGAACGCCTCGTCAAACACGTGGACTTTAAGTACACAATTGGGAATCCTATACATTTGTGGCCATTCGTACATGTGTGGCCCACGGTGTGCTTGCGGTCTTTCAATAAATCCCAATAATTAACCATATCTCGTTTATTTGAGCAATCGGACAATTTTCGTCTACAATTGATTATTGTAACAATCTGTTAACCAATTGTTAATAGAAACAAAAACGTTGAATAAGTATAGAATTACTGTCTTAAAAAAAAACAACCTACAAGTAATGGGAAGTTTTGCGTTGTGTGAAAATACTTTTCAAAAAAATGTGTGTCGTATAATGTCATTATTGATAAAAAAAGGTTTCACTGATAGAATAAATAGCAAACTTCCTTCAGAGGTGATTCATTACTATGTCCATAGTATACTTATAAATGTATACCTACACCTTGAAAATCGAACGCCCGTGCGACGCCCATCCCAATGTTTACTCACCGTTGGGATGGGCTTGTCGCAGATGTAACGATCGATCGGCTTTTTAAAAACTACAGATAACAATGTATACATGTATCGATGAGTGGCTTTACGGTATTCATATATTTGTATTTCTGCCTCCAGGCCGATGGAAGCTCCGTGTCGGCCGACCACAGAGTCATCGAGCTCGAGTTCAAGCAAAAAACCATCAACAGTCTCTTCCCCTCCAACAAAATAACAACGAGAAAGGCAATAATTGCATTACAGTTATACACATATGCAACTGTTTTTAAAACGAAATAAAATCGAGCCTACATTGAACTCCGTATAATTAAAAAAAAAAAAAAAGTCCTTGTACCCGATTTTTCTCTAACAGTTCAGGTGCGCGCAAAATTAAGAAAGAATTTCAAACACCCGTTATCAACGATCGTTAAAAAAAGTCAGAAACCCGCAAGATTTTTCGAAACGAATCAATGAGAAACAACGAGTTTGAAATCGGTGACGGAATGGCTCGAGAGTTTTTCGTTTAAAAGCACTTGCATTGATAAGTACCTACATTAAGTGCCAAAAATGTCAAGTTGTGTACTGTATACATCCTCAAAGCATGATTATCGAAATAATGGGTAATCGTAATGAAAAAAAAAAAAAAAAAAAAAAAAACTTTTAGTACACGTTATGGAACTTCCTGCCGAAGAACCTGTTCGAGCAGTTCCGTCGCGTGGGAAACTTTTACTTTCTGGTGAGCTCGGTAATCGCGACCGTCATAGAGTCCCCGGTGTCGCCGCTGACCAGCTGGTTACCCCTTCTGTTTGTCATATTCGTGTCCGCCTGCAAGCAAGGCTACGAGGATCTCAAGCGCTACCGATCCGACCGGAGGGTCAACAATCTGCCCGTCACCGTCGTTCGGCGCTCGGGAGTCCAGGTCGGATATCATTACATTTCATACCCTGCACCTTCTATATACTTACACGCATACACAGTGGTACCGTTTACCCACATCGTCTAGGAAATCCGATGCAAGGACATTGCGGTCGGCGACGTAGTCAGGGTTAACAGGGACGACGAGGTGCCGTGCGACCTCGTGATTTTGTATAGCAGCGTCGACACGGGCAGGTGCTACGTCACAACTTCGAATCTGGACGGCGAGACAAATTTAAAAACCTTGCAGGTACTGTTTTTTTTTTTNTTCCTTATTTTTACTGGAAAATCAATCCAGTTAATTTACTCGACAGTACACCATCGGATCACTGGTGTTTTTGTACCTGCATAATGCATCTCGTCACATTAGTTATTAATTTACAGGTTTGTTATTTAACAATTAATTTTTTTTTTTTTTTTTTTCTCCTTCAAAGTTGAAACGATAAAAATTGTGTGTTTTTAGATTTATGCACCTTCAGCGGGCACTGCTCGTTCACGGGCATTGGTACTACCTGCGAGTGGCAGTACTCACCATGTACTTTTTTTACAAGAACGTCGTGTTTATCACGCCCCAACTGTTCTTTAGTTTTCACAATGGGTTTTCTGGTCAAGTGAGCTGTTGCTTTTTTTTTTTTTTTTTTTTTTTCCTAACGAGTCAATTTTCGAAGAAAAAAAAAAAAAAAAAAAAAAAAATGTAGGTGCCAAAGGTACTGGCGGATCTGGAGGATGCTAGCGATATCGTGTCGACAAAGGGGACAATCACCTGTCAGTCCCCGATGGCCGGCCTGTACAGGTTCGAGGGCCGGATCCAGGTGAGCGTGAAGCCACCGGACGGGGAGCGCGTCACTCGCACCGGGCCTCTGACAATCGACAATTTGCTTCTTCGGGGGGCCACCCTCAAGGACACGTGCTACATACTCGGTTGCGCCGTGTACACGGGACGCGACACCAAACTCTCGCTCAACTCGAATCTTAAGACCCGCAAGAGCTCCCTCGCCGACAGGTACATAATATATAATTTAATCAATATAGGGTATACTCGAGTGCTGATTTATTTATTTCCATCGATTTATTATTTAAGCTCGATAAACAAGTTTCTCCTGGTGTTTATCGTTTTTTTGTTGGCCGAAGTGATATTTTGCACCGGCATGAAGATACCCACCGACAAAAAGGCCAAGTGGAACCACTACTTTGGAGATTACACCAAAGACATGCTCGGGAGTCTTACGAACAATTTCTTTTCCTTCATCGTTCTCCTCAACTACATACTACCGATATCCCTTTACGTGACGTTAGGTAAGTTGAATTGTAATGCAAATATAATTATACAAGTATGCAGGTGTATAACCCAATTGTATATGTATCGCGTGTACGCAAGTGCAGAGATGCAGAAATTTTTGGGATCCTACCTGTTCAACTGGGACCTGAAAATGTACGACGAGTCGAGCGATCAGCCGGCGCAAGCCAATACCTCGGATCTCAATGAAAACCTGGGCCAAATCGAGTACCTCTTCTCGGACAAGACCGGCACGCTCACGGAAAACCTGATGATTTTTCGAAGGTGCTTCGTCGACGGCTACTCTTACATGGAAAACGACTGCGATGGCCATTTGTACCTTTTGCCACCCGATGGGCGCGCCACCGACGCCCAAAGGATTAAAAACTGGACCGTAAGTCATCGACACTACACTTGTGTACACCTATATATACCTATGCATAAGAGATAGATGGAATTTTCGACTCTGATGATGATTTTATACCCATTCAAGCGAGAAGTGCACTTGTTCATGCTGGCCATTTCCGTATGCCATGACGCGCACATAGCACCCCCGAGCCAAAAGGCCAAAGCGAAAATGCTGCGCACCGTGTTCCGGGAGAGCTTCAGGGTGAAAAAACACGCGAGGATCAACAGCTCCCTCATGATGGACCCCGACTTGCCGGAATACGAGGTGCCATTTACTCATTCCCCGTAACCATTATGCATATATATATATATGTATATGCATGTCATTTAGTTTTTCCAAGATTTTTCAACTTGTCCTCCAAAAATGTTGAATTTAACGGCCAGGCAGCATCGATCGACGAAAAATCCCTCGTCGAGGCAGCCGCTCGGCTGGGAGTGATATTTCTGGGCGAAAAGAACGACGACGAAATCGAAGTCAACCTCAAGGGCACGATCATGAGATTCGAAAAGCTCGAGAGCCTCGAGTTTACTTCGGGTAATCTACAATTTTTTTTTTTTTTTTTTTTTTCTACATGCGTTTAACGTGGGACTTGACCCAATCTGCGCGTACACATAGATAGAAAACGAATGTCCGTCGTGATCCAGGACCCAGACGGAGATGTAAGGCTGTACTGCAAGGGGGCGGACTCGTCCCTTTTTCCTCTAATCGTGGAAGGGAAAACCGAAGAAGCCAAGACGAGCGTCAACGACTTTTCTATGGTTCGTAAAAATGGCTCGTCCGGTGTAAAATTGAGTCGTTTTGGTTTGTTGTTATTATTATTTATTTTGTTGTTTTCCTACTCTCGGCCAGAGGGGACTGAGGACCCTCGTTTACGGGTACAAAAAATTGTCACCGGCGGAATTCGTCCGCCACAGGGACAAGATGAACGAGGCACGGCAGACGATCGGCGCGGAGCGCAAGAAGCGCGTCGAACAGGCGTACGCGAACCTCGAGACCGGCCTGACGCTGTTGGGCGTCAGTGCGCTCGAGGACCGGTTGCAGGAGTGCGTCCCCGAAACCATGGAGCGACTCCAAGCAGCTGGAATCAAGGTGGCGTTTATTGCCTTTGTTATCGTGCTTTTCTTTCATCGTCCAACTTTCATTTGCTTCCGATTTCGTATAGATTTGGGTTCTGACCGGCGACAAGGCCGAGACGGCCGAGAATATTGCCTTCTCCTGCGGGCACTTCAAGAAGGGCACGGTGGTCATGAGGATGATGAACCTGCCCTCGGCCCAGTCCTGTTTCAGCACCTTGACGAGTTTTGAGTAATGATTACCATTTTTTTTCATTTTTCCACAGTCACGCTTTGAAAATAATGGTCGTTGTTGTTGTCGTCGTCTTTACTGTCATTCGGCGAATGCCAAGGCGGAAAATGAAGATTGAGCCCTGCGTCCAGCGTGGGCTGCTGATGGACGGGGCCAGCCAAGCGATGGCCTTGAAAACTTGTCCGTATTTACTGAGAAACGTGGCAATGGCCTGCGATGCCGTGGTTTGCTGCCGCATGTCTCCCCTTCAGAAGAGCCAGGTGAAATCACAGCTTGGGAAATAATTTATTGCTCGTTGGAGAAAAATTATCACCAGTTGTTTCTCGTGGATAGATAGTGCAGCTTGTCAAGCGGTCGCCGAGCAAACCGATGACGGCTGCTATCGGGGACGGTGGGAACGACGTTTCCATGATTAAGGAGGCCCACGTGGGCTTGGGAATAATGGGGAAGGAGGGCCGACAGGCGGCAATGAATGCAGATTATGCTTTTGCGAGGTGAAAATAAAAGAAAAACGTTTTTTTTTTTTTTTTTTTTTCTCCTTCAAAGTTGAAACGATAAAAATTGTGTGTTTTTAGATTTATGCACCTTCAGCGGGCACTGCTCGTTCACGGGCATTGGTACTACCTGCGAGTGGCAGTACTCACCATGTACTTTTTTTACAAGAACGTCGTGTTTATCACGCCCCAACTGTTCTTTAGTTTTCACAATGGGTTTTCTGGTCAAGTGAGCTGTTGCTTTTTTTTTTTTTTTTTTTTTTTTTTTTTTTTTTTTTTTTTTTTTTT